AAAAAAAAAAAATTTCTGCAGAATTATATTCTAAAGATACTTTTCTTGTTCATCAGAAAGGAAAGAAATACTCCTGATTTTTCTGTTCATTTCAGAATAAAAAATATTCGCCAATAACTGGTTTGCTTCAACTAGAATTTTAAATTGATAAAATTAAAAAAAAAATAATAATAAAATTCTTAAATCACAGAAGAGAGTTTAAAGGATAATTCACTCTAGAAATGATATTTTTTCTTTCATTTTTTGAAAGAACACCATAATTTTTAAAGAACATGATAAAATCATTTTATATTCAAATAAAATATGACTGAGTGGTGATTTTGTTAGAAATTCAGATATTTGAAACAAGATGAAATTGGGGGGGAGGGAGATTCCATTTTAAAAATTAGATTTTTCAGAGACCTAAATCCATGACTTTCCATGATTTTTTTTAAAAAAAATACAGTAAAAATCATGACATTTCATGACAAATTTTGTTCAATACCGAAATTCATGACTTTCCATGATTTTTCATGACTTTCCAGGTGTGCGGATACCCTGTGTATATCTAATAGTAATTATCACTCATAAACGGATACCTTTACTAACATGAGGAATCCTAAACTGTAAATAGCTAAACTTTAATCGGAGTAAATATCTAACTACTCATAGACTCAATTCATAGACCAAGAATTAAAAACATGCTTATTTATGTAAAACAGATTAGCAAAGCTTAAAGAAAATACTTATACATTTTTAATAATGTATAGTAGGGTTGGTATGATCTTAATCACGATTAAAATTATGATTTAAATCACTTTAATATTATTTTTTTAAATCATTAATTTAAAACAATCGATTTAAAAAAAAAATTGTCAAATCTAAAATACTTTTTAAACAATCTTATTTATAAATATATAATCTAGGTTGTGATTAAATGATCCGATTTCATTGATAATTATAGTTTTATCGAAAGAAATTATGAAAGAGAGATGCATGCAAATTATTACACTTTAAAAAAGACTAATAAATAAAAATAAAAAGTAAAAGGGGAAAGTGTGGCATAAAACTTTAATTTTCTATTAGCTGTAAGTAAAATAATTTACTGGTGATAAACATATACAAATTATGCCCGTTTAAGGACTGGAAGTCCAGAATATAAAAACTAAAATTAAGGACTAAATTGACTCAAAATTTATGAACAATTTATCGATGCTGCTTCTCTAATGGGAGTATTTTCTAGAATACCAACAGGGATTTAGAGATACACTATAAACTATACTCAGTAGCCTGATAACCCTTAGAGGGCCAAGGCCTACCGTCTCCATCTCAGTTTTCTTGACCTTGGGCTCTGGGGTGCAGGAATAGATGTTCTGGTTGGGTGGTCAGCCTAACGTGACTATAAAATTTCAGGAGCCGCGATGGCTCAGTGGAGAGAGCATTCGCCTTCCATTGAGGCAAACCGGGTTCAAATCCCAGTCGATATCAATTACGCATCCAGCTTGCACCGACCACAGTGCTGACATGAAATATCCTCGGTGGCAGACGGATCATGGGTTAGAGTGCCCTTGCCGTCAGGCTCACCATGGCAGGTTCTCGTGGTCTTCCTCTCCATGTAACCCAAATGCGGGTTAGTTCCATCAAAAATTCCTCCACGATGGCACATTTCTCCCAATACTCGATCCAGGAGTTCCCTTGTCTTCTGAATTGGGTTCAAAATTACAGGGTTACAGAGTTGAACATTAGTAGTCGTAAACCCATAAGATTGGGTCGGCTGTTCAACGATGGTTATAAAATAAAATTTCAGAACATTGATTGAAATTTTTGATAATTAAGGATATTAAAGCACACTTTTTTTTATTTTTATGGAAATTAAGGACAACCTTGAGTCTTGCCATTTAGTTTTACATTTATTTAAATACAAGTACTTCTAAAACTTATTAAATATGTAGTTAGAGTATACCAATAATTAAGAACTTGTACTGTCAGCAAAAACTGAGAATATATTTTTTTTCATTTAAGTATTCTGATCTTGGCTATCTAATTGAAAAATTGCTCCCGTATCTTTACAAATTAATAAAAATTTGCAATATAATACAAACAGTTAACAAGTATTAGTACTTGAGCAAATATAACCATGATTTTATTAATTCAGAGCATAGTTGGTAATAAGTTAATAATAATTTTAAACATTTTAGCTAGAAATATTAATTCAAACTATTATTGTTTTTAAATAATAAGTATTATTATTACATTTTATCAGATAATTTGACTGGTAAATGCAAAAAAAATCATGATTTTTTTTAATGGTCAATCCTGAAATACAAGTAAGTGATAAAATGAAAAATTTACATTCTTTGGGGATATTAAAGTCTTACACAAGGTGTATAGCCAGATTTTTGAACAAAAAAGGCACCATTTAAGTACTTTTAAGCACTCAAAAGATATCTTTAATCCCATTCCCAAAAAAAAATCATAATTAGGATCTGCCCAGTAAAAAAAAATTTTTTTCTTCTATCGCTTAAAATTCTTAACTTATGAACATAAAACAAATAAAACTCAAACATTTTCAAGATTTTACGTAATCATGATATAATAAAGTTTCTGCAGAGAAAATTGTGAAACTCGGGCACTTTTTGTAATTTAGAACGACAATCGATACGGCAAAGAAAAAGAAGTACTTTTTAGTAAGTAATTAAGTACTTTTTACAAATCCCGAAAAAGAAAAAACCTTTAAGGGCTTTTAAAAAACATAAATCAAAAGTAAGCACTTTTTAAAATCGCTACACTCCATGTTACAGCAATATTCTGACTTCATAAAACTAGCAGGAGCAAAGAAAGTTTATTGAAAAATGTTTATTCAACTAGGTCAAAAGTAAAAATTATTTTTAAAATTTACTCAAGGTGGTTTAATTTAATTTGATAGTACAATTTAATTAGGTGTTTACATAAATGACATTACACTCAAGGTAAGATGATCACATACACAACAGACATGATAAGACAAATACTGGGATAAAAATCATCAGATGATCAACTAAAAATCCTTCTTATAGAAACACAGATTGCTTTTTTTTATTTTATATTCTTAAATATGGAATAAATAAATGCTCAAAAAAGTCATTGGCATATTAATGGGATGCCTGCAAGTGACGTAATGTGGGTATCTCGATTCTGATTGGTTGTTGAAACATGGTATTTATTTACGTTAACAGCTGTTCTTTCCACTCTATTTAGAGTAAGTCAAGCCCATCAAGTATCGATTTTCTTAAGAGACGTATTCTAAATTCTTTCACAAAGATTCTTTCTCAAAGATTTTAATTCTTTCACTATATATTCTCACAGAGACTTAATACAAAGATAGGCACGAATCCATAAGGAACATAAACTAATTATGCATTGAAGTCGCCAGGTACTCATAAAATAAGTATATCAAGGCTACAATATAATACAGAAACAAATAATAAATCTAAGTTAAGTAAAAGATGCAGACGAGAAAGAATTATAATTTAAAAAATTTGATGTGCGATACAGCGCTGAATTTAATTAACTTATCGTTAATTAATATTCTAACTTATTTAGAGAAACTTAGCTCAACTTTAATTTTTCATTTTGTTGATAAAGATTTGCTGGCGCTGACATCATAGGTCACATGTGCGGGTATAGCAGGTCTTCTTGGATTGCAAGTACTTAATTATGTTTTAAACCCTTCCTTCTCGCTCCCGTGAAATTTACTACTGAACACTTCGCTGGAGTGTTCAGTAGTAACGCGCCAATAAGAATAAAACTAATTCATTTCTTTTGCCCGGATAACATTTTATTTCTCATTTTACTCACCAGATGGCAGTATCAGGATATTTTTAAGGTAATTGTAGATAGTTAGTTTATTTTAAACTAGATGTCAGGACTAATCAAATACGTGTATTTGGCGAAATAGGCACTTTTATGATCGCTTCCTTGAAAATTAACCGATCATTAAGGGGTTAATGAAGGGTTTCACAAATTTAAAATTAAGATAATCTTAAAATTTATAGAAAAAACGGAAAGTACCTGTTGTCATGGATAAGGTGTCATTTCTACTTCGTGGCGTAAGAGATTTTGTACTTTGATTGGAAGATGTGGACCATGAACGGGCACTCTGAGTAGCAGCCAGGGCAGCAACAGCATTATNACAAAATGTCTGGACAGACCCCTGTTAAACATATTTAAAATTAAGATAATCTTAAAATTTATAGAAAAAAAGGAAAGTACCTGTTGTCATGGATAAGGTGTCATTTCTACTTCGTGGCGTAAGAGATTTTGTACTTTGATTGGAAGATGTGGACCATGAACGGGCACTCTGAGTAGCAGCCAGGGCAGCAACAGCATTATCTACGTCATCGCAAAAGCTTGGTATTGAAACAGAATCATCTGCGCAATAAATATAACTTTTAATGTTGAAGATTTCGTAACTTCAATCAGATAATTTAATAGCAAAGAAATGAAAAATATATCTTTTATGACCTACATATGAAATGATAGGTAAAAAAAAATTATTAACAAAATTCTCAAAACAATAAAAAAGATTAAAAATAAATAAATTCACATATTCTTCAAATTAAATTAAATTTAGCATAGTATCTGTCCTCGTTAAACTGTTTTTCTGTTAAGTGCTCAACTTTGTGTGCAGACCGTAGGGCTACCAAAGCAAAGGAGCCACCCTTTCTGCAGAGAATCAAAATTGCAATGGCGTGTCTTCAGATCATCCTCAGGCATGTTTCCCAGACCGCCGCCAATGGCCCATTGTGCAGCTCTAGTGCGACATAAATAAAATACCAGTACCTCCAAATTAAATTTAAAGTAACTAAAAAGTAATAATAAAGTAACTTAAAGTAAGTAATTTAAAATTTAGCATTAATTTCTGTTTAGCATACATTCTGTACCAATTATCACATTAGTGACATCATTGCTATGGTTCACTGAATTTCTTAATTTAGCCTAAATATAAATCTGAGTAGAGTTGATCTTGCTTTGATTTTTTGGTTGCTGTTGAGAGAAAGTAAAAACTACAGCACCAAATGTTTCAGAAATTCAAATCCAAATGATAATAAGAACTACAATGATCCTGATATTTATAAATGGTGCCATTTCAACATAAAGTATTAACTTAAAAGTTAAGGTTCCATATGATTACTTTCCCAATTTTTTTAAACAAAATATCGAAGTTCATTTGAAAAATGTAACATCAAAGCATATTTTAGAAATACAGAAGAATTCTAAGATCGGTATTTGTATTGTATCATTAGTATGCAAAAAAATGAATTAGAATAAAAAATACCTACATTTATCAAAATTTTTCTACAAAGCTGGATGCATTGTATAAGATACAAAAGTCATTTATTGACTTAAACTTATACTTGCAAATACACCTTTTCATTAGTTATTCATTAATTAATTATTAATCACCACGTAAAATAAATTATTAATTAACAATACTTTATTAATTAACAATTAATTTGAGAAATGTTTACATTTCCATTTAAACCATAACTAAGCAGTGAATGCTTAAAATGATCGTACCTGATGCAATGCCATCTTCATTTTGAGCGATTGGTATAAGTTCAACACTAGGAGAAGCCCCCAGCGGTGTCAATGTGACTTGCTGTGGCAGTCTATAATAAAAATCACAGTGAGCATTAAAACAATCAAATTCTTTTCCTTTTTGTCACTTTACACATACTCTATCAAAGTGAAACCAGTAGTTTTAATATCAACTCAACCATATATAGTTCTGTAACGTTTAAAAGGACCATTCACAAATAATATCACACTTGGATGGGCAGGGGTTATCATATCATGTTCATTTATGTTCAGGAAAAAGGAGGGGCTATCAAAAAGTAAAGGTTCTCATTGGTTACAGAGACCATGTTTTTGGGGACTACTTCTCTGAGTTGTCACGAACATAAACATTGGTCTATAACTGATGCAATATCAATACTCAGAAAAAATTTTAATATTGAGATGTATGGTAAAAAAAATATTAAACATTGACTAAATATTTAACAACATATCACAATATTAATAATATTTAACTAATTTATATATTATTTTTAAATTGGTCATTATTTTCATTTCCTAAATAAAATTTATCAACACTCACAATAATATCCTATTCTATAATTATGTATAATACTACACATAAGAATTATGAATTCAATAATTATGTATAGTATTCAGGAAACTTTTTGATATATTATGTTATCAATAATGATCATAACATTATCATATTTGCTGATAAAAAAGGTGAAGGAAACTTTGCAATGTAATTTCATGACTCAATTGCAAAACAATTTTTTTAAAAAAATGGTCCCTCTGCCTATTTTAATTTTAATTTATAACTGCCACTGAACAGTCGATTTAATTTTTTGTGTTTATGACTAATGTTGAACTCCGTAGCGTTGTAATTTTGAACCCAATCCAGCAGACAAGGGAACTCCTGGACCAAGTATTTGCCTTTGTGGAGGACTTTTTAATGAAACTGCTCGCATTTGCGTTACTTGGAGAGGAAACCACAAAAACCTCCCATGGTCAGCCTGATGGTAAAAGGACTCTAATCCATGATCTATATACCACTGAATATATTTTATGTCAGCCCTGTGGTCGGTGCAAGCCAGATGCAGAAATCGAATCAACCAAACTTGGTTCAGCTTATTGGGAGGCAAATGCACTATCCCCTGAGCCATCACAGCTCATGATATAATCATACTTACTGATAAAGAAGGTGGTGGCAACTTTGCAATGTAATTTCATGACTCAATTGTAAAACAATTTTTTTTTTTTAAATGGCCAATTTACCTATTTGTAAGTTTTTCTTGAAGGCATTCCTTTCCAATTTTACAATGCCATTAAAAAAATATATAGACCACAGTGAGTAAAGAAGAAATATTACCGCCGAGTGGGTATTAACTCTAAAGCAGTGGATTCACAGCCAGTCACAACGATGGAACTGGAGACGATTTTCTGACCTTTGTCTTCTGATTCCCCAGGCGTGTTAGTAGAGGGTACACACTTAGAGGCAGAAGGTGGAGGCAGTGTGGATGAGAAAGCAAGAAAGTTACCAGAAAGTTGGACAGGAGAAGACAAGCAAGTTGGGGGAGCACTGCACGATTCGGGTAAGGAAGAACAGATACTGAAATAAACGGGAAGTTACATTAAGGTTACACTACGTTAACCCACTGACGCTTTTGCATGTAAAGAGTCATCTTATAACCTACAGTCTTCTAAAGCGGTTTTTCGATGTTATTAGACAGTGTTGCCACTCAAATCTGGAGAGAAAAAACTCTCTGTACATATTAACACCATATATTAAGATTAAACACACAATCACTGTGATCTTGTCTGAGCTGCATTGGGTTAATTATAGTTTTAATTGCTGGAAGAACTAAAAAGAAATAAGGAACAGATTAACCAACTTAAAACAAATAATGCTATAGTAAATGATATAGTTTACAGAGTGCGTAGCTAAATTTTTCAACAAAAAATAAGCACCTTTTAAGCACTTTTCAAGCACTCAAAAAATATTTTTAAGCACTTTGAAAAATACCATAATTAGACATGGTTGGCAGGTTTTTGACAATTGATGGTTTTATCCGGTTTTATTTACAGTGATGAAGACGATGAAGCGTCACAAACGATGAAACTAACAAGAGAAATTAAATTTTCTATCACTAATAGAGAAAAAAAATTGATAATGTTTAGTTGGTCCCCGTAATCAGCAAAAATTCGAGAGATTTTTTTGATTCTATTACAGAGGGCGGAAAAGGAAGTTTGAAATAGAGAATTTCTTGCAAAATGCAGCAGAGTTGCGCATGAGAGTAAAAAATCCTTACCACTGAATCCAGCTCAGTATACGCAAGTGTGGACCCGCAAGTATTTCATCAAACATGTAAAATAAATGGTGCTTTCATATACTACAGACCGGCGGTACACCGATATAGATTGGGATTGAATTAATTGTGAAAACGTTGAATAGGACAATGTCTTTTTGCATAATTTGTGGCGGAAATCAACATGGTAAAGAAAAATATCACATTTTGAAAAAGGGGAAATTAAGCACCTTTAAGCACTTTTTAAAAACGCTACACACCCTGAGTTTAGTAAAGCAGAAATATCATGTTTAAATATCACATAGAATGCGCATTGAGTGGTTATCACTTTTTGAAAAATGAAAAAAAAATTCCTATATTTTCCTAGTTTGTATAGAAAAACTCAAAATTCTCTGCATTTTTTCTGTTGTTTTAAGTGATTTTTAATTTCCCTGTATTTTCCAGGCTTTTTCTTTTCTCCCAGTGGAGTGGCAACTCTGTTAAATAGGGAAATAATGTTTTGGGGAGAAACATTTTCCCAATTTTGCCCACTTGCTAAAACATCAGTGAGTTAATTACACAATTCACAATCATAGTTTAGGTAAAAATTAAAAAATGGAGTACATTAAATGGTAAGTATTTTATGTGAGATTTGAACAATACAGAATGTTCTGCACCCTCAATGTATATTTTTTTTGTCCAAACAGTTTCCATAACTGCCAATATGGATAGGAAAAAATCCAGTATATTTTGCGAGATAATATAAATTTCATGATCATTGTTGCATAATGTACTAAATACTTTACTCATAGGGATTTTTATAGTCATCAAATTAGAAAAACTGCAATATTTTCCAGTTATGATTGACATTAAGCATACTTGAAATATTATGTATTATTTTTACTCATAATTTCAAGTATTAATAGGCATTTAATTCATCAAAAATAGTTAAAAGATTTTTTTAAAAATTAATTTGATAAGAGTTCTGAATCAAAATAAACTGAACACTTTAGAACAAAAAATTTTTTGAACTGATTTCTATAAATGAGGTTTGCTTCATTATCTATCAGTAACTACTTATTTAAATATTCAAGCAAACAATAATCTGTGCAAAATTCAATTTAAATAAGAATTTTTTCCCAGGAATCTAACTCAATTTTAGGGTATTTGAAAATGTACAAAATCCAGGAGAATTTTAATTAAACCAGTAGACCAGGAGAAACTTGTAAAATCCAGTAGAGTTGGCAACTATGAGTTAACTCATTAGAAATCATAAATGAATATTTAAGTGAGGACAGAATAAAATGACCATTCAAATCTTAATATTACTACTTAAAGAGGTGGAACTGAAAACTTCAAAAACTGTTCGATTCAATTTGGCCAAAAACAGCCAGAAAAAAATTCTTGTTAGTTCCAGACTAATTTAATCAAAACTTCCCGGATTTTTAGCATTGGTGGCATATATTTATTATTAATTGTTCAGTCATTCTTATGCACGAAATATATTACAAAATAAAAATATTATAGCTTGCTATTAAAGCTGGAAAAAAAATTATTATAAGATCAATTTTTAAAAAAAATTGACTTCTGAGTTTTTCAAACTCGAATTAATTAATTTTCCCTAACCTTTTGGATATTTTATAACATTTCTTAATGTTTCCAGATTGATAAAATTCACAAACTTTTCCTCATTCTGTGGCTTTTCTGCTGCAAGAAAAAACTAGAAACATGAAAAATAAATCGTAGGAAGATAACCAAGGCAATCAATTTGATTTTGAGATTTTCAATTTTGCGTTCTTAGTTAGAATTCAACAGGTTTTGAAAACAATTTCGTTTCCATCTCACTTAACTATTAACATGGACTCTTTTTAAGCATTTTAGGTGGTTCAGTCATATCTTCTTCATTCATGAAGAATTCATGATGTTTTATGCTAAGTGCTAACAGAAAAAAAAAATTGTTTGAACAGTTTTTCTGAGACTTTTCTTATTGATTGACAAGTTGGCAAATGAAAAATTTTTGTTTTGAAAGCACAAAAATAGCCAACACTTATTTTTAGAGTGATTTGCAAGGATTAAAAAAAAATAATAATAAAAGTTTCAATTCAGACATTCTATTAGGCATTAAAATATTAAGTTTATGAAACTTTTAACAATATTACTTCATCATCTGATAGTTTTTAAAATTAGTAAAATAATGTTAAATTCAAAGTTAACATCGATGTTTTATTTTTAAAAAAAAACTGTTAAATAAGCAATAAAATAGATATATGGGTATAAAGTGCTATTTTGATGTAAATTCTGAATGAATTTTTAGGAAATACTTTATAATGCTTTAATTAATTATAATTTGGAGCATTTTACTTCTGGCCTTAAATAAACCCTAAACTTTGGTTAAAATTTTAAGAAGTGGGGCAGTTTAATAATGATGACTGATGATGATATAACAAGATTGTATAATTTTGCATAATAATCTTTTAGAACGCTTCAAACATTTTCTTCTCACTACATTCATGATAAAAGTCTGCTAATAAAAGATTATTATTTTTTTTTTAAATTTCTCCCTTCAACTACAAAAGTTATTTATGCAAAACACACAGATAAATAAAATAAAAATGGCTATATACTCTAAGGTATCACTGTATAGATCATCATCATCGAAGGAAACAACTTGAGTAGTAGGACGTTTTTTCTTCCTTTTCTTGTGACCTGAAAAACACATTATGTTCAATAGTAGATTTTATTATCAACCTCAATCAATCTCTAATGATATTCAGAGGTAAAAATTAAGATACTCTGGTCACTAGACCAAAGTAAAATATATTATACAAGTTTATACACATGCTCACTGGTCAGCTTACTTGTCTCTAAAAAAAAAGTTAATTAAGTGAATTTAAAGAAAAAATACTAACCCCAAAATTTTTTCTTGAAGTATGATTTGAAAAAGTGTCTTATCTTCAAGCTTTTCATGTTGTATAATTGTTTTTAAAGTGTTTATAAGAACTCACCTATTTCTTTGTGGTCTGATTTTTGTATCACTGGTCTAGGTTCAAATTTTTCTTTCGGTGAAAATGAAGGCTTTGAAAGTTCGTTAGAAGATTCTGTAGCTGTTGGTGGACGTGTATAATTCAGATCAGGGTTATCAATGGTGATGGCAAAAAGAATGGATCCCAATCCTGAAAAATAAAAAATTTATAAATATATTGAATCATTTTTACAGAAATCATTAGAAATAGCATCATTTTTGTGTCACATGATGCTACAAGTAAAATAAAAAAAGATTTGTATTCAATTGTTTAATAGAATCTCGAAGACAGGTTAAAATAAATATCAGGTATCCCACTTAACATCATTAGGTTTTAAATACAGTTGAAAACCTATAAAAAAGAATACTGTGATTTTCTTTGCATCACAAACACTTAATTTTTTGTTCTAAGCAATTATATTTTTGTTTCACTTAAATATTTTATTTTATCAAGTGCCCACAAGCACTTTGAAAAAAAAATTCCCCCTCCATTATCCGATTTTATCTAATTTCCCTTATTTTTGTACCTATTGTCTTAAATTTTCCCTTATCCCTTATTCTTATACGGAAAATATATTACAAAACACTTATACTTGCTGTTTGAGTTAAAACAGAACAATTAAAAAACAAATATTACAAGACCAATTTTCTTGGAAAAAAGCATTGGTCCTTTAGGTACCTCAAATGCAAAATAATTCATTTCTCCTATCTTTTAAGGTACTTTAATTCAATTTTCCAATATTTCCCTGATTTTTCCAGGTTCATAAAATTCCCTGGTTTTTTTCAATGTTTTCCCAGATTTATTTGTCCTGTGGCCACTTTGATTAGATTAATTGCAAAAAATCTTCCAAAAAATTATCAATAAAAATTATGCTTAGTGCATTAAAATTAGTAGTTCTCTAATAAATAGATATTTATCACCATCTGCTGTTGCGTTTATATCTTCTCTTCTTCTCATTGGCACGACAGCCCAGGATGGGCCTTGGCCATCTCAACTAGTCTATGCCAAGACATTCTTCCCTTAGCCAAGATTCTCCAGTTTATAATCCTTAAAACTTGTAGGTCCTTTTCAAGGCAGTCTAAAAATCTTAGGTTTGGCCGTCTTCTTTTTCTTGTACCTGTTGGCCTGGCACTGAAAACTTTTTTTGTTGTCCTGTTATCCTCCATTCTTATACTGCGGCCTGCTCATTAAATCCTTTGAATTTTGATACATTTAATGACACCAGGTTCTTTATATGCTTTGTAAAGTTCCGTGTTTGATCTTCTAAACCAGGTACCGCTTTTACTTATTCCACCGAAAATGCTTCACAGTATTTTTCTCTCAAATCTAGCTATCATATTTTCATCTCCATGGGTCCAGGTCTCACATGCGTATGTGAGCACTGATTGTATAAGACATTTATAGAGTAACAGTTGCGTTTATATCAGTCAGCATATAAAAAAGTACCTGCAGCCATCATTGGTAGCATACTACTTCGTTCCTCATCTAGCAGAAAAGCCCCATCTTCATAAAAATTTCTGAAAACAAAAATGAATAAATTGCTTAGATATTGATATAATAATAATAATAAAGAGCCCAAGAATAGCAAACAAACAAAAAAATTTTAACTGAAATAATTTTGGTACATTTTTTTAACAACAGTAATTTTTTTAAAAAAAAAATAATAATAACAATATTACTTTATCATTTAAATGAAGAAATAATTTTTTTTCTTCGAAACTAAAAATATTGTCTCTTTTTGTCCAGTGTAAAATAAGATACATTGTAAAAAATTTTCATGACTAAAATAAAATTAATTATGTGCTAATAGAAAATAATTTCCTTTCCAAAAAAAAAGTCACTACCCTACTATGAATTGATTATGGTAGAAAAAATATTTTGCCATCAAATACAAATTTCTTAATTTGAAATAGCTCCTCTTTTCATCCAGTGTTAGAATAAGAATAATGGCATAGTGTTTTCATGGCTAAAACACAATTAAGTGCCAATAGGTAACAATTTCTTTTTCAGAAGAGAAAAAGTTACAACCCTACTATGAATTGAGTGAAAGGAGAAAAAAAAACAATGCTCATATCAACATTGAAATTTACTTTTTTTTAAACTTTATTTAAACATTCAAAATGAATTTTATTTATTTTTATTATCTAGTTCTATTTTTTACTACCTAATTCGCAAAAAAAAAAAAAAGAAGTTACAACCCTATTATGAATTGATTATGGTAGAAAAAATCTTTTGTCATCAAATACAAGTTTCTTAATTTGAAATAACTTCTCTTTTCATCCAGTGTTAGAATAAGATTAATATCATAGTGTTTTTATGACTAAAACACAATTAAGTGCCAATAGGTAACAATTTCTTTGCCAGAAGAAAAAAAGTTACAACTGCACTATGAATTTTGATTAAATGGAGGAAAAAACAATACTCATATCAACATCGAAATTTACTTTTTTTTTACCGTATTTAAACATTCAAAATGCATTTTATTTATTTTTAGTATCTAATTGTATTTTTTGCTAATTATTATACTGTTTTTTTAAAAAAAATATTTTAAAGACGAAAAAGAAAACGCTGTTAATGCTGCATATAAAAAAAACTTAAATAGTAATAAATTAACAAAAAAATCACCGTATTGATGAATACTTTTGTATTACCTTGATTCATTATTATAGAAAAAAATAATGCTTGAAATAGTGGCAAATTATTAACACTTTCATCACTAAGGGCGAGATAAATTGTGTTCCACAGGAAATTCCTCTGCACTAGCAACTAATTATTTCATCCTTATTCTTTTAATTTTAGCACTAAAAGTGGAACTCGTAGCATAGAGGACCAAAAAACAGGGTTGTCACTCATATCTGGAAAAGAAATTCCCTGTGTTTTCTCTGCACATATTATGCACAATATATTAAGATTATACATATTATACACATATCAACATTCCCTATGCTCCTGTGAGCTTTATTAGGATAACGATGCTGGTTTTAGTTGCTGGGAAAACTTAAAGAAATATAACTGATCAACATGAAACAAATAATTATATAATAAATGAAAAATATAATATAACTGAACTATCATCTTTATATATCCCATAGATTGTGCTTTGAGAAGCTTGCATTTTTTAGAACACAAAAATTCCCTGTTTTTTTCCCAGTTTGTAAAAAAAAAAATTCAAAATTCCCTGCATTTTTCCTGTTATTTCAGATGATTTTTAAATTCCCTGCATTTTCCAGGTTTTCCTTATACAGTGACAACCCTGAAAAGTCGTGCTATTGCTATGGTGAAAATTTTAATGCAATAAAGAATAAAAAAAACTTGCTTTAAAACTCTTAGATTCTGCAAAAATTAAGTACTTATATAGAGCATTGTCTTTATTATGGTAATTTAAATATGTTTTAAAGAGCAATTTGAATGCTAAAACTCATGATTTTTTTTCTTGAAAGAATAGAATCACCTGATCTGTGAGGATTCAGTTACAATCATGTGCATGTAACGCTCCAGAGATTTTTCATTCAGAGCAGATCTCAGCCAGGCTCTCCCTCGTCCGATATCAGATTTAATATTTTTCAACAACATATACCTTTCATACTCATGCTTGTTAAGTACCAACCTTACTATTTGCCAAAATGCTAAAAAGAAAAATAAATAAAGGTTTAAGACCATTTAACATAACAGATTGAATCTTATTTTGTATAGTCCAAAGTAAGTTCTTTAATCCCATTTTTGTTCGCTGTACATACTAATATTAAGGGCACTATCAGAAATTCTTTCAGGAAGTTGCAACTAGGGAAAATATTTGTCAAAATATTTCAAAAATCAAGAAAAAAAAATTTTTTTTAAAATTTATTTCTGAAAAATATTTTTATAATTATGCATTAGAAATTTTCACAAACAACTTCAATAATTTAACTAAACAAGATTTAAATTTTCAAACATAAAAAAATAGGAAAAATCATGCTTTATTTAAACTTTTTAAATATGCTATGAGCTCAAAAGACAAATCAATATGTTTTAGCGGTATATAATTTTTTTTTTCAAACTTACTATTAGTTTTTTTTTTGTAACATCTTCTAATTTATAACTATGAAGAAGTTTTAGATTATGGATAAACTTTTTTATCATGTTTCGCACAGTTAGGTCACTAATCTCATATTCACAAATTTATGATTTAACTGTTTGTCCATTTACTAATTTTTTTAGTATTTTCAGCTTTTGAATTAAACTAAGAATGATTCTTTTGCTTCTTGACACGTTAAGACTAGAAACAGAATGTAAATAATGAGGAAAATTTTTAATCTTGACAACTCTTTTTTTTGTTGAGTTATTGAACTCGAAATTCAAAAAATTTATAAAAGAAAAGTTACTGTTTTTTTTATTTGATTCCATAATTTAAATTAAAAGTATTTATATAAATAATGGAAAATTAAATTATTAAAATGATTTTTTTCTTTAAAAAATCCACAATTGGTTCTGTTCAAAAAACAAAATTTGGTTTAAATTACATTGGTTTAAACTGATCTACCCTGTTTAAATATATCGATATAAATCAGAAATCGTTGTAGTGGCGTTAATGATGACTTACCTTGTGTTCTTCTAATTATCTTTTATTTTTTATCTAACTTTTCATCAACTTTTTTTTAATCTAAAAGAGCCAATATTTTCCTTTCCCATTTTCTTGATTTAAGAATTATTTTATGACAAAACAAATGTATTTCATAGGAAAAAAAACTTTTAAAACATGGCGGAAATTTTTTTTTTATATCCCAGTGTTTTCAATTAAAGTGGTTATTCCTCCAATTTAAGAATTCAGGGTTGATAATTAAAATGCAGGTATTTTTATATATAATTCCATAATTTAGAGTATCCACCAAGTGAATTTATATTGAGAGATATTTCTGCAATTTTGGTGCCAAAATCGATAAACATATATAGATACGAAAAGAAAAAAAAGCTTAATACAAAGTTTTAAGTTCAACATAAAACTACTTAAAATAATTGTATTCATTGAATTAACGAAATATTGAATTTAACAAATTTTGCAATGGTTTCAAAAACAACAAATTACAGTAAAACAATGTTTTCTACAGATTTAACGAAATTTAGCTTTTTTAAGTAATCAAATAAAGTAAACACTTTTTATAAATCTAGACTTAGCTGAAAGTTCAACAAAATGAAAGCGAGCAACAAATCAAGACACGAAAATTTATACAAAACTTAATAATACTTACAAGGTTCTGCTTCATTGTTTATTATATTCAGGTTTTTCATCATATCTGCCACATGCCTAATGAAATGTAAATTAAAGTTACAAATATGATTTGAACAAATTAAAACTATAGTTGGGTATAATATGAAAAACACACAAAAACTTCCACTTCAAGAATTTTACAAGGAATAACATTTACCATTTAGTTTAAATAATAAACTGAGTTTTAAATATGTTTACTAAATACATAAACTTAGACAAAACAACAAAGTTACGCTAGTTTACATAAACTAGCGAGCAGCGACTTATAACATTACAATTCATTTAATGCTTATTTGTTGCTAGAAATCAGGTTCATAGGAAATGCAATTAACTGGTTAAATTTAGTTGGAATAGCATGACCTCTGACGTAGGCTATAGTATACCCACTTATATTGACAATTTAATAGTTTATAAGAGTTTAATTAATTAAAATAACAATTGAACGAAAATATTTAAATTTAAACTTTAGCTAAAAATATGAGTCAATTTTAAAAAAATTTTAAATATGTTTGGGGAAAAGTTAGCTATATAGTATTAAATAAAATTTTGCCAAACAACATTACTCAATTATGATATCAGCAGAGAAAACTAAGAGAAAAAAAATATTTTCTTCAAACAAATTATGGATCAAAATTGAAAGAAGGCATTTTGACTAAATTTTTTTACATGAAAAAACATTTTAAACCACCTTTTTTCTTACAAAAGTCAAGATGAGAGGGTCCCTTAAGTCCTGAAATGGAAAAACATGCATGAAATATTTTTCAAAAAGTTATCGAATTATACCAAAATTGACCCCAGGCTCACAGAGTAGGAGAATTTTATAATCCTCAATAGAAACCCTCACTTCTAATTTCATATTCAGATCCCCCAGGAAAATGCATTACACACTATCATTTTGTTTTATTGAAATGAGAGAGCCGTGATAGCTCATGGGACAGAGCGTTTGCTTTTCCGATGAGATGAATTCCACCGGCCACAGTGTTGAGTAAAATATCCTCAGTGGTAGACAGATCATGGGTTAAAGTCCCCCTGTTATCAGGCTAACAGTGGGAGGTTTTCCTCTCCATGTAACGCAAGTGCGGGTTAATTCCATCAAAAAGTTCTCCATGAAGACAAAATTTTTTCCAATACTTGATCCAGAAGTTCCCTTGTCTTCTGAATTCGGTTCAAAATTACAAGGCTGCAGAGTTGAACATTAGGCGTCATAAACCAATAAAATTAGGTTGACTGTTTAACGATGGTTATAAATATAAACAATGAATTGACAGAAACAATGAAATAAGAAAAGAAAGATGTAAACACAAAAATTATATATTAACCTCTCTACCTTCAGGGTGTTACGATCGAGTCTATTATACTTGGATAGCTTTTTCAAAAATATTTAGCATGATTATTTTTATTTATTTATCTTGATGTAATGTCTCAAATATCGCCATTTCTTTTTTTTCATTGCTCGTTTATTTTTTGTAAATTTAAGAAACATTTGTCAGGGAAAAAATTAAAAATCCTCAGTCCAATTTCAGTAATCAACTAAAAGAAAAAATAAACAAATAAAGTTGAGAAACATAAACTAATGCTAAAATAATTAAGTTTAAGATTTTTAATCAAAATGTACAAATACATCGTATATAATTTTAAATTGCCTTCAAAAATAAGTTTATTACTTTAGTATTATGAAATATAAACTTCTGTAAATAGTAGATATTGAAAAGAACATGCTGTAATGAAATAAAATTAGACTGAAAATAAAAAAATATTATGAAATACCTGAGAGGAAGAAAGCTTTTATCTGTCTTCCGCATGCCATGTTGCAAAACTGTTTCAAGCTGAGTGCATAGGCAAACAACCCTAAAAATATAATAGACACACAAAATCATTTAAAAAACTGAATAAAATAAAAATGCTTTCAATTGAAGCATTAGTATGGATAAAATATTTTTAAAAAATGTTGATTAAAAATTTAGAAAATTCTTGCCTTTACAAATATATTTTAATCTTCAAAAATTATTACAATTGAAAAAAACTAAGAATTGTTAAGTTTTAAACATAATAAGTAATTTGAATATATTGCATTTTTAACAGACCTTATAAATATTTATGCATTGTATAAAGAGATCAAAAATGACATTAGATGGATGAAAAATTATTAAATTTTATGTATGTAAAATAATTTAAATTTGACAGAACTTGAACTTTATACAGGACATCTTTTTTTATAAAAGGTTTAAGAGTGATAAACAGGTGAATCTTTTCATACGGAGGTCTCCCTATAGCAAATTTATGCCCATGACAGGATGTCAATAACAATCAAAATATATTCTATAGAACAAATTGGTTTTCTAACTCACTAACACTTGGCCCTAAACCCAAGCACTTGGTTTAGAGGACAAACTGGTTCTCTCCTTATAACATATTTTGGACATTTTTACTTAAAAAAAAGGGCAATTGCAACCAATTTGCTCTCAGGCGATCTCTGGAAAGGAGCATTTATCATTAAATTGCTCCTTAACATTGTTTCCATATAGATACTTTATAAGTAACTTGAATATTTATTAGATAACAGTGTAATACACAGAAGCATCTTATTGTTTATACAAGAATCATGATGATTTTTGCCAAATTTGCTTTTCTGAATAATTGGAAACTGTGGCTTATCATTTTATTGCCCAATGTCCTTCAATTATTAACTTTTTGTTATTCAATAATATGAAAATAATTAAAATTTAAACACATGAACTTTAAAATTTTTACAGTGTTATAGAACTCTCAAGTTTTAAACATTAAGGCTATATTTTGCGATTTACACAAACTTTAAAAATATAGATAAAACTTTATAAATCCTTCTCTTTTAAAAAAACATTTCTTATTATCAAGGAAAGCATTTTAGTTAAAAAAAAAAAATTATTAATTTCAAGAGAAAAATATGTTATTTACCTGCTGTCATTTTCAGTAGCAAGTTCTGTTCTTCCACCAAATCTAATTTGGCACTAAAATATAGAATTGCAAACACTTAATCAAAGATAAAACAAAACAATGCCATTAAAAAAATATCGGAATAAAGAGTTAAAATGCTAAATAATTCTTCTGATTCATAAATTGCCCGATCAACATTTACAGAAACAAATCTATGACTATAAAAAGTATGTTAAATAATATAATAAATGTCAAACATTTTCATTAAATATATTTTATTTTATAAACAGTGTTGTGTGATGTCATTTTAGAATAATTGCTGATAATTATCCTCAATATCCTTTTCCTTTATATTAATTTTCTACACATCTCAGATAAGTTAGTTCTTTTTAAGGGCAGCATAACTTAGTAAGTTAAAGAGAGTTGTTATAAGAGGGTTTTATAGATTTAGTTAATACAATGAATACAGAATTTATATATCATAACACTAAAACAATTATTATGAGTAACATAAGTCAAAAACATAAATATTTCCTTTAGTTACCTGCTTCACAGCATCTAATAGTCTAGACAAGAGAGTCTGACGTTCTTGAACCCCAGAATCATCTATTATGAAAATAAGCAAAATCAATATAACATTACTTAACTTATTATAAAATAAAATAAATGGTATTTAACAATTATTTTTCGAAACTTTGAAATAAAAATGTTAAAAACTAAAAGAATGAATATTTTAATTTTAGTGTGTCTAGATTATATAGGTTTTATTGCATTTTTATTTTAGTAATCAGATTTTACAGGTGTTAACATTAAGGAGGGGGAGATTTCTATATTGTGGTTTCTGGGCAGCTAAAAACTAATAAAAAAATCACAGAAAGGTCAACTAGGAAGGTATAACTCGCAGCCAACGCCAGACAAACATTTACATGCTAGTCTTCTTTTCTAAATTTGCAAGTTTAAAATCTATTTGGCACCTTTCAATTGTGGTTAGCGCGACAGATCACAAGTGGGAATTGAAAGCATTTGAAAGTTAGAAGTTTAGCAGCGGTAAATAATATTTTGCTTTTTAATTGTAAAAGTTTTAGAATGGTTAATTATTATTTTTTGTTTTTTAAAAAGTGTGTTTACAGTAAGGTAGAGCAAAAATTGGAAACATAAGTAGCTTGTTTTTAATTATTATATTATTTTCCAAAAAGCACAGTTACAGTCTTTTTTGAAAGGTCTGCTCTTGATAGGTATAAAGGTGTACACCCAGCATTTTTATATAAATATTTTAACATGGAAAAAACTTGAATAGTCGATTGTTGAGAATGATTTTACAAAATGGTAAAATAAAGAAGAAATTTATTTTTAAAAAACTAAACTACTTTACCATATTTACAAGAATATATACATTAATAAATAAGCAATACAAACATGTGTCTTAAATGCATAGTTTTCATTGTTTATATAGTAATGTAATTTCCTTTTGAAACTTTTAAAAAAATAAAATTTATATATGTAACCTAATTGGTGCCACTACTAAGAAAAATTTTCTTTAATGACTGGCAGCTGGAGTACTGCTTAACAAATATCTATTTTTGGGTTAAGTAATATAAGTATAACTACCAATTAAAAAGTATTGAATTACAAAATAAATATAATTTGGTAATTAATTCATTACCTTAAAAAGTAAAACACCAATGCATTTTTATAATTTTAGAACATATTAATCTCGTAAACTAGTTATAAAAGTTGTGAGAGATGAAAAATTTCATAATTAAAACAAGATATGTTTATCAAAATGGATGAATTTCTTAAATTTTAGAAACAATGAGATAGAAAAAAATATATAAAACAATAGTTCAAAACCTAATTGACAGAAAATAACTACAAACAACTAGTAAATATGGTAAAGAATTGCTAAAATTAAAATTCACATGATGTGGAGTAATTGAAAAAGAATGATGGGAAACATATAATTGATTTAAATTTAATGCAGTTAAGTTGATATTTTATAAACAAACAACTTTTTGCTTTTAAATGCAAGAATTTCTTATGTTTCGTTTTACAACTTAAATTTAATGTTAAAATTAATATACATTTTATACAATAAGATCTATTCTTTCACATTTCATTTAAAATATTTTATGTACATAAATTTTTCATTAAAAATTAGCATATCTAAAATAATAATGATGCTAAAATAGTTTTTCACATGAATGCAAAGTCATGTATTAGCCGAAATTGCCTCAACATTAAATAAACTGCAATGGTTAAAAATAAGTTTTTAAAACTTTCTTTGTTTATGGTGTTATTATGTTTATTAATAACATAACTGTCTCACTATAAATAAAAATGTAACAGCTTAATATACAAATTCAGAAACTTTGTCTTTTAATAATGACATTGTGTTTAGCACTGTAGCTGCTTCGAATATAAACTAAGATGTAACAGCTTAATATACAAGGATAAATTCAGAATACTTGCCTTTGTTAAAGAATTATAGTGTGTTGAGTAACAACTTAACTATTTTAACTGTCGTCAAAGTTGCAACAGATTAATAAACAAAGGCAAGTTCTGAAAACTTTTCTTTGTTTAATCATCACAGGCATTATTGTGTCTAATAAACTGCGTCAAGATGTAACGGCTAAATAAGCAAAGACAAACTCTGAAAACTTGCTTTTGCTTATTATTAATGGTATTATAGTGTAATCATCAGTAGCAAAAATACTTTAAATAAAAGCAAAGCTACAACAGCTTAATATACATAGAAAAGTTTTGAATATTTCTTTGAAGTGCATAATAGTCAATGTAAAGGTAAAAGAATTTGTAAAGAATTAGAATTTTAAGTCAAAATAAAATAAATGACTTAATAAATTAAAAAATATATACACAGCAATAAGGACTTTTTCCAAGAGATAATAAAACGCCTACCAAATTTATGAAATATTATACACATAATTAAACAGAATAGATAATATGGAAACAAAAAACCTTAAAAAATTTCGGACAAAAATTATGAAAACTTCACACATATTTAGTCAAACTAATTAAATTTAAGCAAAAGCTTTGGACAGTGGACGAAATAAATGAGTTGAAACAATAGGAAAATGAGAAAGCAAATATTTATAATAAACATACCTTGACTAGACATAGTAAAAACTATTTATTTTAAAAGTTGCAGTCGTCTATCTGCACATAAAATTAAGAAACTGAAACCATATTTAGTTATTGATCTTTTTTTTATCCGCTGTAAACAGCTCTTGGGTCAGTTTTTGTTTAGAATTGATCAATTGATTGAAAAAGAGGCATGTGCAAAAGTCAAAGTTTTGTCTCGAAAGTTACATTTTTATCACTTTAAGGATCATGCTTGCTGCACTCTTTCCATGCACCTTAGATTGTTGGCAGGAGTAAAATATATTTCACCAATCAAGTTCGCAATTTTCCTCGATGGTGATTGGAATAGCGTAAAATTATATACAGTAAGAATCTTTTTTTTCTTAGAATGTTTTTTGTCATCTTGGTGGCAATAAGAATTTTAAATCTTGTGATTTCCGATTTCTTGCTAGGTTTTTGTTTAGGGTTGAAAATTTTAAACAGATTTTGAGAATAGTAGGTTGAAATTTAGTGAAATTTCTTACATATTCACTGTATAGATTTACAGCTTTAAATCAAAAGCAGCTCTACAAACTTATCAGAAAAGTACTTCTTTTATCATTTGTATTATTACTTTGTTAAAATATATATTTTGTCACTTTGTTTACAGAAACAATTAGCTACATTAAACAGTTAAATTCCTATTTTTTTATAAATTTCAGACGAAAGATCTTACCGTCTGAAAAAATGTCTACTCACTCTGCTGCTAAAGGAAAACTAATCGCTGTAATTGGTGACGAGGTTAGTATTTTCCTGCTTTAAGATTGTAATTTAATATATCTGCTTCAATTCCATCCTAACTGCTCAAACTTATTCCTCAAGAGAAGCGAGGCATTTTTGCACGAAACTTTCCTGTTCATCGTGGCTGTGATTGCTATAACATATACATTTTTCGAAAATTCTATCATTAAATATTACAGTATGTAAAATTCTCTGACTTAAATTTGATTTTGATGGAGATTTCCGTATCGTGATCTGCGTCAGAATAATCGCAAAGTCTTGGCAACTTTGGGCAGAGGCCGGACTATAATCGTCAAGGTGCCAAATAGATTTTAAACTTACAAGTTTTTTAAAAAATAACATGTAGATGTTCGCCCAGGGGTGTCTACGAGTTATACCTTTCGAGTTGACCCCTTTTTGTGATGTATTTTTTAGTTTCTCTGAAGTGTCTCCTCCCTCCAACTACTATCGCCATGATACCAAATAAATTTTAAACTTGAGCATTTTTTTGAAGAAAAAAAAATGTTGATGTTTTGTTGCCCGGGGTGGTAAGGATTTATACCTTTCAAAATGGTCCTTTCTGTGATTTTTTTTATTAGTTTCTTGCAGGGCCCTGTCTAGTAGTTGCCAAGACTTGGTGATTATTCTGCCACAGTTCACGATTCGGATGTACTACCTCTCCTCCAGGCAAACATCTACATGTTTTTTTTTAAAAATTTGCAAATTTAAAATATATTTGGCGATTGTAGTTGGCGCAGCAGAGCAGGATTTAGAAATATCCCCCAACTATATGTATGCATTTGCATTTCAAAAAAAAAAAATCATTTTTGAAAGCCACCCCATAAAATACAAATTTAAACTTTTATACTATTTTATGTATTTCCATAGAATAATTTATAATTATTAAATTGTGTTAAATTTTAATGATATATATAGTACAATCCGTTGTTTAAACGCTTCATTTAACGATAATTTCATTAAAATTTTTTAATATTTTTAGAGAAACTTTTTTTTTCGTATTTCTAGTAATAATAAGAAAACAAAAGATTATAAATTCCTTAGAATTTTCTAAAATTATTAAATATTTTCCTGATTCTCTCTGTCTTTAATGTTATCGATTGCTTTAAAATATCTTTTATGAGTAAATAAGTTATAGAGAAATGTATCAGTTCTATAACTTATATATACTTATTCATACAACAATATATATGAATAAGTATGTATAAGTTATAGAATTTTATTATAGAACGTTTTTGAAGAAATTGCCTAAATTTGATAAAACAATATTTATTTTCTTCAATAACCGAAAGTCAAATTCATGAAATAATCTCTCTTTATATATTTGAGAAAACTAAGAATTTGTTTTAATAATTAAATATGCCAGAATACATGTTTAAATGAATTTGTAATTTTTGAGCATTTTAATAGTCATGCGCAAAAAGTATGAGGAAAACTCGTACAATTTTGTGCCCACTCTTCCAATATAAAGACAATATAAACTCTCAAAAGACAGCTAAAAAGAAAAAATATCAAAAAAGGCAAAAATACATATATGCTAAAAAAATATTTTATTTTTGGCAACATCAGTTATAAAAATGATTGATATTTAAGATAAATACAGTATCTTGACTGTTCTTATCACCATATTTTATCTAGAAAATCAATGCTTCTGCCGTGATCAAACATCTTTTTCACTATTTTAATTCTGAAAATGTGCTAACATATATGGATATATATATATAATAGTCATGATGTGTATTGTATAATTTTGAAGAGTTATAAATATTGTTCCTTTGAGCAATTTTTAAAGAAGGCTCCCAAAATTAATCAACCAGGCACAGATGGGTTAAAAAAAAAAATTATGTAAATTCTAATATCGCGTTAAGTATCGATCAACCATGAGTTTCTATATTTTTTTCTCTGTTTTACTCAAAAAAGAAATTAACTGTGTTTTAGATATTATCTAAATTAGTTCAGTATTGTTCAGAAAATTGCGTTTCCACATTGTCACTAAGTTTTAATGTTAAGATAGTTCCTGTTTCATCAATTTAGATGTTTGTGTTAAAGTAGGAAAAAATCTTAATATGAGATAAAAAAAGAACATTAAGTATATTATCTTTGTTTTGTACTGGAATTCTATTAGAGTGCAGATTGTTTTAGCTTTATTTGATTACACACATAATAGTCGCATTGGATCCACATTGCAGTTCCTGCGCAAAAATCTATTTTGAAAAAGTGGCTCCTTCAAAATTGAATGTTGATTTTATCAAATTTTGTGTATAAAAACAGTTCTTCCTTCACTTTTAGTTTGCAGTGAACTGATCGTAAATAAACAGTTCCCAGTAGAACACCGAAGTCAAGCATCACTGGCTGCTTCCAGTAAGCGAGTGGGTGACCACTTTGATCAGCTTACGCAGGGACCAAGGGTGTGCGGTGCCGGTCCTCGTTAAACTGTTCTACCATAAAGTGCTCGAATTCGCGCATAGGTCGTCGTGTACATGCAAGTGCAGCGAATCTCATTCGGCTGTCAAGCACTCAACAATTGAAAATCTGATTGTCATATTGCGAAACAATCATTTCAAACCTCTTTTTCTCATTTTAAGTATCTAAAATTGGTAACATTAGAATTTTTTTTCCACAAAAGGATTTTTTTCCCCCACCAACTGAAGTCCCATATGAAAAAAGCCTGGATCAACCCGAGGTATTTTATAAATGGAATAGAATTGCGAAACAGTCATTTCAAACCTCTTTTTCTCATTTTAAGTAGGTATCTAAAATTGGTAACATTAGAATATTTTTTTCACAAAAGTATTTTTTTCCCCCACAAACTGAAGTCCCATATAAAAAAAGCCTGGATCAACCCGAGGTATTTTACAGGGATGATTGTGCTTCGGAAAAATTCCGGATTTTTCGCTAACAGTGATCCGGAAGTTTCCGGAGATCGAAGGTTCAAAGGTTTCAAAAAATCANTTTTCAAAGGTGGAACTTAAAAACACAGTTTATTTTATTTGTTTGTAAGGGAGAGCCAGAGAGATACTTTATAAGCTTATATTCATGATTAATATTCATTTCTTATCAGTAAATAGCTGTTATAATCATAAACTCAAGGAAGAAAGACATATTTGTAAATTTTAATTACTTGTCCAGGTTATTATAGGTATGTGTAAAATTTTAAATATATTTTAAGTAAACTAAGAAATATTGAGAAGAAGGAAAAAAACTAGTTTAAATTTTTTTCTAATTGTTCAATTTAAACATTTTTTTTTTTTTTAAAAAAACTCAAGAAACTTTCCGGAATTTCGACTTGGGCTCACAATCACCCCTGATTTTATAAATGGAATAGAATTGCGAAACAGTCATTTCAAACCTCTTTCTCATTTTAAGTATCTAAAATTGGTAACATTAGAATATTTTTTTCACAAAAGTATTTTTTTTCCCCACAAACTGAAGTCCCATATAAAAAGAGCCTGGATTAACCCGAGGTATTTTATAAATGGAATAGAATTGTTTATTTAAAAATGTTAAAATTCTAAAAGAAAATTTCATGTAATTTTACAATAAGTACTGCTTCAACTTAAAAGTTTTTGTAACTTAACCTTAAATGCTTAATAAAAATTCAGTAATTTAATTTAAATTTTTTTATTAAAATAAAAATTAAATTATATTTAAGCCTTAATTTTCTTTGAAACAGAAAAAAATCCGGTATTTTTTTAATAAATTTACCTATTTCATTTTCCTACTTTGTCATGTAGCATAACTACCCAGGGGTTCGTACAGGCCGAATTTACTACCGTTTAGCAGTACCTTCACAAATTCAACTTTAGGAAAAATGGTAGTTTCACAAATTCAACTTTAGGAAGAACGGTAGTTTCACAAAATACTTTTTCATAAACTTTTATTTTTGTATCCCTTAAGAAATGATGAATCCATATTTTAACCATATTTTTGTCTTGATTTTTTAATATAATTTTTATATTTTCACAAAATAGGTACAACCTAAACAGACCCCTGCTACCACTATAAATATTGAATACCAAATCACTATTATTTAAGACATGTTAACTCTATTCTATCTTGAGGTACCTATTGATAGATGAAGGTTGACATAGACGATAATTAAATCCCTTCAGTCTTATTAAATATTCACATTTCAAATATATTTAAGTAAAAAAGCGTCTAACGCTTGCTCGTAAGTACTACTTAAAATTTAAAAAGTATATAAAAATAAACTTGTTATTTTTTTCCTTTGATGATTTTTTTTAAAATTTAATTAAATGATAATATGACTAAAATCTATTCCAATTGCTAATTTTTAAAATTCTTCAGACCCTGCTTCAATTACTTTTGAATATTTTTAGGACACTTGTGTTGGTTTTTTGCTGGGTGGCATTGGTGAAGTGAACAAATCGAGGCAGACTAATTTTATGGTTGTAGAAAAAAGTATGTTTTCTATTTTTGGATCACTCTCTATAAAATATACAATGATAGTAAAATTTTAAAATGTGTTTTGAAATAATGTTTTAAAATAGCAAAGTATAAAAAAATATTTTAAAAAGATATGTTAGATCAATGTATTACTAAAATAATTTCAGATTGGCAAAAATATCTTTGTTTTTGCTTAAAATTTCTTATATTTTGCTAATTATTATTTTTGTACTTTCTGTAATGTGTTATTTTCCCAAAGAATGTAATGTATATGTATACTATTTCTCTTGTGAAGTTCTTTTTTTTCTCCTTTCATAATTTAAATTTTTTTTCTGAGTAATGTTTGTTACATTTTCAATGAAACATTAAATAGTAAGTTATACAAATCTCCGATTTCAGTTTTAAAATGGGGCAACATTTCTCCAAAATTAATAGGATTGATATTTGTTCTTGTTCATACTTCAGCAATAATAATATGAATACTCCAAAACTGGAACATTATGCATATAAGAACATTGTGTCAGTTTTGCAACACAGAGCCTTTGGAGCCTGTTTAAATTTTCTTCCACTTTAAGAAGTTTATTGTTTTTTGATTGATTCAATTCATAATTTTCATGTAACATCTATATGTTTTATTTAATAATAATTTTTGTATCTATATTTTAAATATTTTTATTAGAATATTAAACTAGGATTTAAAATTTTTAAAGAATATTGAAGTGAAATTCACGATATTTACAAACTTTGAGAACATTCCTACTGAATGTGGTTTAATTGTTCTGCTTAAAATATAACACATTTCTAAATGCATATTTTATATGGATTTTTATTTTGATGAAAAAGTAACTAAAAAATATTATTGGAAAATATTTTGTTTTAAAATAAGAAGTTTCTTCACAAAACATTTAAGTTCTATACAGAATAGTTTATTTACAAAAGCGAAGCATGAAATAACTCTACTCTTCTCTTGAGATGAAAATCGATTGCAGTTTTATATCTGTTTTTGAACGGCATCATTAGAACAACTTGGAGAAGGCACCAAAAACTTAAGTCTCCCAAAGCTGACCTTTTATTAGGAAAGTTTAAGTTTAAACTCGTGTAAGTTTGGAAGGTTTAGAGTATTTGTACTTTTTATAATTTATAAAAATGCTTCTATAAAGAGTTAGATGTAAAAGCTTTCCCTATTAATTTGCATATTCTGAAATAGGAATCGCGCTCCTGCACTCAAATTTATTGGATCTGATTCTCTCAATCTTCTAGGAAAATCTATTAATTCCCCTGATATTCCCACATCTTCTAATTTTTCTCCTAGTTTAAAAATTTTCATTTAAGACTGAATTTTTTTTGTAAAGAAAAAATATTTATAATTTTTTTTTTTTTTTTTTGCGGTTAAAAATAATGAAAAAAATATTTTTGGTAGCAAGTTAGCTAAATTTGTTTTGTTTAATCATATGCAGCATTTTTATTATATTATTAATTTTAAAAAGTCAGGAGAAATATACTTGAGTAAAAATTCTTAGATTAATTATAAATTTTTATTAAAAATTTCAGCACTCTTCTATAAAAAAAAAATATAAAAAATAAAAAACATTTACCTTCAAATAGTTGAAAAAGTTAAAGTTTTTTTTTGTTGACAGGAATCAACTTACTAAAGAAGTTATTCTTCTTTTAGTTATTATATTTATCTTTGTTATTATAGTATTGTTAAAAATTAAAGGCATATGTACTTAAAAATATTCCTATTTCATTTAGGAAGAAGTATTTTTGTTAAATGATTCCTTACCATAAAACTTTTCATAATTTTTATTTTTGAAATGTTGGCAACCATGCATGCAGTTCAAGTAAACTTTTTTTTGTGTGTCAAGAGAAATTATAAAATCTGAAATATAGGTAATATTATAATTGTATTACCCAGATAAAAATAATTTATTAAAGTCTGCAAATTTCAATAATTATTAAATTTTTGTTCATGGTTTAAATTAAAATACAGTTTAAGATTCAATTTAATGTACTAGTCCTAAGAAATCTGATGATAATTTTTTGTAATATAAAAAACTAATTTGTAAATTTATGTCCTACGCTATAAGTCATTTGCTTTCATAAACCTTTGAATGAAAGCTCCTTATTAAAATTGAAATGTTTTAATTAACTGCTCATTAAGATGTCTCTAGATAAATTATTTATAATTTTAAAACAGCATGATTATGCTTTTTATAATTTGACCATGAGTTTCAAAGTTTACTTCGCAATATTTGTTTTGTAACTATAAAATAGGCTATACTGTTTTACATTAAATCTTTTTTCATTTAAAAGTGTCAATTACAGAATTTTTTAATTAATAAATCTAAAGTTATATTCAAATACATTTCTTTAAATAGAAAGTTGGTTTTAAACTAAAATGCCTTTTACCTAAAAATTCCTCAAAAATATCAATTTAAAAATTTTTGTTCGACAAAATTTTGGATTAAAAAAAAGAGTACTTCTAAGTTTTGTAAGTACAGTGAAACCTCTCGGGAGCTACCACTCTCCGTTCCTAAGTAAAATGATCGTTGATTGAGGTTGATCGTTCTTAGAGGTTACCTGTGTTGACTTCAAAATTGTTATTAAAGGTACATGATCATTCGCAAAGATTTTATTTTTAGTCAGTGCCATTTTCTTGGTGCAGAAATGTCACTTCTGCTGAAATCATGAAAAGCCAGATCTATGACTTAAATTGAGCGTCTATAAAAATGATCCCTTACTGATATAATTATGTGCAAAAACAAATTAACCAATTATGAATGATAAAGCTATTTTAAATAAACAAACAATTATGCTTTTTGTTTAAGTTTGCTTTTAGTTTTATATCATAAAACTTAGTTAGCTTTATAAGATTGAAAGAGGCTTGTTTGCTCTCCTTTTTTTTTTTTCTAAAATAGCTATTTCTAATTTAATTTCCAGCTCTAAAAGTAAATCATTGATAGCATCATTTTTAGTGTACTATGATTGCAGCATGATGTTGTATCGTCAAAAAGAGCTTTTAAAAATAAGAGTCTCTCGCAAATGTATTAAAAACATTTTAATCTTCTTTATTTTCTTTAATTTTTTGTTTTGATATTTTTTTGCTTCCTTAATTGACCGCATTTGGTGCAGATGTTTGGCCGGTCTCTGGGACAGGTTTTAATAGTCTCTTCTTAAGGTTTTCTTCAATACAATGTCTGTAATAGAGGTGGTCTTTCCTGGAGTTTTCAGTGTACATTTTACTTTATTAAGTAGAAATGTTATTAATAAAACTGATATTTAGCTTTATTTTATGCTTCACTTTTTTTGTATATAAATTTTATGTTTAACTCATGTAGAGAGTATTCATGTTTTAGATACTCCAGCAAGTGAAATTGAAGAGACATTCAAGAACTTTGTTAAGAGAGATGACATCGATATCATCCTTATCAATCAAAATGTAAGCTTTGTTTAATCAATGTAATAAATTGCAATTTAAATTATAATTAGCTTAGATCAAAATTTAGTTTTTATTGGTGAAATGATAAATTATACATTTTAAAATCAGATATGGCTGTTTGTTGTAACTCAAGCCTAAGAAGATAATTGTTTTTAACACCATTCTTGATTACACACTACATAAATGGAGAGCTACAAATGTTAACTACTCAAAAAAATTTTTTACAATTTATTGAAAATATACTCCATTTAGCGGGGTGCAGTCCTCATGTGAGAATTAATTTAACTGATCCCAAATTAGGTAATCAGTTAAAATAATGAGGGATCTGAAAACTTAGAGAGTGTTGGGACAGTTTAGGAATGAGAATTTTTTGTCATCATCAATGGCTCGACAGCCCAGGGTGGGCCTTGGCCTTATCAAGAAGTTTTTTCCATGCTAACCTCTTTTTTTTTGCTTGTATTTTCCAATTTTTAGTTTTTAAGACCAAAAGGTCTTTCTCTAGGCCATCTATCCATTTTAAATTCAACTTGCCTCTTTTTTTGTGTGCAAACTGGGGAATAGATTTAAATAAAAATTAAATGTAAAATATACTATTAAGTTATGCATTCTGAAATTACGAAACTCAGTTATTCTGCTAGACTTTTGAAACTACTGTTTCTTAGAACCAAAAATTTCCAAATTTCTAGATCCCTTTGGTCCCGATTTAAAACAGGAATTCTCTACCTGTTTACCCATCTATTAAAAAACACATTTATGAGTATGTTACCTATTGATAGGCAAAACAAAAAATTTCAAAAAAGGAAAGCGTTGATTTGAACTAGCGTTGCTTTTAATAAGTAAGTATTAATCAAACATTTGCATCAAGGAAATGTAATATGATTCTCAGAATTATTCAGTTTTCTCCCTCAGTTATTGAAAAAGAACAAAAAATTTCTTCCAGTTTATATATTCAAATTTTTCATTATAAATCTGTAAGCCCAATATATGTATATTTTTTTCACACTGGACATTTATGACACATCCCAGGGGTTATACCATAACTTATTTTTTAAGTCTCTATGATTTTTGGTGTATAAGCCAGGTTATGGCACATAAACGGTATCACTCTTACTGTAGGTTCAATAACCTTAAAACTCTTTAATACCCTATACATAAATGCCAAATCTCCTGTTTTTTAATGAAAACTCCTGTATCTTATCTCCTGTTTACCCGTATATTCTAAAATTTCTATGTATTTGTTGAAGAAATTTAAAAAAAAGGGTAATAGTTTCATGATAAAATATCCACTGATGGCAAAAATACTCTTCTTATTCCTCAACAGATGGTGCTATTGCCAGTACAGCAGTATGCTGAGTGTTATCAGAAATGTTTAAGTCGAGTCGGGATGGCCCATTCGTCTTCCAATGAGGTGTACGCAGGTTCTAATCCCATCGATGACTGGTCGATACAAATTAGGCATCGAGCATGCACCAACCATAGTGCTGACATAAAATATCCTCAGTGGTAGACGAATCACAGGCTAGTCTCCATGTCGTCGGGCTAACCATGAGAGGTTTTCCTCTCCATGTACCTCAAATGCGGGTTAGTTCCATAAAAAAGTCCTCCACAAAGGCAAATTTTACCCAATACTTGATCCGGGAGTTCAGTTGTCTTGTGAATTGGGTTCAAAACTACAAGACTACGAAGTTGAACATCAGTAGTTATAAGCCCAAAATAGGGTCAGTTAAGTAAAATCTCCGTTATTTTATTTCTCCAATGTTGGCAGGTATGCCTATATCTATTCACTAATTCAATTAAGATAGGAAAAAAATAAAGTGAGTTTTTTATTAAATTTTTTATTTTATTTGCTCAGTGGTTAAGGGTTATTTTTTTCTAACAATGCCCATATGTATTCATATCTAAATTTAATGTTACGTTCGAATTAGATTGCTGAGATGATTCGTTATGTGATTGATGCCCACACTAAACCAGTACCAGCTGTACTTGAGATCCCATCAAAGGATCATCCCTATGATCCAAGCAAGGATTCCATTCTACGAAGGGCAAAGGTATATTTCATTCTTTCTTTCATTCTCACTTTACTGGGCCTGAACTTGGACATAATACCACTTTTTATAAATGTACCGTCTTTAATTTTCAAAATCGAAAAGTCTCAATTAAATAAAGTCGCACATTTTTTAAAAAACATATCAAAATGTTAGCAAAACCTGTATAAATTTTAAAATCATGTCCTCTTTCTGCACTAAAGAGTATTCTAAATTATGATACTTGCGTAGAATACTGATAATAGTATGTTATGAAAACTGGTAGCATTACTGAATTTTAATTATATTATTCAAATAAATATGTCATAAGTATTGATACTTAAGATTCATACTAAAATTTTTATTCATTAAAGTAATTGATAATAAATTAAACTAATGATGTTTTCCAAAACATATGCATATCAAAGATGGATTAATTAGTTAAGAAGGAATTAAAATAAGGATTAAACGAAATATAAATAAATGATATTCACTGCTTCTTCAAACACTATACCCGAGCCCTATAAGCCATTCATAATAGCAAGGACATGATTTTAAGCAGTACTTTTACTTTCATAACAGTAGGCTAATAATATCTCGTACCTTTTCTTTTAAAAATAATAAATTTTAATTCTAATAATTTCTTCTTTATTACAAGTCCGTTAACAGTTTTAAATATTACTAACTTTAAGTTTTCATTAAAATCAAAAAGTGCCTGGAGATTTTCATTCATGCTAAAACTACTTTTTGCCATAATTTCTTTGTATCGGAAATTAGTTATTTTTCATTCAGTTCTTTTATATTTAAACTGGTCATATTTTTTTTATTAATCATTCGAAAGTAAAGGTAATTAAAGGGATTTTTTTTAACTCTGAAGAATATTTTCTGTTATATATTGCAATTTATATATAAATATTAAAAAAACAAAAACAAATGAATTTTAATAAGAACAAGTTCTTATTAAAATTCATTTGTTTTTTATTTTATTCTTATTTATTGAGTCAGATTTTTATCAATGTTCCCATTTTTTAGATTTTTATTATTGAGATTGAATTGAAATGACAATAAACTGAGATTTTCCTTTGAAAAAAATTTCTGTTATGAGCGTATTTATAAATGTTGTCAATGCTAATATTTTATAATCCAGTATTTAAAAGTAGGGAAAAAAAAGTTTTTATGAACACTAACTTTAAAATGAGTGTTTATAAAAACGTTTCATAATATCTTTATAAAACTAGCTTCTGATAGGCTATACTCTGTTGAATTCTTAAAAAATTAACCTGTAGGAGTAATTAAAAAAGATAAATTTATTAAATGACTTGTGCGTTAAAAGTTGTGCTTTGTATATGCGAATGAGTAGAACAATCTTTGAAATACTTGGCCCAGATATCTTTGAAATTAATATCAAAATACAAAGTGTGATGCGCCAGGGTGTATAATTTACTATTCAAAGAACCAAAATTTGTTATATGACTCTAAAATAATAAGTGAAAAATGATTTACCAATAAATTTGAATATCTCAGGAAAGTATGTGCAGATTCTTGTATTATAATCTTGCTATTTCAATTTTCATACTTAGTCAATGCTATTGAAAGGATAGAAGTATATTTTGAAGAGTCCCTTAGCACAAACTGGCAATTTTTTGCAGCAATAATGTTTATGGGCAATGATTTGCCAAGTGAAATGACAAAAACGTAATGCAATAACACGTGTAAAAATATGCATAACATAAAAACATAACTAAACACAAACTTAAATAAAAACATAATTAAAACAAAACGAGTCAAAAACGTTTTATATTAGATTCAAATAATAATAATACAATCAGTTGGCACATTTTGTTAGAAATAATATTTTATTGTTTTTTATAATAATTATTGTTGTCATTTAGAAAAGCTTCTTTTGCTGAAAACCAAGACTCAGCTTTTTGATCTGCTCTTTGAAAACCTTCAAGAAACCATAAAGTTAATTAAATGAAATAGAATCACAATTGCTAAAAAATAATTGAAATTTAATTTAAAAAATCAATATAGCTATTAATAGATAGAATTAAATTTAAAGTTTTATCTTTTGGGGTCACACGAATGAGCAAATTTGGGAAAATGATTCTTTCGTTTACAGTTTTTTTTTATGTAACAATATGAGAAACATAATACAATTAAACATAAAAAAAACATGTGTCACATATAAATGTAACAATAAAACGCAATTAAAACATAAGTTGTATCGTGGAATATTTGGATTGTCATAAATGAAGCAACATTGCCCATCCTAATTTGTTGATAATGCAAAGAAGACACCTCAAAGTATAGACTAACCATTGAAAGATTATTATTGTCAATCTTGAGAAAGATCATCCAATTCTCTAATTTATCGTTTGTTTCTTATCCTGATTCATTTGATTTGAAAAGTAACTCTGCAAAGGGTAAGGCTAAGAGGTTTTATGTTTTCGCATAACTTAACTGTCCATAAAATTATGTAAAAACCTTATAAAACTTGATAGTAAAATAATTAAACCACGAATTAAGAGAATTTAATAAATTTATATCAAACTAAAAGTGTCTCTAAAATAGTTTCAAAATTTAACCAGATATTGGTGCTAGAGTTAGAAATTGTGTTTAAAATAATTTTTTTTCTTCTGACTTGTTTTATTTATTTATTTTTCTGTTTTAATAGGGTATATTCCAAGCAGAAGAATATAGATAGAGAAATATTCCAGCAATTAAGGTAAAAATTTATTTATACTTCTTAAATTTAATCTAATCTGTGTTTTCTGAAATGGCTTTATTCATTATTATTTTCAATGTGTTTTTCATAATTGTAGGCCACGTTCATTATAGTTTTCAATCCAATAATAAGTATGCCTGAAATTCCCCTAAACCTCCTTCTCGCTATTGTACATATTCTGCTCCCCCGCATATTAGTAATAACAAATATCGAGAATCAAATAGTACATATTCTGCTCCCCTGCATATTAGTAATAACAAATATCGAGAATCAAATTGAAAATTTTATACGTAAAGATCAGACAACTATTGACGACTACTTTAGTTTTACTCAATCTAAAACATCTGCCTGAATTGTAACATAAAAGAATTAAAATCAATATTTAGATTGCTAATAATGAAAAAATCTTAGTTATTACCTATAATATAAACTGAAAAATTCTAATATAGCAAGTAATATTGACTTTAAAGGATTAAGAAGGCCATGTTTTTAGAAAAACTGATTTGTAGTTTCAATAATTTTGACTTTATTTTTCATGCATCATAATTATAGTAGCATAGAATGCAAGTATTGTGTATGAATTACTATCTAATAAAGTTTCCCCAAACGACAAAAAAATAAACTTGTTCCAGGTTTTTGTCAGATTTTGACAATTTATGACAGGTTTTTGACGAAAACCCAACACTGTTTATAGTTTTCCTGATAATGAATATTTTGTCCTTATTTGTCTTGATTTTTAGCTTTTTGCCCTGATAATCCTGATTTAAGAGTATGTTCAGAACCATTCCACTTTGAGAATACAACTGAAGATTTTTAAAAAAGATTTGAAGAAACAAAAAATACCGATTTTTGATACATATTCTTATTTTAAATAATAATATTACAGGGTGCGTAGCGTTTTTAAAAATTACTTAAAGGTGCTTATTTCCAATTTTCAAAAGCCTTTAAAGGTACTTTTTTTATTGGGTGTTTTCAAAAAGTGCTTAGTTTTCCTTTTTTGAAAATGAGATTTTTTTTCTTTACCTTGTCAATTTTCATCACGTATTGTACAAAAGCGTGGTTTTCACCTTGTTCTATTCAATGTTCGGTGTACCATCTTTCTGCAGCGTATGAAAGCAATAATTTTACATGTTTGATGAAAGCTTGCGGGTCTGCATGTGCATATACTGAACTGGATTCAGTGGGAATTATTCTTGCACTATTATGTGCAACTCTGCTACATTTTGCAAGAGTTTCAATTTCAGGCTTCATTTTCCTCCCTCTGAAATCGAACCAAAAAATCTCTGTACTTTTTTATGGTAGCTAATGTAATCAAGAAAAAGAGTTCTTTGTTAGAAACTAGTTATTTTATCATGATCGTGTAAAGTTTTAGAAAATTATTTTGAAAATGTATACAGCGCTTAAAAATATTTTTTAAGTGCTTATTTTTTGTTCAAAGATTTGGCTACGCACCTTGTATTAGTATAAATGGCAAAATTCGATAGCTTCAATTAACCAACCGTCTACCAATACAATTTTCAGACACATCTTCTTACTCATGGGATTCATTGTTTAAAAACCTTCTCAGAAATTCAGTCATTCCATGAAAAAGAAGCTCAATAATTTTATATAGTTAAATTTTTACGGTGATGAATCCAGGGGCCATATGCTTATTTATTATTATAACCAAATGCAGTAGCAAATCTTGTAGGCTGGACTTTTGTAGTTACAAAATTACTGGTTCGTTTCTTTTGTGTGATTTTAAAAATTATTGATTTTAGTCAACTGTACAGTAATTATAAAATGAATTACACAACGAATCCACTAAAATTACTTTTGTACTAAAGTGCTAAGTGGCTTATTCAATGTGTTTTCATTTCGCGATTATTGAAGCCATACTTTAAGATTATTTGTGGGAATATTATCCAACTTATACTGATTATTTTTTTAATGCAGCAATATTTTAAAAAAAATTCATACATTGAATTTAAATTATTAAGAGTTGTTCACTATTTATGAAATTATACTGGAAACTGTTGAAGCTTTCTGTTCTAAACAGGTAATTCAGAAGTAGTATATTTTATATTCTTTCATGATTAAATCTGCTTTTATAACACTTAAATAGAGCCAATTATATATTTTTTTTAGTTTACTTATCTAAAAGAAGTCAGGTTTATGTACTCTGCTCCAATAAAAAAAAAATTTGGTCCAATAACCTAACCTGGAAATACCAATGCATAAATTTTGGCGCCCATAAAATCTTTCCTGAAAATCAGGAGAGTTTGCAGCAATACATTTGATATTTATTATCTTGTTGAAAAGAGTAAATTAATTTTTTTTAGTATTCTAATTTTATATTTTCTTTTCAGGTTATTTATTATTCCAGATTTTATTGTTATTCCAGAACTTGTCTCGTGAATTATGTGAACTATTTTTGTTTTTGAAATGCCTGTTTGTAGATTTTGACGAAATTGTTGCGTCATTAAATCTTATTGTCGTACGTCTGGTGGTTGTGAAGAATCGTTCTCTTGTAGTCAAGTTTATAAATTAAATTTATGTGAAAATGATTTAACCTCAAATTATTTAAAATCTCAAATTCAGTCTGTACTTATACTGTATAAAATAAGTAATATTTAGATTCCATGTTATTTGCTCTTGTGAATTATTAACTCATGTAATGAAACTAAGCAAATAAATTACCTAGAAAGCACTAACTTATGTGAATCGTGCTAGTGCTAATAATATGGAGTGAGGCACTTTTCAGGTGGGGAAAATAATTATTTAATTCAGGGTGACCAGAATAGATAATAAAAAATAATAATTTTCAGACAGATTTTAGAAAAAAATTTTGATTTTAGTATACTGTGGTATAAATTTTATTTTAAAAATTTCAGTTAGGCCTTAGTCTTATTCATAATACACTGGTTATCATAAATTAAGGAAAATTCACAAAAATCGCGATAACTCAAGAAATTACACATGGAATTTTATGAAACTTACCCACAATATACAACACATAGTAAGGTATTAAACAACATAAAAAGANTGATTTTAGTTTACTGTGGCATAACTTTTATTTTAAAAATTTCAGTTAGGCCTTAGTCTTATTCATAATATATATTACAAAACACTGATATTTGTCATAAGGTTAGAATTTTTAAGAAAAAAAAATACTAGACCATTACTTTTTTCCAAAAATTTTGAACTTTAAGTATCTTAAAATAATTAATTTATCCTGGCTTTTTGGTAATAATAATTTCCTAATTTTACGAGATTGATGACTTTTCCCTGTTCTGTGACCACCTATTAATTAAAGCAAATTAAGTGTTTTGTAACCAATATCCATAAAATTTCAAGGTAAATATTTAGTCATATATTACCACATGATATTTAAATACATGTTTTCTTGTGATTTAATTTTTTAAAAATTAAAATTTTTTTTAATTGCCTAGACTGTGTAATCAGCAAGTATGCTGATATTGTGTGGATATATATCTCTGTATGCAAATTTGTACTGAGATACAAAAATAAGCGACACAAGATAAAAATGTAACAAAATATTTATTGAGTACTGATATGACTCGATTAAAATATACGTATTTATTGCACAGTTTTTATATTCTAGAGTAGAAACTTTGTTCAAGATTTTTTTTTTTAACTACACAATTTTTAAAATATTATAAAACATTAATAATCACTCTTAATTTGAAATATATATATAATATACTTATATTACTTTGAAAAAATATATCTTATTATAAATTTTCATTCAATACATATCTATTGTAAGTTCAACAAGTAAAATCATTCCCATTTATAAATTAATTGCATATTTTTCACATTTATGTTAAAAATATTCCTAAATGTTTTACTAAAATATAAAACTTCATATAAATAAAATATTTTTCTTCACAATTTATTTAAAATTGTTCAGTTTATAACTGAAAAGAAAAAAGATTAATTGGTTGAGATTTAAATTATCTCCATATTTTATGCATTTATATATAAAATATTATTCAAGATTTAAATAAAATATAAAACTTCTCTACCAGAAAATAAAAATCTTGCAGTTAACCCATCGATTACACAGTAAACTGGTGTCACAGACACTTATATCTTTTCTTCATCACAAAATCAAGTTTTTTCAGTTGAAGTTGACTCCATTAATAATTGCATCAAGCTACTATTAATCAAATTGTTACTTAATGAATTCTTAAAAGTATAAATAATAGTCTCAGAATTTTAAAAAACTGTCACATACACTTATTTTTTTTAGTAACAATTCATTACAAAATGAAATTTGTCAGTTAAAATTGACTTCAAACTACTATCAATCAAATTGTAGTTCAATAGATTCTTAAGAGCGCGCCATACCGTGGAAGAAAATTTTCGCAGCAAATTCTGTTTATCCTTCATTACTAATTTAAAAGGAAAAAAAAAGTAACCTAGAGTTTGTCATGAAGTTTCAATTGCTGAGAAATATACTTCAAAATATTAAAATGCAAACAAATTATTAGAAGAGAACTTCTTCGTTGCGTTCTAATATCATCTTATAATTTATTTTCATTTGTATATTTTATAATTTTCTTTTCGGTATTTGAAACTTCATGGATTACTCTAGGTTTGTCTGAACTCACTTTTTATACACTTTAAATTAGTAATGTAGGAGAAAGAGAATTTGCAACGAAAATTTTCTTCCACGGTATGGCGTGCTCTTCAAAACAAAACTATAGAGAATAGCCTCAAAATTTTAAATAGCTGTCACAAAACATGATTCACAATAGTGAGATTCATAGAGCCATGTAAGTAATATAATTAGAATTCATCTCTAAATATATATACAGACGAAACACAAAACACTTTTCTTTCAGTTTGTTAAATGCAACTCTTGAGTTTTGAGTCTATGTACAAAATATATAATCTCTTATTTTACATTTATAATAAAAGTGGACTTAATTATTTCTTTTTGAGAAAACCAAACATTCCTCCTTTTTTCTTTTCCTTGATTTTCCTGTCATTAGTAACTACTTCACCTTCGGAAGAACCCTCAGACGAGGTGGTCCTCGAGCGGACTTCTAATGTGGAGAATGGACGGTTCTGGCCACCAGATGGCATTGGCTGCACTTTGTAAGGAAGTGATAAATGCCTTGATGTCTCTGTAGATTCATAGGACTAAAATGGAAACAAAATAATTAGGAAATAGTTTAATTTATTATAAAATATGCAACACTTCATCTACTACTTATTTCCCATTTTTTACTTAGAGAACTACAGTACATTAAGGGCCATCTTCAAGCAAAAAAGAGATTTTAATTTCTTCACCTTATTTGTCCAGAATTTACAAACTTATTCATTATACAGTAACTAATTAATATTTTTGAAAATTTTTTTATTTCATTGTATTCATTATTTTGATCTGAGTAATGAAATTTTTATTTTTTAAGTATTTTTCAAAGTTTAACGTTATTAAAAATCATGAATATCAAGTTTTTGATAAATTCAAAATTTAACTGAAATATTTGAAAGAGATCTTTTAATTTTGTCCTCACCGCACTACATTGTTACTGCAAATTGTTATAAATATCTTGAAAATAACATATTAGTCTTTGTTAGTGAGTAATGCCATCTTTTAACAAACTTAGTAACTATGTAATTTTAAAATTGGACGACAGCAAAACTCAGAAAACCTAACAATTTTTTTCCGGTTTTATTCAAATTGTTAGTCATTTTTGGATGCTTGATAAAATAAACCTGTGCACAAAAATTATAATTTCGGATTGTCTCCTGAGGTTGAATCTTTATAAATAATTCTATCTTATCCCATATAAAAAAAAAAAAATAGGTAACTAGATTTAAATCAGTGGTACACTTTTTATTTTATTTTATAACTGACGCTGAACAGCCTACCTAATTCTGAGTATACGACTATCAATTTTTAATTCCAGAGCCTTGTAATTTTGAATCAAACCCAGAAGACAAGGGGACTCATGGATTAAGCATAGATAGAAACTAGCCTTCAGAGAGGATTTTTTTATGGAACTAATCCGCATTTGTATTATTTGGAAAGGAAAACCTTCTATGGTTCGCACAGTGGCAAGGGCGATTCTAACACAAGATCTGTCTACCACTGAGGATATCTTACATCAGTGCATTAATTTGTATCAGTCAGCCACCGTTGGGATTCAAATTTGAGTCACCTCATTGGTGCAATGAGACTACTACGACTAACACTTATAAACTATAATTTCAAAACAGGCTTATTTTTATATTTCCTTCAGTAATATCAAACAAATTAGCATAGCCTAAAATAAATCTTAAATTCGTATGATTATTATTATAAAAATATAGTTAAGGGATAAAATTTAAATTTTTGCTATTTTTGAAGACAAAGTGTTACAGCAATATCCCAACTTGACAAAAGTCAATTGTCTATTTGATGAATGTTAAGCTATCAAAATTAAATAATATTTTATACCAACAGTAGTTAAAAATACAAAATAATTTAAAGTGTTTTTCAAAGCTTTGGCACAAGATTTGCATACATCATTAATAATGCTACTATCATTCAAGACTTAGAGACTTTCCTTTATAATGGAGTAATACTTTTCATATCTTTTATATTTTTAGGGTTTATTTTTTCGATATAAATGGTAACACCTAGAAAGTGCAAAGAAATGATAATTTACAAATAGTATAAAGATTTTATTTACCTGTCTATAACTTACAAAGTCAGAATTTTGTCCTCTAAGTTCTTGCTTCCTGTAGATAGCTGTAATAATAAGAGAAATGCATCAAATTTAAAAGCAAGAATTGTTTGTCTAAAGTTCACTTTTATGTTGCACAAAAACTATGATTTTTTGTACATCTTGGGTGAAAGCTCCTCAGAATTTTTATAAAAATTCAAATTAGCAGATAATGTTCTGCTAAATTAAATTTAAATTTAGTTTACTATTTGACTTAAAACGTGTTCAATATTTAAAATTTAAAAAAAAAAAGATTTTATTTTAAATTTTACAGAAACTTTGCTTATCTTTTAGCAAACCTTGGATTAGGGTTTATTACTTAGAAATTCTTTTTCTAAATTTTATGAAATAAATTTAGTTTTCATACATTCAGTGCAGACTCTTCGAGAAAATTCAATCTCTTTATAAAATTCCTTTGTCATATTTAGAGAATTATGATATACATGCCAACATTGGAGAAGTAACAACAAGTAAAGTTTTGATACATGCATAATCATGTAAGTCAAAAAGAGAAATTCAAAATTGGAAATAATATAAGCATTTACATTTAGCGAAGTAATAAATATGTATATAAATCTTAATCTAAAGAAGATTTTTTTTTAAAACCATTAGGTATAATAACTTAAACTATTTTATTTTATAACCGTCGTTGAACAGCTGACACAATTATCGGGTTTACAACTACTAATATTCAACTCAGTAGCCTTGTAATTTTGAATCCAATCCAGATGACAAGGGAACTCCTAGATCAAGCATTGGGAGAAATCTGCCTTGGTGGAAGACTTTTTTGATGGAACTAACCCGTATTTGCGTTACATGGAGATGAAGACCATGAGAACCTCCCATGGTTAGCCTGACGGCAAAGGGATTCTAACCCATGATCTGTCAACCACTAAGGATATTTCACGTCAGCACTGTGGTCGGCGCAAGCAGGATACTTATTAGTATCAACCAGCCATTGCAAGGATTTGAACCCGGTTCATCTCATTGAATGGCGAACGTTCTTTCCCCTGAGCCATCACGGCTTTACTTAAACTATTTTTCTATTTTATAACCGTTATTGAACAACCGACCCAGTTTTGGGTTTGCGACTACTAATGTTCAACTCCTTAGCCTTGTAATTTTGAACCAATTCAGAAGGCAAGGAAAACTCCTGGATCAGTACCCCCAGAGGTATGATTTGTTATCGAGGTATGTTTTTTCGAAATTTCTGCAGAAAAGAAAACCAAATTTTTTTTATTTCCCAAAAAAGTAACTTCCCCAAAGGAAAAATCTTTCTGATAGAACTCTGCAACAATGTCGGCAAGGGGAACTCAAGCTGTATAGTTTTTAAAAGCAAATATTTATGGAGAAATAATGTAGAATTGAAATTCAATTTGAATGAGAAATATTTTTAAAAAAAAAACAGTCTCGTTAGTTAATTTAGTACATGAAGTGCATCTTACCATGTTTGTCTGTTTCACCCTCAGACATATGATGCCAGTCGTCATCTGAATCGGGAATGTTGTGAGATGGAAAAGCTTGGGGAGGGGGTTTTTGAGGTAAAGGAGGAGGAGCAGAATTTAAAGACAAACTAGAGTGATCTAAATAATAATAAAGATAAAAATAATAATTCATAAAGATAAATAATAAACATAAACGAAAAATAAACACAACATAAAATGAAGTACTATTAATTAAAAATAATAATAATGAAGATTTTGTAAAATATCAAAACTAGAAGAACAGTTATGAGAAATTGAGCACTATCTCTATCAGGTATATGAATAGCCAATTCCATGCATCAACCCTATTTTAGCAGAGAACGAAATGAAGCAATAGGGTACCCAAGTATAACACTACTACTCTTTCAATGATTATTCACGTGTTCAATCTTTGATTCTTGGAGATAATAAAAGAGACATAATTTATTTCTTAACTATTATTTCCTTTAATAGATTAATTTTTTTTAGAAACTTCATAAAAAAATTTACTTGAAAACAGGTTACATTTATAATTAAAACAGTATGATAGTTTTAAAATAACTTTTTAGGAGGGCATTTATGCTATCGTAATTATAAAAGCATTTCCGTTCCATCCCTATGTAGGCCAGGTAGTCCTGTCGCTCTGGCTTAACAATGGCATGATTATGACAATGTGGTGAACTGCGAGCATAAGCCGCCTTTATTTCCTGGTCAATCTAGTACCCATCAATGTGAATCTTGTAGGGCTTTAAGCCACCACTGATGGCCCAATCTCAATCTTTTACAATGACAGCTCAATGCTTTTAACTACCTAGTTATTGCGGCTGAACCTTAATTTTATTGCCCTTTAAAATTTGTTTATAATTTCTGCTGTTTCTCATATAAAGTAATGTAAGAGTTTGGTAAAATATAATTGCTTGCACATCATTAATATGCACAAGTTTTATAATTTAATGAATTTCATCAATATAACATAGAATAAATTTTATGTCGAAAAAATGTTATAAAACGGAAATCTTAGTATATTTTAAATCACGTTCACAATTAGTTAAAAAGATTGCAATCATGGTTAATGATTATTTTAAATCATGATCATAAGAACAACATCATACTGAATATTTTGCAACAAGACTTAAGATAATTAAAAATGTTCTGTGAGTCATATCAAAACTGAACAAAGAATCTCCCTGATTAAATTTTCACCATTTTTTTTAACATTGAATAATTTTAATTGGCAAAGTAAAATTTAAAAAAAAAGAACTTTAATTATTTAAATATCAAATTATGCGTGAAAGTGAAAACAGAATTTATTAACGCTGCAGCCCTAGAATTTCATCTTAACGAGATAAGACTATATGACCATTATTTGCTACAGTAGTAAAACATTTTTGCTATTGACAAATTTTTGTTTTAAAATATTCATGTAAATGGACATTGAGTAAAGTTAATATAGGATTATGTTAATATATGTTTTTTATTTATAAATGGTATTCAAACAAGGTAATCAAGGCAAGTCAAACAATGGTAACTAGAGATATTTAAGAGAATAAAAATAAAATTACCCGTATCACTGTATGAATTTTCATCAATACCTTGTTGATAGTCTCGACTGAGAGGTTGCGACTTTCGATTATTTTGTATGGCAGAACCATTATGGTGTGGATGGGCTAGAAAACAAATGTTAACAATGCTAATATTACATTGTTTCATAATATAATTATAAAACACATTCATTAATTAATAACATGAATCCAGTTTTTGCTCTGTAGAAAAAAACATTTTTTGCTGATTTTTCTTATTTTTGAAAAGAAAAATAAATTTTTCACTCCAAAATTTTAAAGAAAAAAAAAGAGACTTAAATAAGGTACATATTCAACTGAAGTCAAGAAAAAAAAATTAAAATCTAAAAGTTATAATTTTTTTTTTTTAAATAGAAAAATAAATTTATCTATTAACAGAAAAATAATGTGGCCTAGAAATTTTGTGGAAAAAATTACTTAAAACAGGATACATATTCAAATATAGTTAAGAAAAAACAACTTTTAACCTCAAAGTTATTAAGATTTTTAAAATAGCAGATACTAATTCTTCAATAGGCTAGCAAAAATAAGAAGGAAAAAAATTAAAACCAAAAAAAATTTTGATTTTAGGAAAGCCTACGAGGAAAAATTAACATTTAACACTTTTTTAAGAATCTCAGTAAAAATAAAGGAAAACAACTGAAGACAAATAGAAAAACTAGTTTATCTCTGAGAAGTAAAAAAATTAATTGATTTGTCGAATTTTATTTGCTTATTTATTAACTTTTTTCCCCTGAATCATACTTAGTTAATGCATACAATGACTTGAATATATTTCTTATAATAATTATAGACGTTAAAAACCTACAATAGGAATTAAAATATTAATAATTTCTAATAAACCACAAGATGAAATTAAATTAATATATCTTAAATAGCACCTAAGATTCAAGATATGTTTTCTAAATCAGCAATCTCTAATATTAAGTGATGGAAAACTAATCAGACTTACAGTAACTGATAACAATTTACTACAGAAACAAATAAGTTAAATAAAAATAATTTAAATAAAATGTATATAATAATAAGTAGAAACAACACAAGCTTTATAATTGAAAAACTTTTCCTCATAAATTTACCTTAATTATAGCTTTATCATGCGCAAACAACAATCGTCAAGTGCTCAGAGATTTTAAACTTTCAAATATTTTTTTTAAAAAAACATATAGATATTTGCCCAGGGGAGGTTACGATTTGAGTGATGTTTTCTTTAGTTTCCGTGGACCGCTGCCGGGAAGTTGCCATGACTTGGCGATTATTCTGCCACACATTACAATATGGAAATCTCCCCAAATATAATTAAGATATGAGCACTATAAAAAAATTTTCTTACTATTATTGAAAGTTCATATGTATGTAATATATACAAACTTTCAATGATAGGAAGAAATTTTTTTGTTGGTGCCCATATTCTAATTATATTATATACATAAATTGTGAAAACATTGAATAGAAAAGGGTGAAAACAACACTTTTGGCATAATTCGTGACAAAAACAGACATGATAAAAAAATATCTCATTTTGGAAAAGGGAACATAAGGACTTTTTAAAAATGAGAATCGAAATAAAGTACCTTTAAGTAGTTTTTAAGAATGCTACAAACTCTGTCCCTATACTTAAGAATTTTGCAAAAATACTTTTCAAATATTTGAAGAAAAAAAATTTATTTCTGCAAAAACTTTTAATATGAATGAGTACTCACTATTAGGATATGAAACTACTCTAGGAGCAATAGGGGGCGGTACTGCATGCTGTTGATTTTGAAACATTTCTATTCTACTTTTAACAGATATTGCTGATTCTTTACCATTAGTTTTATGGGGAGGATCAGGAATGGATCTAGGAGGAGCATTTCTAGGCGGTATAGGAGGTTTAGACTTATCCCTCAACAAAGCCTCCTCATAGGGGGGAGGATGTGGCCTACTTGACAAAGTTCTCTCTTGAGTAGACTGAGCTGCGGCTACATTACGCCTGAACTCTGGAGTGGAAGCTTGGCTGGATGTTGCAGATGTCGTGTCTTGCAGGTCATTGGCGTGCATTCCATGAGCACTGTCTTCACTCGCAACAGATGCCTTAAGACTGGAGTTAACACTGTCTGAGCTATTGCTTTTATGAGTTTCATATCGCATAAGTTGCATGCTGGGAGGCAAAGCTGCGTGGAACGCTATTTTATTCATCCAATCGTACATTGTCTTTTCGTCATGGGCCATGAATAGGAATTCAGCACCATCTACCAGCTGAAGCCTGAACACGTGTTTCTTTTTGGTGTAATCAATGGCTTTAGAACATTTGGCTTGAAGTAGACTGACAGGGGGTGCAGCAGCACTATTGTCCACAAATGCTTCTTTGTCTTTAAAAAAGCACAAAAGTTGACCACAGACGACAGTATAGTAAGTCTTCCAGGATCTAATAGTTGCCCTTTTTCCACCACTCTGTAACTCCTGTTTCCGGTCCAAAAACCCTTCGATTTCGACTGGTGGTAAATCAGCCGGTGTTCTCTGCCGGCGGAAGCTTTGGGTACGCCTGCGTGTGGTGAAACTCGGTGTTCGTTTAGGTTTCTTTTGTCTTTCGTCTAACCTCATGCTCTCGGATCGCTTCATGTGAGCGGGTGATTCCGGTTTCCAGGCTCCCAAATTTTCAATCCTCATGCTTTCTCCTCTTTTGACCGATAGTTTGTTGTCGCCATCTAAACTTTTCTGACTCGGAGATCGGTAGAGCCCGGGTGGGTGTCGGATTTCGGGAATGAGACCAGGGGAGGGAGCGTCCACTTCAAATTCAATTGGTCTTTCGTCATTAGGTTTTTTGAGAACGATTTCTTGTGTTCGTCGCCTTTCATCCTCCTTCCGTCTTTCCTGTAAGAAAACAAAATACAATCATTGCATTTGAAATTTATTTAAATTGTAATAAAACTTTGAATACACTTAAAACGAAGACATGAAGTTTACTCACATTCATAGCTAACATAAAACAAAATTATTTATGAATACATTTCTCACTGAATTATTTTTTTTTTCTATAATCTTCCTGTAAATCCGTAATTTAGAATTAAATCTAACTTTTATATTAACATTTAAAAAAAGCAATGCATTCTTGCAACAGTCAGCCATGGTAATTAAAGTTTCACAATTTCCGAGATCAAATAGCATCATGGTGGTAATGTGATCAGCATTGTGCATTGGCTCTGCCTTTACTTCCTAGAAAAGCTGCCACCAGGGATCAGCTGAGCCCAAATAATGACGTCACAGTGCCTTAATTACTGAAATTAACATTTATGAACTCAAAACATTTAATACACTAAAATCTATACTATTTAAAATCATATCGTTCTAATTATCTTTGGTTTTCAGATATGCTTAATTTGTTTTTTATCAACTAAATTAATAATTTTACATTCATTAAAATCTTTTCTTACTTCGAGAATTCTCTTTTGCTCTTTCCTCTTTATTGCATCAAGTCTTTCCTGTTCTTTCTTTTGAGCTTCAGCTTTTCGATTCTGCTCTTCCTCTTGCTTTTGTTTTGTAAATGCATCTTCAATCTAAAACAATAGAGATGGGATGGGTTTAATTTCGCATAACAAACAATACAAAGAATGTTTATTTGTCTAAAGAATGTCTAATTTGAAAGAGTTGATAATCATTGGTGATTGGAGAAATTTAGAATTGAACTTGAAATTAATTGATTAAAAACCTAAAATTTTATGGTTTAAAACTTATTTTTGAAGCTTTGCTCTAAAGCTGCATTAATAGATTAATTTAGTCTTAGAATATTTTCTTATAGCCTATAGCTAAAGAAGTTACTTTTCTTACTTGTTAGTTAGGCATTCACATAAGTCAATGTTTTAATTAAATAAATTTTTTTAAATTAGAAAAAATCCTGAAATCTGTTTCAATCTTAGATAAACAAGGTTCATTTTACTTAATTTGCATTATGTATTTATATTAAAAGAAAGACTAGTCTTTAAATGTGAGGAAAAGGAAAAATGAAGCAAAACCATACTCAGGGTTGCCACTCAAATCTGGAGGGAAAAAAAATTCCTTGCGTTTTCCCTGTACATATTATACACAATATATTAAGAGGAAACATAATTGTGCAAGCTATATTAAGTTAACTATAGTTTTAATTGCTGAAAAAACTTTCAGGAATTAAAAAACTTTTTAATTGAGAAAAAAAGGAGCTGAACATACTTAAATAATGCTATAGTAAAGGAAATATTTTAGTATAGTTGGTATATTAAACATTGAGAAGTCACAATTTTTAAAAGACAAAAATAAGAAACAAATTTCTCTGCATTTTTCAAGTTCGTAAAGAAAAAATCAAAATTTCCTGTTAGTTTAGGTAATTTTAAAATTCCCTGTATTTTCCAGGTTCTTCCTGTGGAGTGGAAACCCTGAAAACTTTACAAAATTTTAGTTGGTAAAACTGAGCTAAAAAACTCAAAACTGGTTCATAACTTCCCAAGATATCAATACCAAACATTCCCATCTCCCTTCACGAAATTAACATAATATGGCATATAATCGTCTTTAAATTTTAAAAACAATAAATTACCTTTGTAATACGTTTCAAAGCCAGGAATTTTTCCTCCTGTGCTTCAATAGTTTTTTCAAAATCTTCATGTTTCCTAATAAGTTCTTCAACATCAGATATGGAATCACCACATTCTTTGTTGAACAGTATGGGTTCTCGACTAGAAAGCCAAGTTTCTAGTAATTCAGCATCCCTCTTGAATATCTAAAAAAGAAACATCATAAAAATTAATGATTAAACAAGAATTCAAAAGAAATTTACTTTAAATTTAGTGTACAGCAATCTTTCACTATTGTTCAGACAATTTTCCATTAATTACTATTACGAATAAAGATTAATGAATGGTGCTAATCAGATGTGATAATCAGTTGCAGTAATTAATGTTAACAATTATGTAGAAAAATAAAAAATTCTCAGAGCCCAATAGTTCCCTAGATATCAGTTTTCTTTTTTTGTTCGTTTGAAATTTTAACCTAAATTACAGGGGTTTTTAAGCAAGGACATATGTGTCAATATATTTTTAGAAAGTAAAGTTTGTATATTGTTTCAACAAAAAAATAAATGAATAAAATTCATTTCATTTTATTCAATTCTTAAATAAACGAAGACAGGGGTTTGTCTAGGTTTTTGTTTTTCTAAGAGGTACCTATTTTGCGAAAATTTAGACATAATTTGTGGAAATTAAAAATTGTATTAAAAAATCCACACAGAAATATGGATTTATCGTTTCTTAAGGGATATAAAAATTACATTTTATGAAAAAGTATTTTGTGAATTTCCTAAAGTTGAATTTGTGAAGGTATCGCTAAACGGTAGTAAATTTGGCCTGGACAGACTCATGTAAGATTTGCGTTAAAAATAATAAATAAATCAAAAGTTACTTGTGTTACATTTAATATAACAGAAAATACTATTTTTTTATTAAGAGAGTAACTTCATATGGCATAAGAAATAAATTAATAACATATGGATAAAAAAATATGCATAAAAAAGGAATAAGAAAACAAACTTTGACGATGAGCATTTTAATATTTATGATCACTTACATTTAAAACATTCTTATACCTTATTCGTATACTAAATTTTTATTTAACAATAGTCAGAAAATCATTTTTATTTTTTATTTAATCTTTACCATTTTTTGAACATTGAATAATTTTATTTGGCAAAATAAAATTACCAGCTTTTCATAATCTGAATTGTGGTTTTGCGCATCACTACAGTAGATTTGAAGCTATCACATGTGTTCACTATTTATTTGGGTAAAATTAAAAATTTCAAAATTTAACAAAAAAAATATTGTATAAAACTAACATTTCTACTATGAAATCTCACAAATAGGCACATTTCAAATGCAAAAACAAATTAAAAGAAAAAGGGCAACAAAAAAAAAATTATCATCTAAAACTATACACAATTCAAGGTATTCGAGAAACACGAATATTGAGAAGAAAGAAAAAGTTAAAATGAAATGGATAATGTACCTGCGCATCCAGACTTTGATCATAAATAACTTGACGTTTCTCCCAAGTGGATTGAAGTTGCGACAGTGAACTTTTCAACCTATGAATTTTGTCTTTGATTTCATCGGCCATAAAATGACCAGAGTCTATGATACTTTCGCCAGTTTCAAAAAACTTGTTGAAGTTGTCCAGCCGTGTGTCTATCTCTGCTTTGTATTCTTTGTGGCGAGCCACAAGCGACTCTGTACCTGCGACATCCTTTGCTAATTCATGAGATGTTATGAGAGCCATCATTTCACTAGACCATGCCCTATTACAAATTAAAGTATATGTAAATGTCAATGCGTGTCATTCTACAGAATGCTTGTATTCATAAGGCATTCTTTAGAATACCAATGTTTTTTTTAGAAATGATGCATATAATGAAATATGCAAAGCATGAAATGTAAGAAATCAGGAGTGTAGATATTTCTTAGAGCCTATAATCTCTCTCCAAAACACTTTTTTGGCTTGAAATTTCCCCCTAAATTATTGCGTTTTTTCTCTTTTTAGACACATTAACTTTTTAAAAATATTTTTAGGAAGTACTGCTTAAAATTTTTTCTTTAACTAAGAATTTTTTTTTAAAGATCTAGCGCATGCGTTAAAAATAATAGAAATCAAAGTATATTATTGAAATAGTAATAATTATAATTTGTGAAGTGACACATTTTTTTTATAATAAAAATTTTGTAGTAATTTTTTCATAAAATTTCCCCTGGGCTGCCTGCTTTTCTTCTGAACTTCATTTGCCTGTACCCTCTGATGAGAATTATAACAACACTTTTCCAAGTCACTGTAAAGAATGCCTGTTGTTTTTTGATTACATGAAAGTTAGTATGAAACATGAGAACTTACATACTTTATTTAGTCATAGTACGGAACATCTAAAGGTTTTACACTAGTTATTCTATAGAATGGCCCAGCCTTAATATAAACAATTCATATTAAAAATAAGATGTTTAAACTAAAATGATTTAATAAATTGAAAAACATCTTGAATTTATATTTTACTATCAATATAGTGGACTGAAGTCAAGAAGGGCTAGGCTGCACCAATGACCAGAATTTAAAAAACCTAAGAAGAGTTAGTTAAAAATATGTGCTCTTTTAGAGCCTTAAAAACGGTTTAATTAAAAAAAACTGAAATTGGCTTTTTGCTAGAAGGAATTAAGTTCTTACATGAGTTCTCTGTAGTCATCGAAATAGGCCTGCAACTGTTCTGCTTGTTGTAGTTTATCTTTTCTTTCAGCTGATTTTTCAAGCAGCTGATTCCATGCCTCAGCGACATCTTCATGTTTGACATCAATGTGCTCTTTTGCATCTGGGAATTGAGTAGCGAGTCTCCTGGCTTCCTCTACCAAAGCTACAACCTGCTCCTTTACAGCTGCTAAATCCCTCTGCCAAAACATACATTTATTAGTTATACAATAGTAACTTATCCATTGATAACCTATACAATAATAACCTATATATTTTAAAAAATGAATCCAATAAGTATAGGAATTTCTTTACCAGTTTTAGAAAGTGCATCACTACATTCACAGATATTCAGGGTGTGAAGCATTTTTAAAAAGCACTAAAAGGTGCTTATTTTCGATTTTTAAAAGCCCTTAAGGGTGTTTTTTTTACTGGTTGTTTCTAAAAAGTGCTTAATTTTTCCATTTTCTAAAATTAGATTTTTTTTCCTCAAATAGTTCAAAATAAAAGAAAATATATAAATGTGTTCATTTCATTTTTTTTAGTCCTTCTATTGTGTATTCTAACATTAAATATGGGTGTTTGCTTATAACCTCAAGCTCACTTTAATGATGAATTCATTTGCTATTCGCAATCGCAACACTCGATTACGCCATCTGGGGAGAAGACTGGTTCCATGTCTCGACCCTTTCCCCATATCTCTCGTCCTAGTCATATAGGAATGTACTATGATATTTTGACCTTTCTTTTAAAGATTTTTTGTATTTAGTTATTAAAAATATTTTTTTAAATTTCCACAATGCTTTCTTTTAAAACAATGTTCAATACAGTTTTCAGTTCCAATTAGTTTTCCAACTTAAAAGTTTTTAATCAATTTAAAAATCAAGAGAGAAACTAACGTACTTCCTTCTCCTATGACTCTCCACGTGCCAATGGTGAAAGCGTGCGAAGTGTTACCATAGGTGAAGAATTCTGCTCTACATCACCTGTAGCCCATTTCAATCGCCAATTATAAATTGTCATTATAACAGGTTTTTACAGAAGTTCAGTAGTTTGGTATTTAAATATTAATATAAAGAATGTTTATGTCTTATAAATAAATAAACGAATGACTGGGATATCGAGGCTATACCTGATTATAAAAGCTTTATATGAACCTCAATGTTTCTAAATTTATTCAACTTTTATCATTTTAAAGAATAATGCAATTTAATATAGAATATGAACTTTTCGAAACATGACCAACCTGTACTATTCAAGATGAAACTGAATGTAATCAATAAATAATTTTAAAAAGCAATTATCAATTAACTTACTTCAAAACCTTCATGCCTCCTGACTAAAGTTTGTATAGTTTCCAAATCATGACCATAATCTTCATTGGATAGTACATTATCTTTCTCTAGAATCCAACTAATAGTTTCATCTGCACTTCTGTCAAAAGTGTGAACTTGCTTGGCTCCAGCAAGAGCCTGCAATAAACATTGTGTTAAAAGATGTATAATAAATTCTACATTATTTTTAAAAAAAAATTTCTAAATTTAAATTAAGTAGGGTCATATATAAGGCTCATATTTTGATTTTTTTCGCATTATTTTTCATTACATTACTATGTTTAAAGTTGTATAGAAAATTCGATATTATTTCCCAATTTATTTAAATTTCAAGTAGAATCATATAAGGCTCATATTTTGATAATATTTGCTTTCTTTACATTATTTTTCATTACAGTATTGTGTTAAAAGTTGTATAGTAAATTCTACATTACTTTATAATTTTTATTTTAATTGAAACATCGAGTCATATATAAGGCTCATATTTGGAAAACATTTGATTTTTTTACATTATTTTTCATTACAGTATTGTGTTAAAAAGTTTTATAGTAAATTCTACAATATTTTACAAATGTTTTTTTTTTTTTAATTTAAATATCAAGTAATGCCACATATAAGGCTCATATTTTTATTAAAAAAAATTTTTTACATTATTTTTCTTTTACAATTTTTTTTCTCTAGATTTTTTAGAGGAATATTTTTGAGATCTTGTGATATATTCTTGCCTTTTAGCATAAAGCATTCTACTGATTTTTTTATTATTATGAAATTGCAACTTTCATATCGTAAATATCAATATCTCCAGCGAACTTTTTTCACACATGTGTCACTACCCCCTTATTTAACAAATAACTTAAATTTTTTTTAAAAAAATATGTAAATGGCACCAACAGAATGGAGTGAAATGACATGTAATTTGCTATCACAATAATGTTACCTCTTGTCTTGACTGAGCACACTCTTTAAGTTCTTCCCACATGTGCGAGATTTCACTACTTCTGGAGATAATTCTATTAGATTCTGGATGATTCTCTTTTAATAATGTTGCAGCTGCATTCTCCAAATTTGCAACTCTGTCGTCATTCGAATGGACGGTACTCAGAAATCCTTCAAACTTCTGAATCAAAATCTAAAATACAAAGCAGATAAAAAACATGAAATTTTTAATGAATGAAATGCGGTGAATTTAAAAATCTTATAAATTTAATATTTTGTTTACAACTAAGTTTTACAGGGCTGCCACTCAAATCTGGAAAAAAAATTCCCTGTGTTTTCCCCGTACATATTATAAACAATATATTAAAGGGGACAATGGACGTTCAAAACCAAAAATTTTAATTTTCCTCCTAGCCATATGAAATTTTTATTGAATGTTGGTAAGCTCAATAGAAGCCTGTGNTGTGTGAGCTATATTGGTCTAACTATACTAGTTTTGATGAAAAAACTTAGAGGAAAAAAGAACAACTGAACATACTTAAATAATGCTATAGTAAATGAAATAGTTTAGTATAGCTGAAATATCATTCTTAAATATCCCATAGATTAAGCTATAATTTGTATTTATAAAAGTAAGAAACAAAATTATATTCTTTGCATTTTTCTAGTTATTTTAGGGTATTTTTTTTTTTAATTCCCAGTATTTCCCAGGTTTTCCCTATTCTCCCTATGGATTGGCAACCCTGTTTTAAAACAAGAAATTTCTAAGACTGATAATAAAATGTAAAAAATTAAAAGATCTTATTAATTTAGTACAAAACACACATGCATTGATTAAAAAATTACTAAAACAAATTTTCTATAAAAGTAGTAAGGATTTACTTCAACATGTTCAACATCCTTGCCATAATCTTCAGAACTGGCAATCACCATTTGGTCTTGTATCCAGGCAGCGACTTCGTCAGCATCGCGTAAGAAATGGAATAACCTTTTACTTTCTTGCAGTCGATATCCTCTTTCTTCAGATAATTGTTTCAATTCATTGTAGCTGATCTCTACTTGTTTCTGAAATTTTAAACAATAGACAATTATTGTTATGTAAAATAGTAAGGCAAACGGATAATGAATAAAAAATGGAATCTAAACAAACAATGATTTTTTTTATTTAAAAAAATGATTACAAACTTTTTGAGAGTAATGATGAAATACTTTGTAGAATCTTGAAAATTTGTGAATTATGGTTTAAAATTATTCAAATCTTAGATTTTTATAATTAATTATTTTTTAATTAGAAAGGTTTGGGGCCGGCAGAGCGCTGGACTTATGTTCGTGAGAACAGAAGTTCGAATCTAGCAGGCCAAAGACTCCCTGTGTAGTAAATGGTGACTGGTGCACGTTAAATGTGTCGGTTCACGAAATCCACCATGTTCCCATAACAAATTATACCTCTGGGGGTACTAAAGTGAAGATTGATCGTTCTCTGGTTCAGATCAAAATTATGATCTGTAAGTGCATGAATGGGTCCGCCCTATAAACGGGTGCGATGTATAGGTGTGGCAGAAGTCAACTTCTTGGCCATCGATGGTGCCACTGGAAAATAAGAACAATCACAACCTACGACAACAACATTAGAATGTTTTTTTTCGTCAGTTATGTTAATAAGAAATGTGTTCCAAAAAATTGCAATTTATGTTGAGTCTAAATAATTAGGCTTCATAAAAAACGGTATAAAATATTTATATAAGAAAAGTAGATTAAAACATAATTAGTTTTAAGCATTAAAAAAAGTAGATTTAAAAAATAAAATTTATTATTATGGTTGGGTATTTTAAAACAAAAAAAAAACTTGTTTTGAATACAAATATGTTCTCCTATAGAGAGAGAAAAAATATGTTCAAAAACAATCACAACTAACGTTTAGTTTGGTAAAATAAAAACTAATCGTTAGAAAATTGCATAAAACATTAGTATTATTTTAATATTTTAGTCCTGTTAAATTAAAATAAAACTCATAAAAGTAGAATCACGTTGACTAATAATGCTTAGGGTTATAATATTTAGGATATTTTATTATTTACTAACAATATTTAAGGAATAACGCATTTAAAAAAGGATAAACAAAGTTGAGCAGTACCTGTTTCTCTTGTATATTCTCACTATCAAAATGACCTCTTTCAATCAGACCCTGACTCAGTTTGGCGAGCTTGATGATATTGTTATTGTAATTGTCAATGTCTCTTTCAAGTCCATCTAGCTTCTTCAACAAAGACTGAAAAATAAATCAATTAAAATTATTAGATTATTGCAAATGATTAGTCTAATTAAATATTTGGAAAAAAAAATATTGAAAATTCAGATTCAGTAAGGAAATTGTGAACGAGTTTTGTGTACAACATAAGTTTCAAATGCCATTTCTTTTTATATTTTAAAAATAACATAATAAAAATTATGATGACTTATGATTAGATCAAGAAGAATTCATGACAAAAAATTTATGTTAATTTACAAATAGAAATACCATTTTAATATAAATAAGTGTTTCTTTATCAGCAAAAAGGGTAAGTTGAAAAAAAAATAAAGAAAAACAATAAAATACATTCTGACATAATAAAAAATAAAGTACACTTTTATATTGATATAATACGTTTAAAAATAGGATTGTATTAGTACTGATTAAACTTATCATAATAACAAGATTGAACAGGTGTGAACTTACACAGTGTTTAAACCTAGGCTCATTTCCTTGATAAATTGTTTTAGAATAAATCTTGGGGGATAAAAATAAATTTTGTATGTTGACATTTTTTGCAACAGATTTCAATGCAAAACTAATTCATAGCTACCAGCATGGATAGAAAAAAATCCAGTAGATTTTACGAAATAATAAATTTTATGATAATTGTTGCATAATGCACTAAATATTTCACCCATAAGGAATTTTAGAAATTTTTATAGTCAGCAAAACAGAAAAACTGCATTATTTTCCAGTTATGATTGACATTACATGAACTTGAAATGTTGTGTATTATGTTTATTCATAATTTTGGATAGTAATAAGTATTTTATTCATCATAGATAGTTAAAAGATTTTTTAATTAATTTAAAAAGGGAGTTCTAAATAAAAATAAACTGAACATTTTAGAACAACAAAAAAAGACTTATTAAAAAAAAAGGCTAATTAAAAAAAAGGCTTCATTGTGTATTCGTAATTCTTATTTAAATATTCAAGCAAGCAATAATCAGTGCAAAAATGCTATTTCAATAAAGATTTTTTAGCAAACATGGTTAAATTAGTCATAGTTTAAAAGACATTGTGGTAAAGTAAACAAAAATATCACAAAATGCTCATTTTTCATTCAAAGTTCATTTTTTTAACCAAAATATTGATTAGTTGCTCTTGTATGTAATGAGCTATGTGGTGATCATATTCTGAATCTAATTACCTGCACTGAATCTTCGTCCTTTCCAAGATCTGAACTTGCTAAAAGGGGTTTTCTCTCTCGAATCCAAGATTCAGCTTCAGCTGCTTCTGAATAAAACTGAAAGAAGAAGTTTTAAGTTAATATAGTTAGTAAAAATTATTATCCACAACACTAATTGTCATATTTATTAGTGCAAACAATCATATAATATATGGAAATTACACAATAAAGCACAAACACATATTTAGATTTCAAACAAACTAAAAATATTTCAAAAATTTAAAACGTTAGTCGATTTTGCAAGTGAACGACACAATACCATAGGATTCAATAAAAAAATTAAGTTATAAGGTTCAAATTAAAAGATTACTGAGATGAATATTATAGCCAACCACAACATGGTAAGGCTGTTTATTAATCGAGATAAAATAAAATAATTGTTACAAAACATTCAGCCAGATCTTATGATATGATTGCTACAAAAGAAATTTACATGAACATTAAAAGGGAGCCGGAGTAGCCTGGTTGGTAGGGCGGTGGACTTGTGCTCATCAGAACGAGAGTTCGAATCTATCCTGCCAAGAATCCCTGTATAAAATGGCAACTGGTGCACATTACATCTTTTGGGGTCATTAAGTCCTTCAAGTTCCCATAGCAAATCAATACCTCTGGGGTTCTGATCCAGGAGTTCCCTTGTCCTTTGGATTGGATTCAAAATTACAAAGTTGAACATCGGTAGTCGTTAACTGAAATTTGGGTCGATGTCTAACGATGGTTATAAAATAAAATAAACATAAAAGAGAGCTGTGGTTGCTTAGGGTACAGAGCATTTGCCTCGCAATTAGTTAACCCAGGTTCGAATCAAAGCGGTGGCTGGTCGATACCAGTTTTGCATCTGATTTGCATCAAATACAGAGCCAATGTAAAATATGCTCATGGTAGAAACCAGCTGCCATAAGGCTAACTATGAGATGTTTTCATAATTTTCCCCTCGTACTAACGTAAATGCAGATGAGTTCCATTAAAAAGAACTCCACAAAAGCTAGTATGTCTCAATGCTAATGAAAATTACAAGAACGGAGTTGAACATTGCTAGAATTAAACTCAGAATTGAATCGGTTGTTCAATGCCAGTTATAAAATTTAACATTAAAGGATTAAAAATTATGGTAAGGCTTACTGTCTGAGATTCCACAGCATCTAGAAGTCTTAACTTTCTTATGCTAGATAAATCTTTCAATTGTTGAAGGGAAGATTGTAATTGGTTCAGCTTAGCCTCCACACTGGTCGATGCAAAATGTCCGATGCGTATCATCTGCTTGCCTTTGCTTATCACTGTGCTTATCAGAGGTTCATGGGCCTGAATTTCAGCTTCCAGTGCCTATAATAGGAAGCATAAGAAGCTTTTAATATATAATATGCATAAGAAACTTTACCTATGATATATGCATAAGAAACGCTTACCGTATATTCCGGCGTATAATGCGGACTTTTAATACAAAAAATAACATTGGAATCTACGGGTGCGCGGTATACGCCGAATATAAAAAATTATAGATTAAAAAAATTCAAATATAGAAAAATACTTTTATTTTAAAAAATTATGAATGCTTAAAGTTTTATAATTTTTGTCAAAGAGAATTAATTTTATTTTTTAAACATTAGATTTTGTCATTTACCAAATGATTAAATTTCAGGAAAAATATTTAAATTTTTTGTTTTGGTTAAATTTTTCATTCAAGTGCTTACAGGTAAAAAGTAGACCTAATAAAAACAAATGAAAACATCGTGTACATACAATAGAACACAAAAATCATAGTCAAATAACATACCCTTATCTATATACTTCATTTATTTTCGTTATTACATAAATAGTTCATTATATTCGTCTTCCGCTATCAATTACAATTATTAAAATTTTTTTGTATTATAATTACAATTTTTTTTTTGTATTATCTGTAAGGTGGGACCTAAACATGTCCCACTCTAAAAGGCTTTGTGGTTTTCTAACGCAACCAGGACGGACAATTATACCCACAATTTAACACCATTTTTGTCCATCCAGAATCACATTATTGCTCTTTCAATTCTACCCTCACATACATGTCAAATTCAGTTCTTTTATTTTCGTAAAAGATAGGGAAAAATACTTTTTATTTACGATCTTGAAAGACGAGATATTGCGCATGTACCATCCAAATTTTCATGCGCTTTATACGAAGAGTATATTTTAAAATTTAAAAAAAGTAATTAGAAATTACGGGTGCGCGTTATACGCCGGAATATACGGTATATTAAATTTACAATTACAGAAAACATAATTGAGAATAAGAAATTATTTTTCAAAATTATACAGAAAAAAAATGGATTAAGAAAACTGTGTGCATGTACACATAATGTGAGATAGAAAATTATCAGAAAATAAACTATTTTACATAAAATATAAAAGAAAAAATATTAAAATATAAAAGTTTCACTACACTATAATATTATGGCAAATAACTAAAAAAAAGATACTGAAGCAAGTTTTGTGTCCCAATTTTGAAAATTATAGAACAATTTTTTTCAGTTATAGAATTCTAAAGAATCAACCTTCCCTATAAATACAGTATACAAAGACAATTGTTAACATATTAATCAATAAAATACTACTTAATTTTGAAACTATTTAAAAAGAGGAATGAAATTTTTCTTCTTTGTTTTATCAGTAATAATTTTAAATCAGCTAAATTTGCAGTCTTGGAGCTTATCTAATCTGGTTATTTGTTTTTTGTGTACGGACATTAGCTAAAAACGAAAAATATAAGCTGGGTTACGATTTTTTTAAAAATGAAAACTAAGAACTGCCATAAACGTTGAAAATGGTTACTGGGGAAACACATTTCTTTATTAACGAATTTGGTTATTTTATTTTGATTGGAAAAGTGCATACTAATGTACTTTTTTTTATAAATGTATCTCCTTTTCAAAATTTTCCCCTTGAATTATTTATTTATTTTTCAAAAAAAATTACTAATGCTTTTGTATTGACGTTTTACTTTAAATAATTTCACAAAGGTAATAGAAATATTAAATAATTAATGGGTGATTATTAAATAAATTTAAAGGTTTCAAAATCATTCAGGTCAAACAAAAGTCCTAACTATCAGAAACTCTTCCGTGGAACTCTAAGGTTCCGTATAACACCATTTGGGAACCATTTTGTAAAGAAATATGAATAACTTAAGAAAATTGCAAAAAAATATATTACTTTATCTTTTAAAATAATAATGGTAAAATAAACAATAAAAATTCTATAACGTTTTAATATTAAAATGTTATATTTACATTTATCTATAAATTTGCAGATTTTAAATTTACTTTAACAAATATAACATAATTTTTTTAACTGATACAAAGTAAAAAAAAAAAAAATGCGTTGTCTGATTAGAGAATCGTTTCATTAAAAATAACTACCTGGTGTTTCTTTTGTAGATTTTGTACAGTGACAAGATTATTGCCCAGATCTGCTGATGCAGCAAGTGGTTCTTTTTCACAAATCCATGAGAGTTCATCTTCCACATCACGATTGAATTGGTGAAGAAGTAGAGAATCTTCCAAGTTTTCTCTTCTAATTTGTACGGGATCATGCAAGGACTGATACCTAACAAATAAAATTTGTAATTATTGATGTTTAAAAAATATATCTATAAACACTTTTCAAAAAAATGATAAAAAAAAGTTAAAAATAGATAAATGCAAAACATGAAAAGAATAATTAGTGTAAATTGAAGATTTTGCGGTTTCGTAGAAAGTCATGATATAAGAACATCCCATCTGATAAAGTATTCAGTGAGTATTCAGGGATAAGTTTGGTAAAAAACCAAACGAGCTGAAAATAGAATGAAATGTTATGTAGAGAACACATTTTTGATAAAAATAACGGAAATTTATGCACGGAAAAAAGAGTATGTAGGAAGAATATTAACAAGAATGTATCCGCAGAATATTATCAATGTTGTAATGAAATATATTGATGCATTTTTTTCCCCTATAAATTGTGAGAATATATATCTAAGTGTGCGATTCCTAAATTGCAGTAATATGAATCCCGATGTGAGGTTTTTAAAATATGCGAATATGAATGGGCAATGTGCAATTTTAAATCTCATGATAACAAAACAAGGTGTGTAATTTTTAAACTGCATTAATAAGTATAGCTATGCATACTTTTAAATAACGTGAATTCGAACCACAAAGTGTGAACGATGAGGAATATTTTTTTTAAACGTTGCGTGAATACGAATCTTGATGTGAGATTTTTTAAATCACACCAATCCTAGTGAATACCAATCGCAATGAGTACTTTTAAATTGCGTGAATATGAATGACGATGAGTTGTGCGAATAATCTTAAATCACGTTAACGTAGAAGAAAAAGGAGTCTTTCTTTTTTTTTTGGGGGGGGGGGGCATAGAACTTGCAAAAGCAGAGCTTTCTTTGAAAAATGGATAAATTTCTTCTATTAAATTGAAGGGGAAGAAACTAAATTTCTGCTAAAAATGGAAAAAACTCATCCATGAATATTTTTTCTGTTGATAGAAGGGTTTGAAAATGTAATTAGAGGAAACAATGAAACAACAGTAGAATGGATGTAGGGCAAGCTGAAAGTGAATTTTCCCTTCAAATCATATGTGTCAAAATTTTATGAATAGCTTGCAAAGCTGCTGCTATGTGAAAACAAAATGTTTGTGTTGCTCTGCATACTCATATAAACATAGAAGCAAAATTTATATAAAAAATCCAAAATTTTTTTAATTTAAATTTTTTTTATTTATTTTTTTAGTTTCTTTCATTTCACCTCAAATAATATTAAATTAAGCTGAAAAAATAATTAAGTAAGAGAAAATTATTAAACAGTAAATAAAAATATGTAATAAATTATTTTATGAAATAAATGTACCTGTTTACAGTGGTCAAAGCCTTTTCTTCAATTTCCTCCTTCAGAAAATGATTGCTATTCTGAAAGCTGATGTTCAAATCTTTTATTTGTTCAATATTTTCAGCGTGGTTATTTATATCTGTTTCCAAATGCTAGAAAAATTCATTTAATTTCTCAGTCATTCATTAGCTTAAGCTAGAATTTTTAACATAGTTAATGAAGAAAAAAAAACTAAGAAAAATAGAGAAGTAAAGAGTTTAAACACAATTTCACTTTATATAGCAGTATTCTAAGCCTTTAGTATATCATTTTGATTAATAGTCAAAATATTCTTATGAAAAAAAATTTTTTTCTTCTTCAAGTGAAAGTGTACATCTTAGATTTTTTTCATTTAAAAAATGGTCTATATACAAAAGAAATGCAGATAAGGCACAAAAAATGAAAGTTTTAGAATTTTTTATAATTCAAATTTTTAAAAAACTAACATTGTTAAGTTATGAATACAAATTATAATACAAATTACTGTTAAAAAAGCCATTTTTCCTTACACTTTGAGTTATTTTTTCTTCTTCTTTTTTTAAAATAGAATTTTTTGTGGAGACTATTGATTTAAAAAAAAAGCACTTGGGGTAAAAGCAATTTTTTTTCACTAAAAAGTCACTTAGTATCAATAAGCTCCTAAATTAATAAAAATAGAAGCATAATTAAATTAAATTTAAAAAAACCAAAATCTTAATTATAATCAAATTAACAGACATGAGTAAGGGGTCTCTAATTTATTGTTGGCTTGGTTATCTTATTTAATTGCCTTCGGTCAGTCATACCTCATATCTGTTCATATTGCATGCTTGATTTTTGTAAATGAAAGTTCTTTAGAAAGGGAGCGGTTAGAGCAAATACTTTAGTGTCTTGTCTATTTTTTAATTGAAACCAGAATCGTCTGTTAACTTGAAATTAAATAATTAATTTAATTTCTAACTTAAAGTGTAGAAACTTACATGGTGTTTTTTGAGTAGATTTTGCACTGCAGTGAGATCCTTTCCATGATCTTCAGACTGAAGGTGAATTTCAATTTCATCCATCCAAACATCCAACTCATCTAACATTCTATTAAATTGCAAAGCCTGAAAAACAATGAGAAGATATTCACTTTTCTGAAGGAAAAAAAATATTAAGATGAGATCAGTTTTAAAAATAAAATATTTTTTAAAAAAAATTTGAATTGATTCTTTAACTGAAAAATAAAGCTGTAAAATCAGTGTTCTTTTTAGGGGAAATTCGTGCATCGCAAATTTTGCAATTGTCAGAACAGATCCTTCACAATATATTTCATTGCAAAAATGGTCTATTCATAAAATATTTTGTTACAAAATATTTCATTGTTAAAATAGACCCGGCGCAAAAATATTTTATTGTCGAAATGGACCCTGCAGAAAATAACTTATTGTAAAAACGGAACCTGCACAAAATATTTTATTTTAAAAATGAACACTTCACAAAATATTTTATTGTAGAGACGAATCCTTCACAAAAAACTTTACTGAGAAAATATACTCTTCAAATGTATTTTTTTATTTTTAAACTAAACTGATTTACTCCTTCCATCCAAAATTAGGTCGAAAATTTTGTCCCAAATCAATAGCAACATTTCAAGCAGGAGGAGTCACAAATAATTTTCAAAGCAGTCTAGTATATCGACACCAAGTACACTACTAATGAATAACAATTCATCAGCTAAAAGACAGTTTTATGTGATAACTGGCAGAGTTCTTACAAAATCGGGCATGGCATTAAGAGCGTGCAAACACTAGATTTTTTTAAAAATTAATCTGGCACTGATTTAAGGAAGGAATACTTAGTAAATGTTGCTGATTGATAGCATAATGACACTTCTGAAAAATATTCACACAAAATCATAAAATTATCATCATTTGGAGATCGAAATGGGCTGCAGGTGGCGTAGAGTAGAACTCTCTACCTATGGCAACACCTCACCTGCTTTCACCATTAGCGAGTGGAGAGTCATAGAAGAAGGAAGTATGTTTCTGTCTTGATTTTCAAATAGATTAAAAACTTTTAAGTTAGACTACTCTACAGAACTATAAACTACATTGAACATAATTCTAAAAGAAAACATCATGGAATTTTTGAAAAATATCTTTGACAACTAAATATTTAGAAAAGGAAAAATATCGTAGTACATTCCTATACAACTGAGGAGAAGAGGAAAAGGAAGGGGGAGGGTCAGGACATGAAACAGGTCTTCTCCCCAGATGGTGTATTTGAGCGTTATGATCACAAATAATCAGTACAAAAGTATTCAAATGCAGCAATTATTTTGCGAAAGAGACAGTAAACAATTAATAATAATAGAAAAGAAAGTATACCTGATATGCATCTTGCAATCGTTCTTTCTTGAGGGCAGTTTGGTCTAGTAGCTGTCTCCAATGCATTTCCAAGTCTTGTAAAAGGTTCTGTATTTGGAAAGATGCATAATGCCCACCGTTAATCAGTCTTTCCCCCTCTCCAATCACTGCATCCACTCTGGCTTTGTTGGCAGCCAATTCAGCCTCAAACGCAGCCTGTTTTTGAATTTTACTCAGGAGATTGGTTGGATCTCTATAGGATTCATCCGACGCAACCTGGAACTTCTCATTTATCCAGCCAACAACCTAGAAAAAAAAACAAGGTTGCTTTTTTTATACTTAAAATAAACCTTCAATTGCCAAAAATATATTCAAAAACTTTAGAGTAGGAGGTGGAGCCCTGTAGCAGAATCATGGCAGCATTGTTTCAGAACGCTACAGAGTTCCTACAGAGAGATTTTTCCTTTGGTTTTTAATTTTGTTATTCTTTTCTGCAGAAATTTTCGAACAAATTTTTTTTCCTCCGGAATTATATTCAAAACATGCCTTTCTCATGCATCGGAGGGGAAAGAAATGCTTGTGGTTTTCTACTCTCATTTAAGAATAATTAAAAAATAAAGAATAATGAAGTAAAAAAATGGTTTTCTTTTCCGCAGAAACTTTTTCATTTTTTCGCCAGAATTATATTCAAAAGATGCCTCTCTCGCACATTGGAGGGGTAAAAAATACTCGTGATTTTTCCATTCTCATTTGAGAATAATGAAGTTAAAAATTTTGCTTTTCTTTTCCGCATGCATATTTGTTATTATTAAAAGTATCTTGCAGAAAGATATCAATGCTAGAGAGGTTTGACATAGAAATCCCAAAAAAAATTCTGCCACGGGGGGATGGCGTGAAAAAATGAGTTTGATAAATAAGCTATTACATTTCCTAAAACATGTGTATGGACTTAAGATTTTTTTCGGAATTTTGAAGCACCATCTTCATTCCTCCAAAAGACTTTAAACTTTTAAAATTTTAAGAAAAACATAAAATTTTGTGAATTTATCAAATTTTTTAATTTTTTCATATAAAAACAAATTACCTCTCAAAATTTGTATATTAAATGAAATATTACAAGTGAAATTTTTCAGAATTTTCTGCACTTTTTTCATTCCTTGCAATATTCTTGAATTTTGCCATATTCACAACAATTTTCCATATCATAGCAACATAATGCAGTTATATTTTTATAATAAAAATTTAATTGCCCAAAGGAAAACAAGTCATTCTGAGAAGTGCTGCAAACATAGATTTTTAGGCCAGCAGTAGGTTCTTCCTTTCCTCAAAAAAATAAATAACATGAAAATAAAAAATATAAATAAAATTGAACTTTGCTGTAAATATTTAGCTGAGACTAAAATCGTGAAACTATGGAAAACCTGTAGTATTTTGCATCCCTGTTTTCTTAACATATGTTTATATTGATTTAAACAACTCAGTTTAATTTATATTTGAATAATTGGAGATTGAAAGCAAACAAACCTCATAGATATTGCGAAGAAACTTTTGCAACTCTCTGGATTCTTGCAACTTTTTTCTTCGTATCAGAGCACTTTCTTTCAGCTTGTCCAACTTATTGCACACTGCTTGGCACTGACTTTGGATGGCTACGTTGTCATAGTGCTTCGCAGCTATGAGTTCAGTGGAAAATGTTTCTAACTCCTTGATCTTGTTACTTTGGGCACTCATCGTTTTCTCAAAATTGTCATGTTTTTTAACTAGAGCTTCTACGCTGGACATGGAATCCTAATACCAACAAGAAAATCAACGTGAAAACATAATACAAGAAAATAATAATTTTATGTATAACAAATTAACGAAAAGAAAAACGATTATTTGACAAAATCTTAAAAAAGATGATGATTCTAACTTTTTCTTATACTTTATAACATTATCTGGGAGCTAAAATTAAGCCAAAAATCTCATTTGCCATAGAAAACAACTGGTCTGATACTAATAGTAATCTACCAAAAATTTTTGACATTTACATTGAGAATTTAATAAAAATTAAAACATTCTAGTTATTTAGAGACATTAGTTAGATAGAGTTATTTAGAGATATTAGATCCAGTTATTCAGAGAAATTAGATAGTTATATTCGAGTTATTAATTAGTTACAGACTAATTTATGGTGAATGACAAATTTAAAATAGTCTAACAATTATTTTCTTTTTGAAAAAAAATGGTCTGCTTCATTCATATTTTATATCTATAATAAAATTTTACAATCTTTCATGCTTTTGTAATAGAATTGTACCTTAAAAATCACTTTTTAAAATTTACATTAAAAAAATGGCAAAAGGAAAATGGAAACAGTTTAATCAGTAAAGATCCTGCTAGATTCAAATAATAATAAAGCAATCCATTGACATATTTTGTTAGAAATACTTAATATTTTTATTGTTTTATTCAAATTATACCCCTAAATCTTCATTATTTAGAAAAGCTTCTTTTGCTGAAAGCCAAGACTCTGCTGTCTCAATTTGTTCTTTGAAAACCTAGAAGAAATCATACAATTAAATAAAATGGAATCATAATTGGTAAAAAAATTATTGCAATTTAATTAAAAAATAAATTAAAGGATATGTAAAGCTTTTTCTTTTGATGAACATGTAAATGAGGAAATTCGGGAAAATTATTTTCTCTGATAGTTTTTATATGTAACAACGTGGGAATTTGCAATGTGGAAATGCAACTCAGACTGAAACTTTTCCTATCTTTTAGATATACAACAGATAGTTACTCACATACAACTGTAAAACTAAATGAAGCTCAAACAATATTTAATGTAATAAAGTCTAACAGTGGTTTAATTTAAGTCTGATTCAATAATATTAAGAAAAAGATATGGGGGAACAAACAAAAGAAAAAAAGATTACTGACAGGACACAAAACTAACAGCGATCTGAGACCACAACACACACACAATCACATTCTTTGTATTGTAATTTTTTATTTAAAGTCACTTTATTATTATTTAAAAAGAAAAAACTCATAGCAACACGTGAACAGATTAGTGAAATTACGCATGGGCTAGTTAATACCTTTTAATAACATAGTCTTTCATACCAGTGCCTAAATTTTCTTAGTTCATAATAGTGTAACTTCAAATTCATTATCTAAAAATTGGATAAAATGTTAAGGTTAATTAGCACAAAAATCAAAAGCGGCTTAAAACTGAAAACACATTAATTACTTAAGATAATGAAATCACAGAGTGTGTTAAGTCAATTTAATGCAAAAAGGAAATGAAGATGCTAGGATGTTTTCGGATGATGGAACCCACATTTACTCAAAAAAGGTAAGCCATTGTTCAAGAGTAACAGTAAACAGTGTGCATGCAGCATCATTGCATGGGTTGCTATAGCCACCGCTGCTGATGGATATTTCTTAGAATTGTTTTTCTTTTTAATTTTATTATGCATTAAATTGGTAAGTTTATTTTTGAGATATGGGACCAGAGAGATCTTTTAAAATTCTTCAAGTTTAAACAAAAGAAAATTTCATCATTTGAATGATGTTTTTGTTTTTCTTGCTTTAATTAAGAAACAGAAATTCTAACCTACAGTTCAGCCATCAAACATTTAAAATAGAACACACTAAAGAGTGCCCTAAAATTCATGCAAGATTATAAATATGAGTCATTTCTAAAATAAAATATTAATAATTCTACGAAAATTTTCTGAATTAATAAGTATTATTTTTATTCAGCAATCAAATTTTAAGTATATTGTATATGTAATTACTAGTTATCATTTTTTAAAGTTGTAATTTCACTGTAAGTGGAGTACCTGTAAGTCTCTGCATTGGGTGAGCATGTGCTTCCTTTCTTCCCAAATTTGAGTTAGAGTTTTCCTCAGTTCATCTAAATGTTGAAGTTTAGTTTCAACTAAGTCTTTTGATGGGTGTTTTTGTTGAACAAGACGATGCCCAAATTCCTTTAGATTCTTAATAGCTTCCTGGCGACCATTGATTTCAGCCTGAAAGTTGACAGGTTTCATATAAGTAAATAAAATAAACAAATTGCAATGCAATCAAATCCTGTTTTAGCGAATTCCTAGGGAATGAAACAATCGCTACGTAATAACAAAAATTCATTACCCCGATATTACGAATTTCAACATTAACCAAAATTATTTTGTTACATTGGAATTTTTCACATAAAAAATAATAAATATTGCATTTAATTATAGATTTGATCTATTTGTAGTCCAAATGTAGAAAATATCACATCAATATTTTAAAAGATCACAAAAACTATTAAATTAAAAAGAACACTGGTTTTATTATCATTTACCTATCAAAAATTACATATTTCATAATTTTTTTCTGTACAAATGGTTTCAAACCAGTAGAAATTACAAACTTCTCCAAATTATGAACATTTTCAAACAACTAAACTGGAAATCACTCTTTTGAAAAGCCAGGCATATTTTTACTTCATCAGACATGAATGGGTCGGGGTTTAGTCTTTTCAGGACGGTCCCTTTCATAACTGAAACTTTTTATTTCACGAGAGAAAATGAGAATTGTTACTTATTTACATCGTCATTAAATCGGATTACCAATTTCGTAATATCGGTATTGTTAATTCGTTGTTTCTATGGAGATTTATTTGGGGATTCGGAAAATATTCGTTACATTGAAATTTTCGCAAATTTGAATTAGTCTAAAACTGGATTTGACTGTAATAGTCTTTGATAAGTTTAAAAGGAAATATTACTTTTCGCTCTTGGTGAAGTTGTAACATACTCTGAGCTTCAGAATTATTTGTGGCTAACTCATCAGAATTCATTCGGTTAGTGATATCATTCACCCAAGATTCCTGCAATGATAATAGATTATAATAACATATTAGAATGATTAAGCAATATTAACTTATCAAAACAAGAAAAATAGTCATGGAAAGTCAAAACAGTTCAGTTAACCTCTTAACGATCGGTTAATTTTTAAGAAAACGGTCATAAAAGTGCCTATTTTTTTATCCCTGAAAATTGATTAGTGTTGACATCTAGTTTAAAATTAACTATCTACAATTACCTTAAAAATATCCTGGTACTGCCATCTGGTGTGTACAGTGAGAAATAAAATATTTTTCAGGCAAAAGAATAGCCCGGAAATAAAACTTCAGCCCGGAAATATCACGGGAGCGAGAAATAGAGGGCGAAACCTCACTCCGTCATTTTCACAGGAGCAAGAAGGAAGGGGTTAAAATGCATTCAATGTCAGTTTTTTAAAAAAAACATGTTAATAGTGTTCAACTTAATTTTCTCTGAATTATATAAACAAAATACAAAACTCCTTATTTACTTGTTTAAAGCAAATAAACTAATTAAATGAATTAAGAATATAAGTTAAATAAATATTTGTTTAATGAAATCAATATTAATTATTATCTTTTGTTTATTTAATTATTTCAAATCACCAAACAATTTTTTAAATAAAGCAAGGGTTTAAATAAAATGTATACTTATTCACAGATATCATTATTAATAATTATTATCATTTATTAATTTAATTATTTCACATAAATTAATACTTTAAATAAATCAAAGATTAAAATGAAACACATACTAGTTCACTGAAATCAGCCAAAAATTTGTGCAAAGTGTAAGCAGATGATAGTGTCTGTTTCCTAGGGGGGAAAAAAGAAAAGAATAATTATTTTCTTTATATTTTACATACAGAATACTTTTTCCCTTAAAGTTAGTTATAAATATAAACATTTGTTTGAGTCAAGGCAACTCAACAATCTACGTTTCGGAAATCTTTAAGTTTGAGAAGTCAATATCTGACGATTGTCCAAGATTGGCTATCCTGATATTGCACCTTAATGTTACTTTAAGAGATCACCATACCACAGGAGAAACTTTTCGTCACTAATTTTCTTTCACCTTCATTACAAATTTTTTAAAAAAGAAAGAAAATGTGAGTTCAGGCAAACCAAGAGTAAGCCATTAAGTTTTTGTTGCTGAAAAAAAATTCAAAATATAAAAATGCAAACAAATTATTGGAAGAGGACTTCTCCATAGCGTAATACTAAATTATTGTCTCATAATTTATTTTCATTTTGATATTTTAAAAATTTCTTTTCAGTATTTTACACTTCATGACTTACTCTATTTTTGTTTGAACTCACTTTTTCCATACTTTCAATTTTAAATTAGTTATAGAGGTACAAAAAAAAATTGCAATGAAAAGTTTTCCCTGGTATGGCGTCCTTTTAACAAGCACACTCATTTCATTAACCCCACAGAGGTCACGTTTAAGACGGCTACCATAGACAGGCATCAAATCTGGGATGGCAACTTTGCATTCACTCATATTGAACATTGCACTAGCTAGCATGATGCAAGATAAGTTACATAAAAAGACTTAAATGAAACAATAAAACAAAGACAATAACTACAATAAATATTAACTTGTATTTCAGACTAACTACAGATTACTTATTAAGAATTAGGCACAATACATTAAAAAAAGGTTTAAAATTTCAATTAATTAATTACATTAGTTTTTTGTCCATAACCTAAATTTCACCTAATACAGTTAGAAAGAATAATAGCTTCATTAGAACAAAGGTTCAATAAAAAAATCACAAAATATCATTTTCAAAATCATAACTATTAGTTATAAATAACAAAATGTTATTTAAAATATTAGCTAAAAGAACAGAATAATTTAAATTTTAACAGCAATTTCAAATCAGATCCATCAGACTGTCATAAATGATTGTTGAGTTGAGTTTAATCTTTAAAATAATTGGTTTGATCTCCAAAAGAATAGTTTTAAAATGCTGAGATTAAATCATAGTTTTCTATAGATTGAGATCAATGATTAAGCAAATTAAATTTCACAACGAAAGTTAGATTTACATTTTGATTCAACTCAAAGAGCAATTAAACTATAATCAAGAAAAAAAATTATCTATCGATTGATTAAATAAGATCATAATACAAATTAGATCTTTAAGGTATCAATTTCAGGCAATAAAACTATTGCACATTGGTCAATTTAAATAAGATCATAAACAAAAATTACATCTTTAATCAATTTCAGGCATTAAAACTATCGCATATTACCTATTCAGACAGAGAGTGGTCAATTTAAATAAGATCATTAACAAAAATTAGATCTTTAAGGAATCAATTTCAGACAATAAAATTATCACATATTACCTGTTAAGGCAGAGATTGGTCAATTTTCTCCAATTCTCTTGTACTTCAGACAGCTTCTGCCTTGTCTGTGGAGATACATCTGGATTCTTCTGAGTTAATCGGCGAGCATCACCATCATGTTCCTGTAGTAATATTTAAAGTTTCATTTAAAAATATGCAATTCATTAGGCAAAAATATTTCATTAGAAAGATTTTATATTTCGTTTAAATTTGAACCCAGTAGCAGGATTCACAGAGTGAACCTGCAAATCTTTCTTTCATAAATCTAAATTTACCTGCGATTCTAACACTGTCAGAGATTATAGTTCTGAAAGTTCAGTTGAATTTAACATACATCTAGCAAAATTTGCAACTATAAATTCCCATAGCTGCCAACATGCATATGAAAAAGTAAATTTTACGAAATAATATGAATTTTATGATAATTGTTGCATAATGTTCGAAATGTTTTACACATAGGGAATTTTATAGTCATCAAAATAGAAAAACTTAAATATTTTCCAGTTCTGATTGATATTAAATATGCCTGAAATGTTATGTATTATGTTTACTCATAAATTTTGAATAGTAATAGTAATTTATTTCATCAAAAACAGTTAAAAGAATTTTTAATTAATTTCAAAATAGAATTCTGAATAAAAATAAACTGAACATTTTAGAACAAAAAAAGTTTTAAACTGATTTCTAAAAATGAGGATCGATTCATTATATATTAGTAATACCTACCTAAATATTCAAGTAAGCACGAATCTGTGCAAAAAATTTATTTAAATAGGAATGTTTCCTTTACAAAACATACTCAATTTTAGGGAATTTGTTCAAATGTACAAAAACCAGAATTAAACATGTAGAAACTGGCAAAATCCAGTAGTCTACTGGAGTTGATAGCTATGAATTCTCTGTGCATCAAAACTTTATGTTGTTAAAATTTAAATTGAATTTTAAACTATGAAACTAATAAAAAATGGGAATAAATCCTTATATATTTGAGTTATGTAACAAAAAAAAGCTGGGTTTTTACAGCTGGGCATTTGAAAAATTCTTAAAATAGCGCTTGATCCTAATCGTACTTTTATTATAATAAAATAAAAATTTTAAAAATTGTGTTTTTGTTGCAAAATAGACTAAAAAAACTAAACAATTTAACAAAAAATGTAAGACACATCACTTCCGAAAGATTTCAGGAAACTTTTTGTTGATGTAAGTTTATTAGGAAAGTTTTTTAATTCTATGTTTTTTAATTTTATACCTAACAAAGCCTTTTATACCTACTTGGAAAACAATTTTTGAAACATTTTATTCTATACTAAAAAGTTTGTAAATTTGTTTATGTAAGAAAGTAGTCAAAATTTCTATTTTAAGATTTCATTCTTACAGACACATAAACAAGAAAATAAACACATGAAACAAAATACATACAAAATACATTATAGGATAAATAAGAAAACATACTTTAAGTTTTGCTTCAATTGCTGTAATGTCTCGCTCAGTAGTTTCTAATTTACGTTGACATGCTTCAACTGACCTTAAGTCTTTTGTTTCCTCTTCAACTGAAAGTGTCAAGGACTACAAAAAAATTATAATAAATGTAATTAAAATTCCAAAAAATAATTCACAAAAATTAATATTCCTCGCAGTTACAAAAATATTAGAATTGATAATATAACTATTAATAAATATTAAGTCTTATAAATATTATAAGGTACTAATTTCTAAAAAGAAACCATTATTATTTAATCTTATAATTAATCAAATACTTATCACCAATAAACATTATCCTAATTAGCTCTTACTCAATGTTAATGGGATGTAATTAAAAATAAGTTCTGTTTAACATCATACAAACCACAAACACAACAAATAAGTTTGCATTTACGCTTCCATTTATTCCTCATTATTAAAATTAGATTTTAGAGATTGAAAACATTTGGGCGAGGGTCAAAAGATAATTTCTGATTATATTTCATGTGTATATATAGATACATATACGTTTGCATATATATGTATTATATACACAAAAAATAATATAACTTTCAATCTTGAAAAAAAAATTGGGGAGAGGGGGTGGAGCTGGTCAGAATTACGTAATTGAATTCTTAATTACGAGATAAAATTTAAACAATTTAATATTATAATTCTTACTTCATTTTAAAGATATTATCAAATAGAACAGGTTAATGAAAAAAGTATTAGACCTTACAATTAAACATACAGTTATTAATACGTAATTACACTGACTCATTAGTATTAAAGCCAATTCATAATTAATAAACATCATTTAAATTGATGATTATCAGTTGCTTTTATAAAGTATAAAACAAATAAAAAGAATAATAAACCAGATTTTTAATAATTCTCATTGATTCCTTGTAGAAATAAGTTCATAAAACATAAAGTTTAGTCAACATTATATGAAAAACATTAAAGTGCAGATAAAACAAAATTACAGTTACTTTTTCATTGATACGGTCATTTGTATCATCGACATCTCTGTTGAAGCCATGGACATCAGATGCATTCGACAATTTTTGACGATACAATTCCAAGGCACCCTGTAAGGCTTTCCATCTAAAAGTTACAAAAAAAATAAATAAATAAAAAATACTTAAAAGAGAATTTTAGATAAAAGGATAATATTTAAATTGTTCTTTTTTATACAGAATACCCTTTTAAAGATAACATCAATTAAGCTCTTCAATTATGAAGACAGTATCAGAATTAAAAAATATTGTGAAAGAAAATGAATAACTGTTTAAAAATGTTAGCTGATATTTATGTTAGTTTTAAATATAGAATATTTATTTATCTTAAATAAAGCAGCGTGAAATTGGAAAGCATATTTTTTTAAACAGTTTCTTGATGTTCCAATACATTTTAAAGCTGCTTAATAAGACAACTTTTCTTGAAAGCTTTTGCTAACAACTTTAATGAGATATGAGATTCAACATGCATCACAAATTTGTTTTCAGACTAAGTTTACTAAATAGGATGCAAGTCAACAGTCTATAATCAACTTTGTTGCACTGTCTAAAAAACTATTACAATACTTAATTTTTTTTTCATCAAAGACACAAAAAGATTTTTCAAGTTTCATCCTAATCAGTTTCAGTTTTCCAAATTCTATAAACTTTTGCCTTATTAATTTTGTTAAATTTTAAAAAAATAATATTTTATACACTTAACACATTGTTTTAATAAGAATATTATTACCATAATCTATTACCTTATTGCACATTATTGTTATTGCTGTTTCATTATTGTTCTTCGTTAAATTATTTTTTAGTTTGTTTTATAGTACTTTGATGTAAAATAGAAGTGTGTTTTTCTCAATCCTATTTCATATGAAGTATGGGCTACTTACTTTCGATTCAGTTCTTCTTGTCTTTGCTGCACAGACTGATTGTCAGATCTTCCCTGTCGAATCAACTTATTAGCCAAAGAGTTAATGTTCTTCATTCGCAGTTCATCTACTCGCATATCCTATAAGTTCAAAAACAAAATAAAATAAAAGGTTTATATACTCTCTAAAAGCAATATATGTATCAAATCTAACTTTAAATGTTTCAAAGTAAATATTTAACATAGGTTCTAAGATGCATGTTAAATATTTACAGTCCAAGTATTAAATTGACAAACTGTAAAAAAAAAATGTCTGCTTACTCAAAATTGACAGAAATAAAATGTCAAACGGAAATCAACAACGTGTTTTTTAAATAAAATATTTGTCATCAGAATGGCAAATATTTTATTTTAAAAAAAATTGTTCTAATCAATACTTTTAATTAACTATGATAATTCTGATCAGGCAGAGTGGGATTATACCTTTCGTAGGCCCTAGGCAATTAAAGATAAACTTGTGAATACTTTTCCTAACGTTCATATTGCATTAAGAATATATTTGTCGATTCTTGGATCAAATGCCGAAAGATCTTTCACCAGATTAAAATTGATAAAAAATTATTTGCGTTCAACAATGAATCAAGATCTTTTGGCATTGCTCGAATACGACATTTTGCGTAGTTTGGAGTTCGACAGCATAATACAAGATTTCGTTGAATCCAAAAAGCAATATATTAGATCATAAGATTCTGTAAAATAATTTATTGCCGAAAATATTATATTTTTATTTGTATCTTCATAATTTTGTGCAAAATACACTTGTTGTTTTTAAAGCTAAATTATTTTTGTCAACAAATTTTTTTCTCCCAAGTTTTTCGTNTTAAAGTGTTTAAAATTATCCAATATGAAAAACAAAATATCTTTACAACCATCTTTTTAGTCCTTTAATTTATTATTGGGTCATTCATTTAGATTAGTTTTTCATTTAGATTTTAGTTATTCATTTAAAATATAAAAATGTTATTTAGCTATTATAATATAACAAAATGCACTATTTTGTATATTGCAGCAATATAACAGGCATATTACAATTACATATTAGTTTGCATATTGATGCAACGTATTAGATGGCATATCACAGAAACATAGGAGTCTGCATATTACAGCAACATATTAACCTACATATTACAGTAATATATAGCTCAGTGATGAGAAGGAAAAAAATTTAAAATATACTCACAGAATCAACATCATCTAGCTTCCTTTGAAGAGCTTGACAGTGTTCAAAATCTTTTCCAGTATCTCCAGCTTGAACCATCATTTCCTACACAGAAATTGAATTTCTTTGTCAAAACAAAAAAACATTTACAAAATGAAATGACACTTCTCAAAAGATGGGAGCACATTAGCATTAGCTGATGTTTAATTGGTTTGATGTTAATGTTATATGCACTAAATACTCACAATGTATGCAAGATTATTTTCTATTTACATAAAATGAACTCTTATAATTTTCCATATTGAATGTTTAGAAATTATCTGGTTTATCTTGAACAAAAACTTAGAGAAAAACTATTAGTTCTGCATGCCTAACATTTCATGGAAATTAGTACGTTTAAGATGTAAGGAAAATGGCTTTTTGTTACAGAAATATTTCATAAAATTACAAGAAGATACTTAAATATTTCATTATATTAAGGATTACTAAAATTATATTAAGGATTGAGAAATAATTTTGAAGTACTTACTTTAATTTATTTTTTGCTAAAATAAAACCAGGGTTCTGTTTGTTATGTTTTTGTACATGCATCAGCATAATAAATTGCTTTTTCAAAGAAACTTTCACTCAGTTCTATAACTGATCAATTTTTGCTATTTAAGACATTATCAAGCAATTGTCTTATTTAAACTTTTATCTTTAAAAATTCATTTTGAAAGCTTAGTATTTAAGCAAAATAATACTTTTATTTAATAAATGCATTTTGAAATTAAGATTTGATAATACTTGTTGAATCTTGGACTCTGGTACAAGAAAAATTTGCCCTTCCCAGATTATTTAATGTAATTAATTTCCTTACATGTTACTAACTTACTTACTCCTAAACATGTTACTCATTTTACTCCAAAACATGTTATTAAGATGGTCCACTGAAGACTATTGTATAGAAATGTTCTAGAATGTCTTATTTGTTTATTGTGTTATTTAAACTTCATATAGTTTCACAAATAAGGGAATTTCTCATCTTTTTACCCCTTGTCTTTCTAATACTTTATAAATAAAAATCAGAAAATTACTTAGAAATTTTAAACTTCTGCAAAATGGCTAATATTTGCAATAACTGGTTTTCAAGAGACAATGGCTTTACTACTAATTTATGAGAAAAAATTTGAAGCTTAAAGAAATTAAAAATAGATGCATTTTTATACGAATGTTCACTGTGTTTTCAAGTCAACTACTCTAAATTTTATCTTAAGAAATAGAATTAATAAATTGCAGAAAACAAATTTCATTTTTTAAAGATGAGAAGTGATCTAATTGAAACAAATACCTTGTCTCTAATCCATGCTTCAATTTTCTCTGCTTGATTGTTAAATTCCAATATATCTTGAGCTTCTTCTAAACCACGTCCCAAATTGGTTGAAGAGGTAATCAACTCATTCCACTGTTTCAAAAGCCTTTCCAGTTGCTGCCTCACTTTAGAGGAAGACTCGTGGTTCTTGGATAACAGAAGCTCTCCTTTCTGTGTTGTAGTAAAAAAAATTGTTCATAAACAAATAATTCAAATCAGTAATATAAACAAATTGAATAATTTAAATTACATAACTGCTAACTCTTCATATAGCGGAAGATTCTAAATAGTTATAGCAAAAATGTGTTAATATTCAATTCTTGAATACAAATATTTGACATAAAAACAATTTATCTACTATGACCAGCAAATTACATACACATATATAAAAAATAAAACATTTCCACAACAGCCTGTTGCAAGGCTTCAAAATTTCATGATCAATGTCATGATTGTGGTAATGTGGTCAATTTTAACATACATATAATAAAAAATAGTATATAAACATTCTAACAATTATGTGGATATGCTTTAAATAAAAGAAATCTTCATTCAATTATTATTATTTCAGTTCCATGATGATGATATACTTTGTTTTTGTTTTACATAATAGAAAGTTGCAGGAAATCAGCTGGGAAGTATTAATATCTGTGTTATATTTTAAAATTACTCAGTACACTAAAGAATTATGAGTTATTGAATAAACTATTAATCTTGTAAGTAATTGAAGCAAGGCTATTATAAAAATTTAAAAACTAAAAAAAACCTATAAAGATATAATACACATAAAACAAAAACTAAATTTTTCTCCAATTTTGTTATTCCCCTGTGGCAGAAACATGATGAAACAGCGACATTGTCACAGAAAGTTACAGAGTTCTTGAAGAAAGATTTTTCCTAATAAAAAATCTTTTCTACAGAAATTTTCAAAAGATTTAATCTTTTCTTCAGATTTATATTCAAAAGATGTTTTTTTCGTGCACCGGAGTGGAAAATTTTTTTGTGATTTTTCTAATCTCATTTGAGAATAATAAAAAACAAATAGTAATGAAGTAAAAAAATTTGGTTTTCTTTTCTGCATGATTTTTCTACATGAAGAAATTTTCTTTCTACTTTTTACACAAATATTACTATTGATTTCCACTTAGTTTTAAAATCCTACATTTTTAATATGATATTATTTATTACAACAACTGAATCTTGAAAAGAAAACAGGCATTTTGTAAACCTTTTTTAAGAATCCGATTATCTTCGATCTTTTTTTTTTGGTAGTTAGTGCTACGGATTTCAAAATTTTTTTTTTTCTAATGTGATGATGTACAAAATGCAAACAAGGAAATAATTAGTGTGTTTTCCCCTAAAAAATGTGAGAATATCGGTCATACTATTAGAATAAAAAAAATATTATATATTCAACTAAAAAAATTGTTTCATTTTATCTGAAAAGTTTTTTTTTTTGTTGTTTTGTTTGATGTTGATGCTTCTGTTACTTTAAATTAGTAACTGCATTTGTTATTATTTAAAGTGTCTTGAAGAAAGATATTAGTATTAGAGAGGTATGTCGCAGAAAGCTCGAAAAAATTCTGCCACTGGGTTCAAACCTATGGTGCGGCTTTCAGGAGAACTCCTCCAGTCATCAGACTCAAATCATGAGGCGTATTATGGTTATGAGGAAGTCACTTCAAATAGGAGAGTGTGGTGAATAGTTTTGTCTTACACTTGGCATAGATCAACACCTTCATTCCTCCATTGCACCCCTATTAGAAATGTCCTCTTACTTGTTACTATAGCAACAGACTTTTAGTCTGGAGGAGTTCTCCTCAAAGCCGCACAGTACGATGACCACAAATGAAATCATGCAAATTTCACAGATTCAAATAATCCAATTTCTGGAGTCCAAGGGGTGCTGCAACACATATTTTCCAAAATATTCACAAGCTCAACTGTGTTTTCACAGATATGTAACAAAGAATGGTTTGGGTTTATATCAAAAATCACTCTCACAAGCTAAAAAAGGAGGTTATTCAATAATTTTAGTTTATTAAGAAAATTAAGATTTCTTCCAAATGTCATAATGTGTTTCTAATGTCATCAAATTACAGTTAAGAAAGGAGGGAAACATCACATATTATAACAATATCCTTTTCGTTAGGTCAATTTATGAGTAACAAGGTTTAGTACATAAATTGTTAAAATAATTCCTCTTATAAAAATAAAAATTAAATAAATACCAAATAATAGACCTCACTCTTTTATTAGAAGCATATTTATGACTAAATATATTTTTGATAAATTCACACACTAACTCAACTTAATTAACGCACCTGTTTTATATTTTGAATGTTGCTTTCATGAGCAGAGAGTTCAGCCTGGAATGCTTGATGTTTCTGAAGCTTTCTCATTTTATCCTCTAGACTTGCTATCTGACTCATATCTTGTTCAGACTCTAAAGATTTCTTTTTGTCAGCTATCCAGGCTTCGGCCTTAAATCACAGAAAACACACTATTGTAACAATCCTTCAAAATTTAGTTAAAAATCCATGTAATGCAAAATAAAAGAGATTGAAATTAAAAATTTATTTAAAACATTTTTTTTTTATTAATCCAATAGCAAAGGAAAATGGCAAACTTTTATAAGATTAACAAAGAACAGGAATAAAATCAAGCGCTTCAGTATCACATCACCTCAGAGCTCCCACACAGAGCTGCTTTCTTCAATTATTTTGTGTTTTGACACAATGAAAAAGATAGATTCGTGTTTCTAGAATCCAAACTATAGCATCTCCACTTTTAAGATCTTATTTGTTAGTTATTCATATTTCTCTTCATTAAAAAAATTATCTGGTGAGAGATTTTGTGATTTTTAAACCTGGTGGGAATAAGTACTATGGATTCCAAAGTAAAATGCAGCCAACTGAGTATTTTTATCCTCTTTTATTTCTTAATTGTTTTTTCATGAACAAAAATCTATTATCAAAGCAATACCGATGAAAAAAACTGTCTTTACCTCTGTTGCATCTCTTGTAAATTGTGTGTAAAGAAGACTGTCAGCAAGTTTTTGCCTCCTAAGGTTACTAAGGTCTCGAACTTTTGATCTCCTATAAAAGATATTTATGGAATTAATAAATGTGACAATTATCATTAGACACAAACTTAAAAAATGAGTTTCAGAATGCCCAATTCAGTTTTTACATTTCATACTGTAATGTATAAACTACATTGATAGAAGTGGAAGACATAAATTCTAACACATAAAAACAAAACACAATTGCAGAAAATGGTGTTTATCTTCAAAACTGTATTATTTTGAATATAAGCCGAGAACTTTTAGAAATTTTTTGAAAGATTAAGGGGGCTTAGAATCATATATAATAGAGAAGACATCATCTAAGAGCACATAACCAACAGAAATACTTCTCTTTTCTTGTGCATTAAGGATAATCTACAACATTATGAAAATGCATGCATACAAGACATAAAAATACAGATAATAAAAGTTTAAAATAGAATACCTAAATATAAAAATTAAAAAAGAAACACATAAAAAAATGAATTTGAAATGAATTTATTATTTTTTTAACTTTCTATTTATGAATTCAGAAGGCCAATGCTTTTCTGTACACACAGTGCACGTTGCTAGATCTACCATTGTTACAAGTGATGAGGTACATTTTTATTTCCAAGAGTAGTATGCCTTATTTTTTTACTTCTGTTAACATACCAGATTTGAATTTTGGGTGAACTTTTTAAATAAAAAGCGTATTCTCAGAAGGATTTATATTCAGAAATAAACGGTATTTGGGAATATTAAACCCTAAAAAAAAGTTTAAAGACTATTATGCAAGACAAATAAAAAAATATTACAAAAGCCACATTTACATTTGAAAGCTATGAAACACAAATTGTAATTAAGCTGGTAACTCAATGAATTCAAATAATTCAAGATTCTAGTTATTTTCAGTTAGTTGAAAATGATTTTTAAAAACAAGAAAAAAGAATACCTTGTGGTCACTTCTAACATTCTCGTGCGAATTGTTTCGCAATCAAAATGATTTTGCTGCAAAAGTTTTTCTCCGTGGTCTTGAAGTGAGATCAACTGAAATTTCAAATAAAGACTAGATCAATTTTAAACTTCAAAAAAAGAAAAAATGATGCAAAATAATTCACATAAATCTAATTAAGAAAGTGTGTTATTAACCATGGAAAACATAAAACAAATCTTCACATTCCTTCATTTCATTCTTTTTTTCTATAACCATTAATGAAATAGCCATAAATAAAATACCTTTTCATTTTGTGTGGCAAGTAGCTTCTCAAATGCTTCATGTTTCTTAACCAAAACATCGACCTCCTCGACTGTATTTCCAACATCAGAACTAGATAAGTAAACCTGCAAATAAGATACATGTTAAGAGTAATAATGGTGTTGGGATTATGGATGGTTGACTGAATGTAAACAATAACAAACTTCCTAAATCCAGAAGAAATTTAGAAAACTTCCAATGTATCCCTCAGCATATGTTATGCTTATGAGGCTATGCGTGAACAGACTTAATATTCCAGGAAGTTCTGTCAATGTGATTCAAGTTAAAATTCATGCATAATTTTATTATTCATAAGAGTTTCCTGTAACTTATAAACTCTAACTGGTTGTGAGCCAAATTGAAGAAAATTAATATCACAACATAAATAAAGTTTAAGGTTTGCCATGTTTTGAGTGTTATCCCTTATTTGGCTATATTTGGGTAAAATAGCACTGTTAGTAATTTTTAGGGTTGCATCTTGCAGGTCATAGCATGCTTGCAGAGCCTTCATATGTTGCTTGTCTTGTTGAAATTTAAATTGGAAGCACATGTTATATTGTAAACACTACAAGCATAACAATATTTGATGGCATCTTTTTTCAAGCTTAGGTGTAAAAAATCGATCGGAAGTAGTAACTTGGGAATCTTACAACGAATTTTAACCCCTAGCTCTGTCTGTGCTTAGCTTTACACAATCGCACATAATTTTTCCACATTTCTAATAATCTATGTATTTTAGGGAACATCCATAAATGATGTCACATATTTTCAAATATTTTTGACCGCCGTCCACACTTTTGTCAGATGGTGTCCCACTTCACTTTTTCCTTTTGTCATATGTCAAGCTATATTACATAAACATATATTAGTAGTTCATAAGCAAAGCAATTAACAATTTCTATTTATGTATGATAAAATATATAATCATATTTCTGATTGTTCAAACTATAACTACGTACCTAGGTGAGATTTGTGAGTTAAAATTGTTAGATGTGTACTAATTTTCATGGAAAATAAATTTTAAAATAATATGGAAAAATAAAACAACTAATAATAAAATAATATTTAAACTGCTGACTTTATATGTTTTAATTTTAACCAAAATATCACTTTCAGTCACCAAATTTTTAATTATCCCCTTCTGTCATGATTTCTCCCCATTTTCCAAGAGTGACATAAATTGTCTACGACCCTTTACGTGTTAGAAGTTTTACCATGACTATGTAAAAAACAGTATTGCTAAAATGTTAAAATTAGAGAAAATCAAACAGTTCAGAATCACACATATTTATGCTCTCAAATTAATACCAATGCTTCTAATGATGCAAATAATGTTAGATTTGATAATGCGGATTCTGAAAAAAAAAGTTTTTACTATTGTCTATAAAATTAATAAATTAAAAAAACTGATGAATTATAAACAAGTTTAAGTGTGTCTTGAAACATATCTAGTACAAAAACAAACCTCTTGTTGGCTACTCAGAGTGTCCAGTTGTTTTGCGTCCCTTAAGAAGCATTGCAAGTCACACAGCTGATCAAGGTAGATCTTTTTCTTGTGCCATGCAGTATGCAGATCACCACGAATGCCAAGGAGGTGGTCTAAACGTTCACGAATCTAAAATATAAACAAATCAAAACTATAAGTTTCGAGTTTTATACAAAGACTTCTCTAAGAATTACATATCAGTGGCCTTGATCTTATGTGACTTTTAATCATTAATGATAAATTATGATTTAATAAAAATTAATGATTTAACATGATTGCCACTTAAATCTGAAAAAAAATTCTCCGTGTTTTTCCTGTACATTTATACACAACAGTGTTTTCACTACAGCGCGAGAACGCGAGAACCTCGCATATTTTTTTCTTTTCTCGCATTAAAAAATGATTACCGCGAGAAATTCGCGCATTCTCTAAATCAATTTCAAAATTCGCGAATTTCTCGCATTTTGGAAAAAGCTTCGAATTACGCCATTTAGACTAAAATCCGTTTCACTTTTCTAACTGGATCTTTCATTATTTTCAACATCTGCCCCATTATCTAGCTTCCCTATTTACCAGTATTGTTCAGAACCTTTTCGAACAACAGAACACAACCACGGAAGCCCTTTCAGAAAACATTTCTCTGCAACCACGAGTTTACAGTAGGTAAGGTTTCTTCATGTAAGACGTTCAAATTTTTTATGCACTTATGCAAGATGGACAAATACCTTGTAAAGGCAAAATCTTCTATGATGATGCATCAAAAATATTCAATGCTTTAAAAAGTAGAAGACGTTAAAAATGTATTATAATTAAAGAAAAGATTTTTTTTTCAAGAGTTTTTGTGTTTTTTTAGAAATCTCACCTAACTTTTTGAAATCTCACCCTGTGTTTGAGAAAGGGTGAGAAATTCTCACCCATTTTTTTTTCTATGATGAAAACACTGCACAATATAGTAAGAAACACACAATCATCGTTCTCTTGAGTGACCTATATTAATCTAGTTATACCAGTTTTAATTGCTGGAAAAACAAAAGAAGAGCTGAACATACTTAAATAATGCTACAGTTAATGAAATTAGTTAAGTATGGTTATCATCCTTTTTTTAAAAGACGAAAATAAGAATAAAATTCCCTCTATTTTCTCAGTTTGTAAAGAAAAAATCTAAATTCCCTGTTATTTTAGGTCATTTTAAAATTCCCTATATTTTAAAGGTTTTCCCTGTGGAGTGGCAACCCTGCATCCTTTCACACTGATTGCTGGTCCGGAGGTACAACTGATAATTAATTTATAGCGGTTCAAGTCAAATTTTTGTGGTATCAGGCAACCATTAATTATGAGCCTCGACAATATTTAATGCATAGTATTAAATCAAATAAATTAACTGTCTATTGGTCGCCTGGCCAACTATGATGATGATGATTTTCTGTGGAACTCAGAATATGAAGTAGAATTCATTGCAGAGTGAGATCTGTACTAAGAGGACACTGCTAAAGTTATTGAATCTGACACAGGTGATGCTCTGGAAGCTTTAAATTAGCAGATTTATGGTATGTTTTAAAAGATTCATTATGTTACTTTTTTTAAAAAATACTCTTGAATAAACTGTCATAACTTTTCTTATTTTTAATTTTTTTTTTCTCAGCGTAATTTAAAGAATTGTTTAAAAATAACATTCATATGTATAGAAAATATGCGAGAAAATGCAAAAGTAATTATAAATAACATATTAAAAATAGTTTTTGTAATGACTGAATTGGTACAGAGTTATTTATATATCTCACTGTTAATAAGGTGTCGATATTTCACCATCAATGAATGTCTGACTTTATTACTGATCTATAAATCGACCCTTTGATTTTTGCCAAATTTTGAGGCTTTAAAAAGTTTACTTATTAATGATAAATACTTTAAAAAAACTATATTTACTTCCTCATGAGCATAATGTCCATTTTCGATCATTTCTTCTCCAGCATTTACAATGGTTCCAAAAGTTCCTTCTCTTGCTTCAATTTCAGCTTTTAATCTTTCATGTTCAGCTTTCAACATTTGAGCACTGGTGACATCTCTCACTTTTTCTTCGGTCTTTAAAGAAGAGCAAAGACCTAGTGCCCAGTTTTCTACATCACGTACCTTTAAAATAAAATTTTAGTTTAAACACTATAAGATAAATATTTATATATGTGCATAACTTTAAGATAAAATGTGTTTACTGAAGCCAAGAAGCGCTGCAGCTGATATGATGCTTGCAATTCAATCTTTCGTTGAGCTGCTCTTTCTTGCAGGGTGTTCCAGTTCTCAATCACAATATTTTGTTGTTCTAATATATGATCAGCATTGCCACCCGGATNATAAGAATAAAATTTCCTCATTTTCCCAGTTAGTAAAGAAAAAAACAAAATTCCCTGTTATTTTAGGTGATTTAAAAATTCCCTATATTTTAAAGGTTTTCCCTGTGGAGTGGCAACCCTGCATCCTTTTAGACTGATTGCTGTTCCGGAGGTACAACTGATAATTATTTTACATTGGTTCAACTCAAATTTTCGTGGTATCAGGAAACCATTAATTATGAGCACGGACAATATTTAACGCATAGTATTGAAACAAATAAGTTAACCCTCTATTGGCTGCCTGGCCAACTATGGTCATGATGATGAAGATGATTTTCTGTTGGACTCAGAACATGAAGTAGAATCCATAGCAGAGCGAGACCTCTACTACGAGGACACTGCTAAAGTTATTGAATCTGACACAGGTGATGATCTGGAAGCTTTGAATTAGCAGATTTATGGTATGTTTTAAAAGATTCATTAGGTTACATTTTTTTTAAACTACTCTTAAATAAATTATCATACTTTTCTTATTTTAATTTTTTTTCCGAACATAATTTAAAGAATTTTTTTAAAAATAACATTCATATGTAAAGAAAATATGTAAGGAAATGCAAAGGTAATTGTAAATAACAGATTAAAAATAGTTTTTGTAATGACTGAACTGGTACAGTGTTATTTATATATCTCATGGTTAATAATGTGTTGATATTTCACCATCAACGAATGTCTGACTTTATTACTGATCTATAAATCGACCCTTTGATTTTTGTAAAATTTTGAGGCTTTAAAAAGTTGAATTTACGATACTTGAAAATAAAAATTTATACTTACTTCCTCATGAGCATAATGTCCATTTTCGATCATTTCTTCTCCAGCATTTACAATGGTTCCAAAAGTTCCTTCTCTTGCTTCAATTTCAGCTTTTAATCTTTCATGTTCAGCTTTCAACATCTGAGCACTAGTGACATCTCTCACTTTTTCTTCGGTCTTTAAAGAAGAGCAAAGACCCAGAGCCCAGTTTTCTACATCACGTACCTTAGAAAAAAATATTTTTTTTAAACAACACTATGGGATAAATATTCTTATAAGTGCATAATTTTATGATAAAATGTGCATACAGAAGCCAAGAAGCGCTGCAGCTGATACGATGCTTGCAGTTCAATCTTTCGTTGAGCTGCTCTTTCTTGCAGGGTGTTCCAGTTCTCGATCACAATATTCTGTTGTTCTAATATATGATCGGCATTGCCCCCCGGATAAGAGCCTTGCAATCGAGCACTATCGTCCACTAATATTTGCAACTAAGAAATAAACTAAGTTGAGACAACATGCTTGAAACATTTTAAAAGAAATGTTAAAAAAAAGGGTAAACTTACTTGAGCTTCTAAAGCAACCAAGTCGTTTTCAAACCCTTCATGTTTCCTAATTAAATTCTGTACACTGTTCAAGTCTCGTCCTAAATCATCAGATATGCTGGCATATTTCTCTTGTATCCTAGACAGAGCATCGGCAACGTCCCGATTGAAGCGATGAATTTCTCCGGCTGCCTGCAGCTTTTGATCCCTTGCTTCAATCGTATCGAGCAGTACCGACCAAGATTGCCTAAAATCAATAGTCTTATCATTAATATTGAAAGATGCAAAATAAAGTTTAAAAAAACGTACTAAATGAACTTCCACAATCAGATATTTTACAATTTAAATATATAAAAAAAATTCCTCAAAAATAAATATTAATCGAATACTTCACTCAAAGTAAAATCTATCTAACAAATGGAGCTCAAATTTTAAAGAAGCATTAAAACATTTTAAATGATTAGCAAAATATTTAATAGAAATATAGTTTCATTTGACAATGGACAACTAGTCAAATTTTCATTTTGTGATGCAGCTAAGTTAACTTCTAACCGAGCTAAAAGGCAAAACGTAAATATTTTCCTCCTAAAAACTCTGGATATAAAGAAAAACTGTTTCTGGAGTGTTCTAAGAAGTTTTCTTTTTCTTAAACATATAAGAAGCAAAGCTTGTTATAATAGAACCAGTTAAACGTCTTTCCCCACATCGGAGATCACCTTACTTATGAGGCAAACATAAACATTCAAACTGAAACAGTTAAGAGGTTTCACATTCTTTATGTTGTGTATTGGCCTAGAAATAATAATTATATGCATTTTTTAAAAAAATAAATGTAAGATAAGAAGAAAACAAAGATAATTTTGATCCACTTGTTAGGAAAACAACGCATTTGAATTTAAATGTATATCAATAGAAACAATAATAAAAAAAAGTAAACAATTATAATTTTTTTTATCTACTCTATCAACTATGTTAAATAAAAGTTAAAAGAAATCATGAAACATTAATAAGCAGTTTCAATGAAATTTGTTTTGGTTTATATAATAGTAATATTTTTTTCACCTTAAATGTTGTTGCCTTTGGTCAATTTTTCCTGAATATCCACTGTCACTAGCGACAAGTTTTTTTGCCAGTTCTTCACATTGATTAAATCGTTCTGATCCAGTTTCAACACGCAATTTGAAATCATCGAATTTGGATTGTAGTAACTAAAAATGGAATCAAATATTTTTTTTTAAAGTAAAAGCAAAGAAAATAAATTATTTACCAGGAAAAACAGAAACCATAATATTATTATCATTATTCTTTTTAAATGTCTCATAAAGTTAAAAAATATTTCATGATGAAATATGATAACAATCGTACATTGACACAAATTTATGCTTTTTGCTACAAATTTGCATTTTTTCCCTTTTTTTGCATTACATAAAAATTTTGTGAATTTGAATAAAAAACTGAAGTTAACAAATGTGCAAGAAAAGAACAGCATAAACTTATGCTATAAACATCAATTCTACTGCAAATTGTGCATATCCATTTCATACATCATATCATTTTTATCAGAGTTTCAAAATTGTCAGTAATATTTAGATAATTTGTGTGTTATACTTATTGATATATTAATAAGCAGTTGTAGTATTATTCACTGTTTTTAAATTTAGTTAGATGCATTAAGAAACAGCATTCATTGTAGGAAACATATGAATATCAAAATTATCTGACGACTGCATTTTCCTTTTAACAACTTGAAAGCAGTATTCCAATATGTAATCAAAATCAGACCACAAAATAGCAGGTGGATGGGTAGCCAGCTGTTATTATCAATAAGAAACCATTGAATGCATCATAATAAATAAAAATTTAAAAAAATGACATAAAACCGATTAATACTTTAAATAAACTTCTCAGTAATGAGACACAAAATAATAATTATGACCCTGATAACAATTAGGACACAAAATAATAATTATGACCCTTCACTGAGAAGGTTTATAGCATTAGCAAAGCTGTATGTCACCCAATTATACTGCTGTATGCCATCTACTGAATATGTTTACTGTTTTGTTGATTTTTATGCAGAACAGTTTTTTTATTTTTATCATTCAACATAAAATATTTTTCATTGCAGTTCATGAAAGCATTAAAATATAAATTAATAAAAAAGTCTTAGAACTATTGCAGTAAACATAAAATTATGACACTTAGAATTGAGATCAAAGTTTGACTAAATGACAATTCAGAAAATTAAATAGGAGGACCTAAACACAATGTAACACACACAAAAAAAAAAAAAAAAAAAAATTCAAAGACTTCTGTTTAATGAGATTTTGAAAAATTTATTTCAACTTAAATCATATGAAATTAATTATTAAAACATGATCAAGGTTTTTTTAAAAGATAAATAGGAGAAAAAGTAATAATTTACCAATAAATGTTCATAATCTTGTCCATAATCTTCTGAATTGGCCATCAACATTTGTTCATTCACCCAGTTTTCGAGTTCATCACTCTCCCTGTAGTACTCATGTAAATTCTTGGATTCTATAAGCTTTTGCCTCCTGATATTAGCTAATTTCTGAATATTCTTCATTTGTTGATTTACAACTTGCTAAAAAAAAATAAAAGGAAATACTAAGCCTCTAAATTTATATACATATTTTAAGATGTTTCAACATATTTCCAGTTACTCAATTTAATTAATTCAGAAACCCGAATATAAATAATTCAGAACTTTTTATAAAATACACTTAAAATTTTGGAACTTTTTTATCATTATTATAATTTAGTATACAAAATTAATTTCAAAATAAATTTAGTTTGTTTTTAGATATTTTTTGAGATTAGAATAACATTGAAAGTATTATGATAACATATACTTTATACCTTGTTTTTAAGTTTAACAATTGGTAAAATCAACTTAAAGTTGCTAATTGGTAACTTAGTAACTAATTGGTACTGGAACAAATTTCATTTAAAAAAAAATTCACTTCACACAGATATATTTTAAATTAATATTAAACAGCATTCATATAAGAAAGATTAAAAATCATTTACTAAGTTTATTGCTTAAAATAATCATGAAAAATAAGTAGAACAGAATAATTACCAAAAATCGTTACTACACTAGACTAAAAAATAATGAGATAATAAAAAAAATGTCCTACTAAAAAGATGTTATAATTGATTATATAAGAGTATAATTGAATAGTTTCATTATTTAATATATTATTGATATATTATTCAGAATAAATATATTATTATTAAATATTATTCAGTGGAACAATTTAAAATTTTTATAAACATTTAAAATTAATGAGTATTGAAAACCTACCATTCTATTGCTTATGATTTTGGAATCAGGATGATTGGAATCAATCATTATTTGAGCTTGATGACCCATTTCTGTGATTAAACTACAATAGGTATCAATCTCCAGTTCAAGAGCCTAAGATTGAATAAATAAATTAAAATAGTGTTTAAAGAAAAAGATATTTTGAAATATAGTAAAAAAAATTCACGGTAATAAATTTATTCAGAAATATTGATTATCTAAGTTAGTAATCAATAAATAGATCCTCAAAATTAATCAACAATTGAAACTTTTGATATACTATTACAATTTAGTTGTTAACTTAATTTGATGATTTTAAAAAGTATTGAACTTTTTCTATGGTTTCAGTCATATTAATAACAAAAGTGAACATTTTTTATTTTTTGTGGAATAAAAAAGTGTCTGAAAGAAATCTTTAGTATTCTTAACAGAAATAACAAAAAAGTAAAATGAAAATTAACCAAAGAATAAAAGGATCTAACAGTTTTTTGTAACATCAACTGCTACATTTAATCTATATGTGAGGTTCAATTTTGATCAAATATAGAATTCCATTGAATTTCAATGTGTGAAATTTTATCAAAGATTTTTTTTTATTAAACTCCTGTTTACAATATTTTCTTTTAAAAAGAAAGAGGGCATTCAAATTTATTGTTGAATTGCAAATGTTTAAAAAATACTAAGAACTAGATTACTGTAAAATATAGTTATAATAAATAATATAAATAACCGGAAAATATACATAATATACATTACTGTAAAATATGATTTATAGGTTGTAAGAAACATAGAATCGGTTGTTTTTTTTATTTAAAAAACTTTACATCTTATTTTTAATTTATTGAGAGTCGAAATTGAATGTTAATAGAACAAGACACTTTGAAACATTTTTAATGACTTTAACTAATTAAAATAAAACATTCAAGAATTTTAGTTTTATGAATTGATACAACTAAACTAGATTCCACTGCACTAAATTATATCAGCAACAGAAAATTGTAATGTACAACTGGCAGTACTTGAAATTAAAAACAAGCTGTTTCACATTAATGGAAAATATTTTGGGGCATTTCAAGAAATATAAGTGAATAAAAAAATGAAACATTTTGTATTATATGAAGATCATTTTTTCAAGATTAAACAGAAGTATTAATAATCATAATCAAAGTTATTATCTTTTACAGAAGGTTATTTTTAATTCAAAATACTTTTTGCGACAATTAACAATTCTCTCATTTAACAGTTAAGTAATAATTGCAACAAATCAAGAATTGAAGGGATTGCACTAAAACAATTTGGAGATGAAAACAAGAATGTGCACACACAACTGCAGGTTTCCACAGTATTAAAAATATTTATTTTTTAAAAAAATGACCAAAACTAAATTTACAATGCATAATAACTGCTTCATAAGTTAAAAATCAATTTGAAAAAAAAAAAAATTTCGCAAAAAAATTTCAATTTAGATAGCTGTTCCAGAAACCCCCTGATATAAAACCCTCTATTGTACACTAAAACAGGCTTTAACATTAAAAATAATAAAGTTTATAAAAAAAAAAGATAACTAAATAAAAAAATGCTTTTTATGGAAAAATGACCAATTAGAGATTTTTAGCCTTTTTAACCAAAAACAGAAACACTACGTGAACAGTCATTTGTTCTGAATAAAATCATATTTAAAATTTTATTTTCACAGACGGTTCTTCACGTAAAAAATTATATTTTAACCTGCTATCTTCTCTGCATAGCAAAACCGGTTTTTTCAATGTTGTTAGATATAGGAAAATGGTGAATAGAGAATAAACATTCTCCCAATTTTGTCCTTTTGCTAAACCACCAATGGATTAAATAAATAGATATCTATGAAATAAAGTAACTAAATAAATCAATGAATTTACTTTATGTTTAGTGAGAAGTTTCACTGCTGCATCTTCATCCTTTCCATAGTCAGAGCTTTCCAAAACATCAGTTTTTTCATTCATCCACAACTCAACTTCATTAGCTTCTGAGAAAAACTGAGGGGGGAAAAAACATAGTGTTTTATTTAGCAAAAAGAACATCAAATAAAAACATCAATAATGTTTATTATTAGAAATAGCACCAATCAATAAAGGATAATTGAGGAAAAAGAACAAAGAAGTTATACTAACGGATTGTGATTTCAGGGATAACTCAAGCTTTTTCTTCCTTTCTGATGCAGATTCCAAGAGTGTTTTCCATGAATCTTGAAGTTCAACACATTTAGATTTTATGGAATCTGCTGCATAGTGTTTTAGGTCCATGAGTGATTGCCCTGATGACAAGGTCTTATCAATCATAGGCTGATGTCCAGTAATCTCTCGTTCAAGTTTCTAATGAAAATGAATGTTTGTTAAACTTAACATTTTAATAAAGATAGATGGAGATTAAAAAAATAATATTATTTTCATTTTCCCAGTGAGTGATTTATATATACATATATGTTAAAAATATAGAGAAAAATTATTAAAGATTAATTAAAAAAAAGAAAAGAAAAATTATTAAAAAAATAAAATATTTATAAAAAAAAATTATAAGCCAGATTACAAAAAAGTTAGAAGATAAAAAAGTTAGAAAAAAGAAGAAGAAAAGTTCTTCATCAGTTCCCACGATTGCATCTGTAAAAAGGAGTGCTTTCTAATATTGTATCAATATAGCCAAAGCAAAATATATCAATACAATAGTGTGAGGAGCACTCAAAAAAAAAATTTTGAAACAAAATAGAACACATTAGGCAAAAAATATATCATGCAAAAAATAGAAAATAAAATGTAAAGAAAAACATTATCTATAACCATATTTAGTAGTTTTTTTCGTTATAACAACTATTAATTTATCTTTTGGTACATTAGATTCCAAATATTTCTCGGACCTATAACTTGGTTTAAAGATATCACAAATTCAATCAATTTCAAAGGGATTTTAAGAGAATTACAAAAATAAATGGGGAGGCTCTTAAAACAATTAAAATTTCTTGCTATTCAATATTTTAAAAGGCTAATTAGAAATCATTTTTCTTTAATTATCGAAAAATTTTATGGGAGGAATGAGAAAATTTAATAAAGACAAACTTTTATGATAGTGTTATTATGGAGAGATTTTTTCATTTAGGAAAAAGGGTTAAATTATAAAAAGCTATTTCAGCAAATATATCCATAGATAACTTCCATGTTGTCAAATATAACTATTATGCATTTATCAAATTTCCTGTTTTTGCAACTACAATTGTTATAAATCAATAAATTATAACTCAATTTAATGAGTAATGTAAGATATTCTAGTACAATTCTAAGTACCTACCTGATGTTTTTTGTACATGTTTTGGGCATCTATCAAATTTTGTCCAAGAACCAGAGATGTTGCAGCAGGCATATGTTCCTTGATCCACTGCAATTCAGCATCTACTTCAAAGTTAAACTCGTGGAATTTAAGGGATTCTTCAAGGATATAACGTCTTTGCGCAGCAGGGGTCTTCATCTTATCGAATCTGTAAAGTTATAAATTATTACTATATTTTTGCAACAAAATCTTCTGTGCTACATATAGCTATATATTAGCATAGTAAAGAAGATCTTGTGGCAAAAATTGCAAAGTGTTGAAATGGAACTTTTAATAGATGTAAAACAATAATTTACAGGAGTCATATTGAAATTGATCTTGATTTAGAATGAAGAGCTTGATGGATAAATGTTCCAAGTGACATTTTTAAAAAAAATTCGATTTCTGAGGAAAAGATTTTATTTTAATCTTATTTTTTATAAAATATTAATTTATTTTACAAAGTCTAAAAATTTCACAGATCTTAGAAGATGGAAGTACTAAGCGACAATCTTAAAGAATTTTCAGAGAGGAAAAATGTTTCAAGAGCATTTGGAAAGAAACAGTTGACAAATAGGTTGCTTTTTGGCAGCAAATTAAAATGCCAATGAATATTATGATTGGAATAGTTTAAATAAGTGATAGGAATTAACAGATCTCACCAATCAGAAGCCAACAAATAACAAAGGCAAGATATAATTTTTATTTTTAATTAATAAACTTTAAAGTAAATTCACTAAATAATCTCTTTGAACCTTCATTCAACAGTTTAGATGCCTTAAACTAGATATAAAACTTTTACTTTAAACTATCTAGGCTATCTTAACTTTAAAAAAAAATACTATCTTGACTTAACAAACAAACATTTTAAATATATAAAACAATGTTTCATTTTATTAAAACAATTTATATTAATAATTTTTTTATTAAATTGCTATTAAACAGTTAAACATCGACAACAGTTTTAACAGTAACATTAAACAGTTTGCAATTAAACAGTTAAAGGGACTATACCTTATTGACTTTTTTTCAGAATTATTGCTAACAAGAACATTGGTCCCATAACCAAATAACCATGAATTTTAATATTGCGATGTATTGTAAAAAACATAGATATTTAAGAATATATCGAAATATTTCTCCCTTTTAACTCATTATATTTTATTTTTACTTGATCATTATATTTGTTACCCGAATAAAATGTATTAACTCTCACAATAAAGTCATATATAATAACTTTTGATATGCATAACATTTGCAATGCTGTTTGACATACATTATTAATAAAAATTGCAATATTTTCATATTTGATAATTACATAAATAATTATTGCGATACTCTCATATTAAATATGTATTGTTATAATTTTTATTACAATATTATCATATTTGATATAATTATGTGTATTATCAGTAGATAGCAACTTGCGTAAACCAGAATTGGGCAATGTCCTGGTGAACTTCATGGTCTTCTGATAAATACCAAATTGTCAAAGATTAAAAAATTAGGATTACAGATACTTCAAAAATAACTAAAAAAAATTTCATCATATTGAAATTTTATGCTGTTTTCATCATCAAAAATTAGAGCTTTTACTATAGAACAACAAAATTTAAAACTGCTGGGTTAAGTTTTAATTAATGATGGACTTAATATGAAAGAAATTTTTACAAATTTGAAATTGCATTTAAAAATGCAAAATTACCTTTCAGAAACAGCCTTTGTCCCTTTTAGTATATTTTGAGCATCAAAATGACCCTGGCTAGCCATTTCCTCACCAAGAAATACAAGCTCGGTAACTTTTGTTTCCCAGGTTAAAAGCTCATTTTCAAGCATCTAGAAAAAGAAAGTTACAACAAACGGAAAATTACTTCAACCTCCTTAAAACAGAAAGTGTTCAAAACTGCATCAGACATTACAGACTATTTATATCCAATCACCGCAGCCTATTTATATCTAAGTCCTGATGGAAGCTATAAGTAGTATTAATAATTTTTCTTTTTTATGAAGGTATTTATTCATAATTTGATATTTTATTTCATAACCGTCGTTGAACAGCCGACCCAATTTCTTGGATTTATAACTACTAATGTTCAACTCCGTAGCCTTGTAATTTTGAACCCAATCCAGAAGACAAAGGAACCCCCTGAATCAAGTATTGGGAGAAATTAGCCTTCGTGGAGGACTTTTTGATAAAACTAACCAACATTTGTGTTACGTGCAGAAGAAAACCACGAAAACTTTGCACAGTTAGCCTAACAGCAAGGAGGCTTTCACTCCTTAACGTCAAGGGGGATATTTTACGTCAGCACTATGGTCGATGCAAGCCGGATGCGAATTCGTATCGACCAGCCATTGCTGGGATTCAACCTCAGTTCACCTCATTGAGATGCAAACGCTTTATCCTCTGAGCCATCACGGCTCATAATTTCATATGAAAAAATTAAGATTCCTTTTTTTGTAAGCAAAATAAAATTATTCGTCTTTAAAAAATAGATAATAACTCAACAAGACAGACTTAATTGTCTATTTTTGCGATGATATCTGCAGAACATCTGTAATTATCAGGTGTTGTTGCATAACATAAGAAGAAATTCCACTCCTGGATGTAACACAAGATATCATCTAACAGTTTAAAATTTATTTAAATTTAAATATAAGAAAAGCAATATAATTTTTTGCCTTATTTGCAAAGGCAAGATTACTTTTTTTTTTAAACCTACCACCTAAAAATTGAGAACACAAGACTACAAAAAAGACAGAAAAGGCAATTTTACAGAATATATTAGTTTATCTAACCTGATGTCGTTTCAGAAGCTTCTTAACACTTCTAAGGTCATGTCCAAGGTCTTCAGAGGCCAATGAGTTTTCTAGCTCATCTAACTTAGTTCGAGCATCTTCTAGAGTTCTATTATATGTGTGCTGTGCATTTGCCTCTCTCAATTTTTGTCCCTTTTCCACAGTTTTTGCACACAATTCCTCCCATTGCTCATTCAGCTGCTTGAGAAGTGCTTGGATTTTTTCACCTGCATAGTGACCACCAGTAAGAAGACTACCACCATTCTGCAAATGTAAGAAATGAAAATTTAGTATCTCGTACGAAATTAAATACATTACAACAGGAATCTCCGAGATATTCAGACTAAAGACTGCAGTTTCTTTTAAGACATTTTTAAAGTGAAAATCATCGCAACTGATCCAACAAATTTTTCTAAAACAATTCATCTTGGATTTTGAGATTAAAATTATAAAAGAAATGAGTACTTTTCAGCTATTTGCTAAGTTCTATAAAAAAAAAAGTATTTTGTGACTCTCCTCAAAATATTTTTTTAGTAATTTAATATTTAATACAAGATTATTATACAATACTAAGAAATTTGAGTAATTAAAAGACAGAGAGAAAAAAAAAGAAAATAAATTTATCTTAGAACCATTTCGAAATGTAATATAATTTATATGAATTTCAAAAAATAATAATAACTATAGATATCTAGCTATACGATGAGTATTTAAATTTTTTTTTTTTAATTTAAAAAGAAACTGCTTTTTTTAAACAAAAAGTAGTGGTTTGCATTGTTTGCAAAAGGTAAAAAGTGAATCTAATTTTATTAAAATTAATAAGTGAAAGAAAAAGAAGAAAAATATAGGGCAAATAGTTCCATTTTTTTTTAACAAGAAAACAATTTCTTTTGGTATAAAAGAAGAGGGATGATATAAATTATATAATGGTCCACTGTTTCAGTTTTAAATTAGCATTCTTAATTATCACACTCCCTAAAACCATTAAACTTAATTCAAAGCTACAATTTCAAGATGAAAGAAAATTAATATACCTTATTGATAGAATCAAGCCTTTCAGCATTTGCTTTTAATTCAGCTTCAAATGCTTCATGTTTTTGTAGCTTTCGTTCAAGATTTGTCAAATCTCTATAAGATTCATCAGAAGCAGTTTTTAATTTCTCTTGAATCCATGCAGACAGCTAAATAACAAAATAATGCTTAAGAAGTCTCAAAAATACTAAATAATAAAGAAATACATATAAATATTTCAGGTCAATAAAGATAAAATGCACTTACAAGAATTTTACATCAAATAGAAGAAGAAAAAAAATCATACAACTTTCTAAACAAATTATACAGTAATTTATTTATTCCCATAAAGTTAGCATTAACAATAAAATAATAGATAACAGTAAAATAATTAACAGATAAATGATATGTAGCCTTTACAAGCCCACATATTACTTCAAAATAATTCAGGGTGTGCAGCCAAATCTTTCAACAAAAAATGAACACTTTTTAGTTACTTTTTAAGCACTAAAAATATTTTTAAGCACTATGTATATACATTAACAAAATGCAAAATAATTTTGAATTTTTGAAGACTTAACATGATCTTGATAAAATAACTAGTTTCTGACAAAGAACTTTTTTGTTGATTATATTAGCCACCACAAAAAGATCCAAAAGATTTTTCAGTTCAATTTCAAAGGGTGGAAAAGGAAGCCAGAAATTGAGAATATCTTGCAAAATGCAGCAGAGTTGCACATGAGAGTGCAAGAATCTCACCGAACCCAGCTCACTAGACGCACATGCGGACTCTCAAATATTTCATCAAACATGTAAAATTATTGTCGCTTTCATACATTACAGACCGACGGTATGTCCAAATGGATTGTCGAAATAGATAATATGTGGCGAAAATCGACATAGTAAAGAAAAATATCTTATTTTGGAAAAGAGAATATTAAGCATTTTTCCTTATAAAAAAAAGCAATGAAAAGAGCACCTTTAAAAACTTTTAAAAAACGAAAATCGAAAATAAACAGCTTTAAGCACTTTATAAAAACACAAAGCACCATGTAATTTAAAGACAACAAATTTGACAAATGAGTAATTGAATATTTACCTGGTTAACATCTGTACGGAATTCTTGAAATGCATGAGAAGATAAAAGCATGGCTTTACGTTGTTCTGCCTTTTCTTTAACTGCTTGGCGCTGTGTCAAAACACTTTTCCTCTTTTCATCAATGCTTTAAAAAAATTTATTTTAGCAAAGGTTCAGGAACTAATTTTTTCTGCATTGATAGTACATTAAAAAATTGATGCAATATTAAAAAACTTTAATCATGGTGAGAAAATTATGATAATTCTTAGCTTTAAAACATTAATGTAAGTTAAATTGTTTATTATAAAATACAACATTTAGTTGAATATTAAAATTAATTTTAAACAGAATGCTTTGTTCCAGTCATGTGTAGACAATAAAATTTGTTAAAATAATCAAATTCAAAGGATAGAATGTGATTAAATACTTCGATCATGCATATTGCACATTAAAAAGAATTATGTGCAAGTTTAGAGTTTGTTCACATGTTTGTGGCGAACTATACCATAATTCTAGTGACAAAAGTCCAATGAAATTATCTAAATATATTTTTTTAAATTTCCATTTGTCTAGTAAATACTCAATACAGTTAAGTTAAAAATGGTTTTCATGAATAGCTCACAAATCTAACATTTTTAATTTTGATTCCCTCAAAGAAAATCAAAATTAAAGACAGTCACTTAATGTTGACTATTAGTATTTAATGTTAATTATATAACGATAAACATTATACATTCTTGTTAACAGACACAAAATGACGCAGGCGACATTTGATTCATAATCTCGCAAAAGTATAATATAAAAGGAATATTCTTCTATTGATCGTAAAAGTAATATGATTGAAAAAAAATTATTAAACCATCTTTTTAAAAAATTTTAAGTAACATGCAATTATTGATTTTAAATTTTACGCATTAAAGTACAATGGTGTATTTTTTTACAAATCAAACTAAAATCAAAAATTACAAACAATCACACATCATAATTAAAAATGAAATAAAATTTTCATAAGCAATACAATATTTTTAATCATTATACAAAGTTATCGAATAAAATGTCCTATTTACACATATGCGAAATTACATAAACAATGTAATGAAGCATATGCATAATGAGCAATGTTATATTTAATTTATTGTTTTTTAAAAAGAAGCATAAATGAAGACATACTATTTACTCTCGTAGTGCCTTGCAGCAATAAGTTTGTCAGCCATTTCACTAAAAGTTCTCAACCTTTCATCTTGAGCAATAAGTGTATTTAAGAAATTCTCATGTCTCTTTAATAAAGTTTCAACATCATCCAAATTTGTCTGAAAATAACAAAGAATTTTGATTGTAAAACAAATGAAAAATATAAAACTAGAGTAAAAATATTTTTGTTAATTATTTTTTCTTTTAAATTCAGATTTTCAGTGATATAACAGTTTATATTTTGCTGGATTTTAAAAAAAAACCATTTTATAAAGATTATTAAATTAACTAAACACCAAAACACAATAAAAACAGTAATGAGAAAACATCAAAAAAATATTTTTGTGGCTTTAGAGGCATTAACTGGGGAAAAAAACAGCAATGTTTTTAGTGATCCAGTTTACAAGGCACAACTTTGTACAAGGATTTAACAAGCTTTTCTATTGACAAGTGGCAATTTTTTAGTATGCAGCTATTTTTAGCGGAAATATTTTCTTACTGATACTAAAATACAAAATAAAACATTTATTTAAATTGTTAACATAAGTTGATAATTTACTGAATGATAAAAATAGCTTCAATATATTTAAATGTGTAGAGATAATCAATGTTTATAAAAGTATCAGAAAACTTTCTTTGAATTTAATTTTCAAACAACAGATTTATCTTTTTATAGTAACATAAGTAAATTTTCATAGCAATATTAAAATACATTTATTTCAAGAGTTAGAATAAGTTAATCTTTCATGAAACAATAAAAAAGTCTTCCAAAAATGTGTATTAAGGTAAATAATCAATGTTCACAAAAACAGATAACACAGATGCTTGTACTATAAATGTAAGGTACTAGTTAAAAATAAATTGAAAAAAAACCAACTGTACTAGAATTCAAGTGTTCTGAATTTTGCATAGTTTTAAAAAATTATCAATAATTTTGAAGTTGAAAAATCCATCTTCATTGGAATCTTTAAATTTATTAAAAATCTGTTTACAAACTATATTATAGTTTCGTTTTCAATAATAAACAATACAATATAATCACAAAAACTAATTTGATAGATTGTTTAAGCCCACTACTTACACCAAGATCTTCAAACTCCAAGAAGGCATTATGACTGTTTGTTATGCTATCGATCTGATCAGCTTCTCGAGTGAAAACTTGCAAATCCATGCACTGCCTCAGCCAATCCCCTTTTTCCTGCCAACCTCGATGTATAGCGTCCTGTTCTTCTTGTAGCTGCACTAGTGCATCTCGAATTTCCATTGACTCTGGATTCTTCTGAAGTAAGCTTACACCTAATCCTTGAATATCTGTAAATCTGTAATTCAAAAAATTGACGTGGCTTAAATTTTTTTTAATGATTTAGAGTAAAACAAAAATAAATAGTTAGCAAACAATTTTATCTTTAACTTTTTATTCACTAGTGAAATTATAAGCTCCTCACATCTAAGCTTGTTTTATTACAATCATAAAATAAGATGAATATTGTATAAGAAATTATTCAAAGTATAATATAGTGGGAGCTCCAAAAGCAACAACTCAGTTTGTTAGAACCAAACGTTATTTTTGACAAGATGTATCAGATTAAGAATAAAGAATATTTTGTTTAACATACGAATAAAGCAAAAATGAAGGTACAGAAATTGACATTAAGTGATAGTAGAAAAGAAACAAGACACACATGAGCTAAGTAGAGGAGGAAACAGAAGCTTGAACAAGATAATATTCTTGTTCAAGTTAGTATCTGGCTACTCAAAGTGTATCTGGTAGCACCAGTCTGAAAAACAGTTCCAAAAGGAGGACTGATTTTGATTTCAAACTCATGAAGCTTCATGACCTCCTACCAATAGCTGATTTTTTTTTATGTCCTTTCATGAATACACACTTATTCTGTACTGATCGGTAAATAAAAATTTAAGGAACAAAAAATAGCATTGCAATCTTGCTTTTTAATTATTTATTGTTTTATTTGCGGTTTTTCAAACTCATTTTGTAAAAATTGAACCTTTTTTTCCTTCAAAAAAAAACTATGAGTTAGAGCAGTGATTCTCAACCACTGTGCTGCGGCACTTTTGTGTGCCGCCAAATTCTTAAAATGTGCCGCCAAATATTAGAAATGATACAATAAAAATTATAATGCTTTTTTTTTATTATGAGTAAAGTTTAAATTAAAGAAAAATATATATATATATACATATATACTTTTTGTAATTTTTCCACGCTTTAACCACGTGAACACCTTTGTCGGCGATTGTCTTGTCTCTGACAATAATAAAATAAGATGGAAATGTTTAAATTATATATGACACACAATTTTAAAAAATTTTATAAGAGCTAATCACTAAAGTAAGCTATGCAATTAATAAACAAATTAATAAAGGATAACTTTCAAAAATTAAGCTAACAATTAATAATTAGCAAAAGAACTAGTTAACAAGAAATCACAAAAAAAATATCAGTTAATGCAAAAAAAACTAACAGTTAATTACTATAGAAAGCAAGCTAACAATTAATAACTAGCAAAAAATAAATAATTGTTACTAACTAATAAGAAATTGGTTGAAAGAAATAATTAATCCCTTAATAAATTTGCTTTTGTAGCACATATTATTTTATTTCACATTCAAAATTATTATCACAAACTATTTAACACAGTATAAAATAGGTAATTAAACTACTTTAAATCTAATTCTTTTCATTGTGTGCCGTCAAATTTCGAAATCGTTAAAAGTGTGCCGCAACAAAAAAAAGGTTGAGAATCACTGAGTTAGAGGTTAGCTAGTGATAAAAATAATAAAAAAAATAAGCCAAATTTCTAATTTTAAATGTTGTTGTTTTTTTTTTTCAATTATGTGTATAGTAATTTTTTTAAAGGAATAAAATAGGGAATAAATGAAATAGGAAATTGAGTTAAACAACTTATACAGTGTAGAACAAAAACACAATGGAGATCTAAAAGTATTTTGAAACTAAAATAGAAAAAATTCAAAAAAAAAAATATTTTCCCCTTGAAAATAATTAAGGTTAGAGAAAGTCAATTAAATAGAAAATATGCTTAAACATAAATTATTTTAATAGAGAAAATAGAATTGCCAGTAAAAAAAACATAAATTGTAGACGGAAAAAAAACTCACTCATCCTGATGTGCAGCTATATCATCACCGAGGTCTTGATGTTTTTTCAAAAGATTTTCTGCAGTGGCAACATCTCGCGCAGGTTCATCACTGTTCAGAGACTGTTTAACACCACTCACCCATGTAAGCTTGGAGAAAAAAAGCATTTAATGAGAAACTGGGTACAAAAATGTAAACATTATCATTATTTTCACTCTTTAGAACTCTATACTTTATAGCACACAAAACTATTTACTAAGATATGTTAATGGTTAAATAACTTAAATGAAAAACAATCACTAAGAGGTTTTTAAAATCTGAAAAAAAAGAAGAAAAGAAAACAGTCGATTGCTTTTTTAAAAATCAAATGTCAAAACAAGTTTTTCTGCCTGAGCTAAAAGTAATTCTTCAAATAAAATAAATAAATAATAAAATAATTTTTTAAGGGTGAATAAATTTTATGATATGATTTATTAATGCAATTATTCAGTAAATTTATGATATATTAACAAAATTCTAAGCTAGGCTAAGATGTATTGCAATAAATACAAGCAACAGTGAATGTCAATGTATTTTGAAATATTTCTATAATTGATACTAGAGTTCTAAAAATAATTGTTTGAATTTTAGAACAGTATATCTAATCTTCAAAAAAATATAATTTCAAATGAGCAAAACATAGTTTTTTAAACACAGGCAATTTTTTATTATAAAATAAAAGCATTATTTATAGAATAAAAAAGAAATTTATACGTACAAGGCTTTTCACACTGTTTCTAAATATTTGCAAACCTAGTGATTCATCCAATCTGGCACGTCTTTGGGCAGCTTTTTCCTAAAATAAAAATTAAATTATTTCAGTTATATACCAGAAATAACTCAACGCTGAATGAAAATTTACATTTAAGACACTACTCGAAACAAAATTTTACATACGTTTATTTGTAAACATTTAGAAAGTTAAGAAACACCAGGAAGGAACTTACATCTTTCCTAATTAATAATTAAATAACTTAAAATGGATTGATAATAAGGAGATAAACAAATCAACTTAGCAATGTGGATCATCCATCGATGTTGGTGAGTTCATATCACGTCCGGAGGTCACCAATAAGGGGATAGTTTATCGACAATGTCAACCTTCTTCTGTCAAAAGGTACCTCAAGATAGAATCAAGTTAACTTGTCCTATATACTAGTGAATTGATATTTAATGTTTATAGTGGTAGTTACGCCACATAACTCCCCTTCCAGAATTTGTGATAGAATTCGATGAACAATACCACTAGTTAATTTATGCTGTTAATTTCCTTTTATTTATTGCCCAGAGGATTCTATTTCCTTCATCAGATTTTTGAGTGTTATTTTATGAGCAAATTCGATGAACAATGCCACTAGTTAATTTATGCTGTTAATTCCCTTTTATTTATTTATTATTAGCTCATTTCCTTATTGTCCAGAGGATTCCATTTCCTTCACCTGATTTTTGAGTGTTAATTTATGAGCAAATTCGATGAACAATGCCACTAGTTAATTTATGCTGTTAATTCCCTTTTATTTATTTATTATTAGCTCATTTCCTTATTGTCCAGAGGATTCCATTTCCTTCACCTGATTTTTGAGTGTTAATTTATGAGCAAATTCGATGAACAATGCCACTAGTTAATTTATGCTGTTAATTTCCTTTTATTTATTTATTATTAGCTNCATCAATGTCGGTGAGTTCATATCACGTCCAGAGGTCACCAATAAGGAGATAGGTCATCGACGATGTCAACCTTCTTCTATCCAAAGGTACCCCAAGATAGCATCAAGTCTTATATATACTAGAGAATTGATATTTAATGTTCATAGTGGTAGTTACGCCACATAACTCCCCTTCCAGAATTTTATTTGTGATAGAATTCGATAAACAATGCCATTAGTTAATTTATGCTGTTAATTTCCTTTTATTTATTTATTATTATCTCATTTATTTAATTTATTTATTGTCAAGAGGATTCTATTTCCTTCATCGGATTTTTGAGTGTTATCATATGAGCAAATCGACTGTTTAATGTGAATCATCCAACCACAAGATGGAATCAAGTTAACCTTGTATACTCAAGTATACCTTGTATATTTGGCAAATCGGTATTTAATATTCTTAGTGGCGATTTAAGCCACAAATATATGCTTTGTAACCATTGGAAAATAAATTTAATTAAAGAGATAAATTTTTATTAAAATCTAAAGGCATTTCTTTGACACATTGGTATGTCTTCATTTGAAGGACTTAATAGAAATTTTCTCTCATTAGGATAGATCAGTGGTTACCAACTGGCGACCTGCGGACCTCATCCGTTTCATGAAGCCTTTTTTTGTGGCCCTTGAACTATAATATATTAGTCGTCATTTTTTTGCAGAAAATTTTCGTAAAAACTCTGTATGAGTTTAAAATACTTTTCTTTCTTTAAAAAAATATTCTTCGTTTCTGTGAATTTTACCATACTACAGGTGCAAAAAAAATTATTTCTCTAGTTTCGCACCCACGAAAATATTTATTCAAATACAAAAATAATCATGTATATTGCTCTTTTTTTTTTTTTTTTTTGTATTTTGTGAATATAATTTAGCATGTGTATATCAGAAATTTTCTCAAAGAAATTCTCCGCTATAGCTTTTTGAAACCACTTATTTTGGACGAAATTATTAACATTTGTAAATTTTGCAGCCAGAATATTTCAATATGCAATTAAATAATTTTAAAAACCTACTTATTATTTTTATTTGCAATTCAATTCCCTTGTTTTGTACAAATTGATAAAAATCTGACATTAATATTTAATGTCCCTTCAAACATAAAAGAGTCCTATATAAAATTTTGATTAAGTTGAGGTCCGCCATTTGACTGGTGTTTTTAATTGCGGCTCCCAGACTCGTGTAAGTTGGAGACCCCAGGGAAGATAATCTAACTGATAGCAGTAACCATCAGATGAACAGGTACCAAACACTGAAACACATATATGTGTTTTTATAAACATTTTACTCTTTGTGATTTTTAAAAGCTGTTTTCAATCAAATTCAATTCTATAATATATTATACTAGAAAACGGTTTAATAATGGTCATGAAATTCTCTCTAGGCATGAATACCTCTGGTTCAGAACTACTACCTTAGAGGTTATATCAATATATTTCAAGAAATAAAAAAATAACCTTACCTTTACTTTAACCCAAAGATCATTTAGCTCTTGCTGTCGAGTGGTCACATTGCTTCGTTCTGTAGGATATGATGATTTCACACTACAAAAAGAAGTATAAAAAAAAAGAGTAAATAATTTTTTCTACTATCTAAACACACAAAAAAAAAACATATTTGTCAAAACGGTGTACTTACGAATCGGCTAATAGATTGACTCTATTAAATTTTTCCTCAATTGGTGCCAATTCTCTTTCAATATTCTAAATAAATATTTACAAACAGTAGTAATTACATATATGAACAAATATTTACATATGAACAAATATTTACTCAAAATATTAACATAACTAATCTTACTTATATAATTAGTGATCTTTTCACACAAAAAGTAATAGTACAATAAATTATGAGTGAATATAATATGTATCAATAAATTTTTAATGAAAGAAATGGTAAATAAAAGCTGATGGTAAAAATGGTAAAGAAAAATGGAAACAACACTTTACAAGCAAATTAAATACCTTATCAAAAATAAGATAAAAGAGTATTCTTATTTATGAATGCAGCTTGCGGAATGCAATTATTTTTTGTTTTATAAGCTTTGTCATAAATTTTGAGCTGTTGTTATGGTTTTAAATAATAATTAATAATTAAAATCATTGAATATTATTAACAATATCGAAAGTGACAAATGCAACTGAGAACCATGAAGCTAGTTGTGATTAAATAAGAAGCAACAGAATACTTATGAAACAAAGATGGACCATTATTAAGACGAAGGATCTAAATGAAATATGTACGAGTATAAAAGAGATTTTATATTTCTTTTTTTACTAAGAATGCACAAATTCTATTTCATTTTCTACACAGCATGGCAGAATTCAGTATAAAGATATTAATTATTAATATTTAGAACCACATTACAAGTTTTGAATTTTCTTTGGTAGACTTTTTGAACGTATATTTTTATTTTTTGTCTAAATGAAAAGAAACATTTGATATATTTTAGTCAAGTTATCAATAAGAATTCTTAACAAGAAGCCATATGGTGGGAAAAAAATCTTTCTCCTTTCTTACCAATTTAAAATTTTAAAGAATATAGTTCAGGAAAACCTAGAGTTTGTCATGAAGTTTCAATTTCAGAAAAAAAATTCTTTCAACTATAAAAATTCAAACAAATTACTAGAAGAGAGCTTCTCCGTTGCGTACTCCTAAGTTATCATCTCATAATTTGTTTTCATTTGTATATTTTAAAATTTTCTTTTCAGTTTTTGAAACTTTATGGATTACTCTAGGTTTGTCTGAACTCATTTTTTCTACACTTTAAATTAGTAATGAAGGAGAAAGTGAATTTGCGATTAAAATTTTCTTCTGGGCATTCCCTTTAAGAAAAATTGTCTACCATACCTGATGTTTACGCTGTAAGGCTTGGACAGTTTTCATATCTCTCCCAAGGTCATCAGTCTCAATTTTTTCAAGCTTTTCTAGCATCCATTCATATGCGTCATCGCAGGTTCTCTCAAACAACTCAACACTAAATTAAATATTATTTATAGATTACAATGGGTTACGTTGCACATGCTTTCAGAATATAGACTCAATTCAATCTACTTACCTAGTGGCACCTTCTAAGCTCTTCTCAATGTCTGTCTTTAGGTTATTTAAACTTTTCCACCTTTAATGAAGAAACAACAATTATTTAGATTTACTTATTTATTAAAATAAGAGAACTACAATTATTTTTAGCTTTCCACTTCAAATAACAACAAAAAAAATTAATAATTTAAATTTTTCCATCTTTAATGAAGAAACAACAATTATTTAGATTTATTTACTTATTAAAAGAAGAGGTCTACAATTATTTTTAGTTCACCATTTCAAATAAAAAATTTTAAAAAAATTAAAAAAATAATAATTTAAACTTTTCTATCTCTAACAAGAAGCAACAATTATTTAGATATATTTACGTATTAAAATAAGAGGACTAGAATAATTTTTAGTTTTCCACTTCAAATAAAAAAATATTAAAAAAAAGTTTTTTTAAAAATTCAAACTTTTCCATCTTTGATGAAGAAACAGCAATAATTTATAATTTTAATTTAAAAAAGAAATAACGATTAATTAGTTGAATAAAGAAATAACATTTAATTAATTAAATAGAAAAATAACTATTTAAATTTTTCCTCCGAAAAAAACAGGAACAATATTCATAAAAATGTTTACCTAAAATAATAAAGAGACAAAAATTAATTAAATTTCTCTACTTGAGATAATAAAGGAGCTACAATTATGTAAACTTTTTAGCTAAAATAATAGGGAAAGGACTATTTAAATGTTTTCACTTTTATTTTAATGTTTTCACACAAAATAATAAATAAATAATAATCAAAAATATTTATTAACTAAAATAATAAAGAAACAATCAATAAAAAAAAGCTAAAAATAAAATAAATTCAAATAATTTAACAGACAATGAATATTTTATAGGAAATATTGTCTATGAATTTCAGAAGTGATGACACCATACCTGTCATGAATTTGATTTTGTCTTGATTTCACAGCTCCTAATTGACTATGTTTAGTTTTAACAAAATCATCAACACACCCATCAATTTCATCAACACGACGACTAGTGGCAGATAAGTCAGTCAAAAAGTTCTGCAAAAGCAATGAAATTAGATTAAATGTTTTAAATCAATTGCTTATTTTAAGAAAAAATCGACTGAAAGAAATTAGAAAAAACAAAACAAAAACTAATGTCATTTAAACTTTTAAAAAAATGCCAAACGCTAAGAAATTTTATTTTATTGTATAACAGGCATTAAACGACCACTTTTAGGTTCATGGCTATCAAAATTCAACTCCTCAGACTCGTAATTTTTAACTCCAGGGGTCTGTCTAGGTTTTTCTAAGAGGTACCTATTTTGTGAAATTTTAGACATAACTTGTGAAAATTAAAAATTATATTAAAAAATCAACACAAAAATATGGATTTATCGTTTCTTAAAGGATACAAAAATTACATTTTAAGAAAAAGTATTTTGCAAAACTACTGCTAAACGGTAGTAAATTTGGCCTGGACAGACCCTTGAACTCAACTCAGAAGACAAGGCATGTTAGAGAAAAAACATTTGGTCAAACTAGTCATTGTATACAGCTTTTTAGTGGAACTAACACACATTTGAATTACACGATGAGGAAATGCATAAAAACCTCCCAGGGTTAGCCATAGAGCAAGGGGATTCTAACCAAAATGTTCTATATACCACTAGAGATATTTTTAGGTCAGCACTGTGGTAGGTGCAGGTTGGCAAAATTGATATCGACCAGCCATTGCAGGGATTGGAACCTAAGCCACCAGTTTATTAAAAGGAGAGTACGCTATTCCCTAAGCTACTGCAGCTTTAAATTTTAAGGTAAGTAAAGATTTAAATAAGAAGCTTTTATTAAAAAATCATTTACTTCGTAAAATCTCTTTCATTTTGCATTATTTGCATTTATTCAGCCAAATAAGATGATATCAGTTAGTAGATTAGTCCATAGCCCAAACATTAGATAACCAAAGCTAATAATTTAAGATTTATCTTTGTAAACAAAAGAAGCCAAATACAGATTTACATTTTCTTGCATTCCTTTATTTAATTTAATGAGACTTTATTTCTTCATCAGAAACTACAAACACTGCAATAGTTGCTTAGGTAAAAAAATATTTTCCGACATGGTTGGCATTTAAAGAAATTACATTATTTTGATCCAGCATGATTTAACATAATTAACCGACAGCATGCATAATTAATAAATGATTCAACTAAAATTATCGAATTAAAATGAAATTTGACAATTTTCCTTCAACCATAGAAAATACTTTATTAATTTAAATTAATTAAATATTTGAATACAATAATAAAAATTAAAAAAGCTACTTAACACTTAAAGCAATATTAAAAATGATTCAAAAATGTATTTTATTACTGCAAACCCCTCACCATAATACATCACATATAGAATACTTACTTGCCAAATCTATAAAACAAATAATTTTAATGGTAGAAACTAAAAATAATATACAAACAAAGTTAAATTTTTAATAGGCAGAAAATCAAAAGTAAGAGATTAGGTATATTTAGCTTAAGTTTAATTTAAAACAATAATAAATTTAGCAAAAAAAATAGTTTTTTAAGAATTTTTTTTTTTTAAACAATCACTTGTTTTTAAAATTTACATCAATAGTCCACCTGAATAAAGTTCTAAGCAATGTTTTGTTACTTCACCAAATAAAGCAATATTCAAAGCTTAATGCCTTGAATATTGCCTTATTTGGTCTAAGATGCCAGAAAAAATATGAACTATTAAATAGAAGTGTGATATGATTTTGATTTGAAAAAATGTAAACTTAATAGGGAATTACTAAAAATTTAAAAATAATTGGAAGTTAGCTAAAAAAGAAGGCATTCACAAATTGATGAATAATTAATTATATAACATAATTAAGTCTTTGAAACATACATGTCATACATTAAATTTCATTAACAATTATTATTTATAATTAATTATTCTATAGAATTACTGTCAAACAATTTTTTAACACATAACTTATTGTAATGTAAAATAAACGTTTTTGGATATTGTTTCATAATCACAGCCCTTAATATATATTTTTAGATTCTTTATCTCAAGTGAAGTGTCAAAAAATTATCCATATTAATGGTCACTATTAATAGTTAAGGAGAGAAAAAAATATATTGAAATCTGTTCAATCACTAGAGAGAAAGGTAGAACTGACGACATCACTCATGTTGCTTGCTTAAATGCCTGTTGAAACCTCGAAGTGTTTTTAATAATCACTTTCCAACTCTTACCTCCTTTCTCTAGCAATCAAAAAAGCCTTATAATTCTTGCCTTCCTTGCTAGTGAGTCATTAGATTTGTTTAGCTTCAGTATTAATTGGCAACCCCTAATGTCTTATTTTTTCTTCATTATTGACAAAGATTCTAAAATATTATATTTTAAGGTTCGTCAGAAATGAACATCCGGAATATAAAAACAGTTATTGATCAGGAATTGAAAATTAAGAGCTATCTGCAGATAATTTGTGAATGACATTAAAATATGAATAAATAAAAAACAGTACTAAGTATAATTAAAATTAATTTAAACTTTTTTTAAGATTTTAGATGAAACTTGATTCTAGCCAAATTCGCGTACATAGAACATATTTGAATGTAAATTGCAGACAAGTATGAAATATTAAATAAAATATATAACGAAACCTCAAATTTCTTTTTCATAACTTCCACTCCTTCTTTTGGATCTTTTGTAGTTAGTATTCGATCCTAAAAAAAAATTAAAAATAAATAAATAAAAATTGAACTTAAGCATCTAAATCTAAGAAAATACAAAGAGAGAATACTGAGAATGTAATTTTTATATGAATCATAAAAATAAATAGTAATTAAAGAACATTTCTTTGTCTCATGAAACTAAAACTTACTTTGTCTTTCATCCAAGCTTCAAAATCATCACATTCTCTGTAAAAACTAAACAAGTGTATGGCATCCTCCAAGAAATGTCTTCGAGCCTAAAGAAAACAATCAACTGTTTAATATAATACTGACATTACTACATAAGAATAATCTGTTGGCTTCATATATAAAAATTGTGGACTAGAAAAAAAACGAGATTTAAAAAAACTGAACTGCAAAAAAATATTATAATCATTCCTCATAAAATTATGCTTTGTTACGAAGCGGTTCCAGTTAAGATAATAACAACTTAAACTTTTTCTTTACAGAATATCACAGTATTCACTTGTAGCAAAGAAAACTTTCTTAGGGCGATACATCTTAAGTAGTCGAGTACTCTCTGAGAACTGAACTGAAGTAATTTATCATTTGTCTTTCGATTGTTTCGTTGCCAACTCCCTATCTCATCGGGGGGAAAATACACTTTTCCCACTTTCTTTTTCAATCAAAAATACTTTTATGAAATATAAGAAAGCTGCAAAAAATTAATAAGTAAAATTTAATTTTACAAATAGAAAATACAACTTGCTTTTACTTTGATGAAATTTAATCCTTAATAATCACTTTTCATTCATTGAGGCCAATAGAATAAAAAATATTTAAAATAAATTTTAGTTATATTCCTTATAATTTTAAAAAAAAAAGTTATGAGAAATTTCAATTAAAAATTTAAAAGAAAAATTACTTAGTTTATTGCTTACTAGAAGGCATGCATAAAAGGAATGAATCTTAAAAAATTTAATATTATATGAAATATATCTAATTATAAAAAAATATTAAACACGAAGATTTTTTTTTTAAATAAAAAGAGAAATAAAAGGATTTAGGATTCATTTACACCACAATGCTAAATTCCATGCAAAATTTTCAAAGCACTTTTCAAAAATTATAATAGAAAAGATTTAACTAAACACATTATTTATTTAGATTGATTTTCAAATAAAAAATACACCTAAATTAAAAACAATTAAAGAACTATATATGAATCTTTGTAAGCAAAGATTAATTTCTGGCAAAAATACCTTAGAAAGTTTAGAATGAATTTTGGTGAAATTATTTAAAATAAATATCTATATGTATGAGGCTAAAACATGGAGTTTAAAACCCTCATGATTACCGTAGAGATATTATTTCATTTACTTACATTTTAAACAATTAAAGAAAAAATCATTTCTTTAAAAATGCTTACAGGAATAAGATATCAAAATTTTATCAGTCTAATGAAAAAAAATTTCAATAAAAACTATGCTAGAATTGAGTATTAAAATAATACCCTACAAACAAGTAAAATTATTTTAGTAATTTCTGTATGAAGTGCCATAATTTCTAGCACAAATATTTTAGAATAAGTCAGAGTTCAGCTTTGTGTAGAGTTTTTAATAAAAATATTTATATGAGGCTAAAACATAGAGTAGGGCACAAAATTTGCTTCAAATCGGTTAAAAATATGAATAAAGTCCAATGTTACTTAAAATAAAATACATTCCAAAAAAATATTTATTATTAATCAAAACATGCAACTTTCTAAAAAATACACTTTCATGCGCTCATTTTATATTTTATTACGCTCTCGTAATTAAAAATATTGTTTAGATATTTCTTTTAGAATAAATTAATATTTTTATTTTGCATTCTACTTGCTACTAGCTTAAACACAGCAGTGAAATAAATTTATATTATAGTTAAGTATTTGAATTATGGCTTATGCAAACCATAATAAACTTAACTCATTGTCCTTGGAAATAAAAAATGCTTTCTCTCAGTAATTACTTTAGGCAACTGCTGTTAATATATGCAATTGCCACCAAAACTGACACTTCCATATCATTCTTTTGGTAAAAATGAATATACGCTCTCCATCGAGAGGTCACCGTACCAAGGATGAAAATGTTCGTCGCAAATTCCCTTTTTCTAAATTAGTAAATTAAAATTTAGAAGAAGAAGAAAAAGTGAGTTCAGGCACACCTAGAGTACGTCATAAAGTTTCAATTGCTGAAAAAAATACTTCAAAACATTAAAATGCAAACAAAATATTAGAAGAGAACTTTTCTATTGTGTAATCTTAAGTTATCATCTCATTTATTTTCCTTTGTATAATTTAGATTTTTTTTTTCACTATTTGAAACTTCATGGCTTACTCTAGGTTTGTCTGAACTCGTTTTTTTTTTCAATTTAAATTAGTAATTAAGGAGAAAGAGAATTTGCAACTAAAAGTTTCCCTCGCGGTATGGCGTCCTCTTAAGAATTGCACAAAAGATGACCTTCCTCTTAGCACTACAGCCCAGAGCCATCCTAATGATTTTTCTTCCTTTTTCAAAGGGGTCAAACAAAGGACTAGTTAGTTTAATAAAGCTAGTCCTATTTACAAAGGGCTAGTTTTATTAAAAAATAGTTAGGCTAGGCTAGTTTATTTTTGCATGTCATAAAAAATATTTCTAGTAAGTTTAGCATTCAAAATTTAAATTAGAAAGTAATGTTTAGGCATAAGTAACTCTCTCCAAAAAACATCAACTAAACATAACTATGCTCTTAAGTTAACAAACATTAGAAATGGGAAAACAGAAGTTGCTTTCTTATTCATGAGTTTACTCAAAGATGCCAAAAACAAACACGATAAAATATAGGTAGTATTTTAGTTTTATAAATTTAAAAAAAGTCATACTTTTTATTTCATCAGTTAAATAATAATCATAGCACATAAATATCAAAATTAAAACAAGTATATATATTTTCTCCATGCAAGGGATTGGATATATCATTCGGATGATGCTAAGTATCATGCACACAATACTTACTGAAAATTAAGACAGATTGATATGATAGTAACCAAATCCTCCTCCTTCAAAATATGAGAAATAATTTTTATTTAATCGGACACAATCGGACATCCTAAATTATCAGGCCTAAGCTTCAAAGCCAGCTAGACTCCTTCCTCCAAAGTTTATAAGAAAACACATTATTTTTTTAAAAAATTAGTATTTAAATTTATTTTGTATGTGAAATATACCGTGGAACTCATTTATTACGAGTCTTATTTGAAGATATCCTTGGTTTAATGGGGACATTTTTAATTAATAGTCGGTTGATTATTACAAAGCCTGCATAAAAATCTGTTACTAACAGCATAACTCGGAATTCACAAGAGACTTTTCCTTAACTTTTCAAGAATTATTTTATTGAAGATGACAGAAAAGAAAAAGTAGAGCGTTTGTAAATTTTATTCCATTTAAAAGAATTCCTTACGTTCATTTTGCTAAAAAAATTACTTGTAAATAAACAATAAAGAAAAACAATGTGAAGGGCTTTCACATATTACATAAATGCTTAATAACAAATCGCTCAATACATAATAACATAAAGAAAATATTGCTACAACCACAGTTGCTCACTTGTCTCTGTGCATGTTCTTTAATGAAATGTGTGCAAAACACTTAATAGTTGTGAGAAAGGAGCAAAATAAACCATCCCAACGACAAAATAGTCCTGCAATGTGCTGATCATTATAGTATAATCCCAGTAGAACACCAAAGTCAAGCATCATTGGCTGCGGTCAATGTGCGGGTGGGTGACTACTTGGATCAGCCTGGCAAGTGACAAAGGGTGTGCAGCATTGGTCCACATTAAATGGTTCACATTAACCATCATTCTACCATAAAGTGCTCAACTTTGCGCGCAGGTTGTCAGCTACCGAAATGGGGTGCCATCCCCTCAATAAAGAATCTAAATTGTGAAGGCATGTCTTTAGATCATCCTCAGAGATGTTTCACAGACCATCACCAATACCTCCTTGTGTAGCTCTAGTGTGACATAAATAAACTACAACAACAAAGATAAGAAATTTGCCACAAAAAAAAAAAAAAATTGGGTGCTTGCACTTCAAAAAGAAGAAGACCTCCCATATCCATACATGTGACCTATGACATCAGCGCCAGCTATTTATCAGCAAAATGACATATTAAAGTTGAACTAAGTTTCTCCACATAAGTTAGAATGTCAATTAAAGATAAGTTAATTAAATACAGAGCTGTATCGCACATCAAATTAGTTGAATTATAATTCTTTCTCGTCTACTTCTTTTACTTAACTTAGATTTGTATTTTATGGTAACCGTGACATATTTATGTTTTGTGTATCTGGCAACTTCGATGCATAATTAGTTTGTTTAAGTTCCTCATGGCTTCGTGCCTGTCTTTGTGTAAACATATAGTGAAAGAATTGAAATCCCCAAGGAAGAATCCTTGTGAAAGAATTTAGAATGTGTCAATTAAGAAAATTGATTATTGATGGAATTGGCTTACTCGAAATAGAATGGAAAGAACAGCTGGTATTGTAAACAAATGCCAAACTTCAACAACCAATCAGGATCGAGATACCCACACTACGTCACTTGCAGGTATTAGTTTTAATGGGTGAAAATGATTGTGTATTCTGTCTGTTGAACAATCATTGATTTTCAACTACAAAAAACTCTACATTATTCAAATCAGAGTGATTTAAAAAATTATCAAAGGTAAACGGTTTGTATGAATTTTTCAATTCATTTTTGTTGGCTGTAGCTTTCATTTTTTATAATTTAGGCTGAAAAGCCTCTACCTCAGTTCCAATTCTCTCATTATAAATGAGTTCAACTGTATTTATATCTGAGTTTAGTAAAATTTCTCAAAAAGGTTTATAAATAAACAAAAGACAAGTAAACAACTGACAAAAAATGTTTCAAATAAAAGTGGATTGAGCTGGCTTTGGTACCAAATGCCCCATATAACATTAAAAATAATTTTTAAAAAAGTTAATTGAGTATTTAAGAAACTGAATCGAACAAATTAACTTCATAATGCTGCTTCATATACACACAATATAACTTTATTTTATTCAATAAAGTGAAATTTTATAACTTTACTTATTAATTTATTTATTTACAAAATTAGAATTAGATAACACACTTTCATTTTCAAAATTAAGACTTGTGTTACAAGAGGATTTCATAAATTAATGAGTAATGCTACCTGCAAAAAGACACTATATCATGAGAGAAACACTTTACCGCAAATTCTCTTTCACCTAGTAATTTAAATAATAGAGAAAAAAACGAGTTCAGAGTAAACCATTAAGTTCAAATGCTGAAATAAAATTTTCAAAATACAAACATGCAAACAAAAATATGGCAGAATTACACAAGATTAAGTGGTGAAGTAATTCTGCCATAATTTGTTTGCATTATTATATTTTGAAAACCTTTATTCAGCATTTGAAATTCATGGTTTACTCTAGGTTTACTTGAACTTGCTTTTCTCTCATTATTAAATTTTAAAATACCAATGGAGGTGAAAGAGAAATTGCTTGAAATGGATGGTTGACTGAATGTAAAGAAGAACAAGCATCCTAAAACTGGAAGAAATTTAGAAAACTTCCGGTGTATTCCTCCGCTTATGTTACGCTTACGAGGAGATGTGTGAACAGGCTTAATATTCTAGGAAGTTTTATTATCGTGATTCGTGATTAAATTTAAGTGTAATTTTACCATTCTTAAGAGTTTCCCGTTATTTACAAATTCTGATTGTGAGCTTAAACTAACATAACTATGCTCTTAAGTTAACAAACATTAGAAATGGGAAAANGTTTGCCATGTTTTGAGTGTTATCACTCATTTGGCTATATTTGTGTAAAATATCATTGCTTAATATTTTTTGGGTTGCATCATAGCATGCTTGCGAATCTTCCGAATTCATTTGTTTCGTTGAAATTTAGATAGAAGAAAGAATGCTTTATATATTGTGAACGCTATTAGTATAATAATATTGGATGGTAAGCTTTTTCAAGTTTAGGACAAAAATCAATCGGATATAGTAACCAGGAACACTTAAGACGAATTTTTACACCTAGCGCCATCTGTGCTTAGCTTTACACTATCAACCATCTATAGCAGCATGAAGGAAAGAGACAAGTTTTGAAAATTTTTACTTAAAAATAAACCAAAATTAAGCAAAAATCGTAAACAAGTGTGGACTGTGCATTACTTTAAATTTTATAACATTATTTATTTAAAAAACTTTCTTCTCCAAATGGTCAAAAGTCTAAATACCCTTGAAATTACCTAGACATAATTCTGAAAGTTGTGTTTATATCTTACCTTAGATAATTCTTTAAGTTCAGCATAGGATTCATTTATGGCTTTTTGGCGGCGCTGAATGAACTCTTGAGATTTACTTGGTGATCGAGATAGAACTTTTTCTATGGAAAAAAAAATGCAATAAGTACTATTAAATGTGTAGTACATATTGATTTTATTCTGCATTAAAGTCCTATAGTATCATTAACACATTATTTAAGGGAAGAACAACAAAACAATTTATTGAGAAGACGTAACTCAAATTTATTGTGAACACTTAAGAATAAAATATTGTATGAAAAATGCACTCAGCAATGGAAGAATATAATAAAAAAGTTTCATGATCATTAATATCACAGAAATTTCAAAAGTACGAAAATATACAAAGATTTTGAAATTAATTTGAAAACGTTCATTAAATTTTTTCAAACAAAACTAAAAGAATAAAAAAATGCACACAGAAATAATCACTAATAAAATTACTGTTAAAATGTAACAGTTCTCCGCTAATTATTTAATCAGTAGTATTTATCTTAAAATGCACATAACTCATATTAAATTTAAACTAATCGCACTTAATAACAAATTGGGGCTTTTAAAACATTTCTTCACTGATTATTAATCTATTGCTTTTTATAAAATACAATAGGGTAAAAAAAGTTTGAAAATTTTCATTGCATTTTCTTTGTTTATAATTTTCTTTATACATATTACGCAAAGTAAATAGATTTTAATATCACTTACTATAAGGTAATGCTTGATTCTTCTTTTTCACCACTTGCTTTTTCATAACAGTCTTTTTAATTCTACATTTTTCAGGAACTTTCATCACTTTTTGAGTCCTTTTACGAACTACTTTTGGCTCAATTTCACTCACATAATTTGCAGGAACAAAACCCTCAAGGCCATTAGATTTGCGAACGTTCCACCAATCAGAGTTAGTCTTTTGTAACAGCATCATTACCTAAAATATTAAAAAAAAGATTTTTTTTGAAATGGGATAAATAGGAATGTAATAATGTATGAAATAAATAATGGCCCATTAATGTGATAATAATTTATAGTCAGAAATATTATATCCAGAGATATTGAATTCATTCAGATTAGTATTTATTTAGAATTTTTTTTAATGGATAACAAAAAAAACAGCTTGAAATTAAAAAAAAATTAATGCAGTAAAAGCCTAGTTACCCAGAAAGTGGAAAGCTTAAGTAACTGGAATTTTCCGATATCTACAATTCTTTTACTAAAGATGAATTGCAATGTTCAAAAACACACAGTATACACAGATCAATCTATGTATATACAAATGAATGTCTGACTCTGTGTCCCCTATAGACTCCTAAACCATTTAACTGAAAGTGATGAAATTCGGCATACAGACAATTTAAAGCACAAGGAAGGTCACTGTCGACATTAGAACATTCTACGACAAATCGTTGGAATCGTAAAATGAAATGCAATTTTGCTATTAGTTAAGGGTTAGGGGCCATTATTTTAAACTTAACTATAGGTGATTTAATTTTGAAAATATTTTTAAGATAACATCAGCAATATTTGCTAACTTATAGCTTGATTTGATTAAGAAATGAGTTTATTACATGTACTTTAACTATTCTTCATTCGTTATGTCAGATAAACTTGAAAAACATTAACCAACTTTCAATTACATCAAGTTTTAGAAAATTTCTTTTTGTAACACAATATGTACAGGTTTTCTGTAATGATTATTCTTAATAAATATCCTTAAAATCTTTATCAAATTTAAAATCAAAATTTATACACATTTGAAGTCTTAAATTAATAATTGTGTGAAAAAAAGAAAATGCAATCAAAATCCAACAAATCACTATTGAAGAAGCTTGACTGAAAACATCACAGCTGATTCATGGCCAGAAGAAGCAGGAATCGAAAAATGATAATTAGAAACATGATCAAGTTTCAGCAAGCAATCAAATTGGTTTTGATATTTTTCAACCAACTCACCTCCTTCAGTGGTGATTTGACAGATTTCAGTAATGTTTTTGTTTCTTCCACACATTAATATAAATTTAAAATCCCTTATAAGTCATGAGTACATAATTAAATGACTTCCTTTTTGACATGGATCCTAAAGATATATTTAAAAGGCATTAATTACAGTACATCCTGCATATATATGTCACGTGGTCTAGCGTTAAGAGCGCTCAGGTATAAGGCAGGGCAAATATATGAAATCTCTATTATATTTGAAGCTTTTCTACATATTCAGAAAATTACACATAACTCAAGCGCCTCGCTTTTCATAGTAGGGATATTTAGGGAAAAGTGTTGCAAGATCCCCGATTGCGTCATAATCGCACGATAAAGAGAGAAAAATTATGACTTTTGAAGTGGTTTTCCTCATGGAGGTCAAATGACCTATAACTTCTTGAAGAAAAAAAAATTTATGATAATTAAACTGTAAGAAATATGAAATGTAAGCTCTTTTTCAAAAGATAAGAATTTTTTATTGTGAGAAAAGTTTATGTTATGAACAATAAGCAAAGAAAGAGATTTCAGATCTAGAATTAAGATAAAAAGACTCGTTATAAGATTTTTATATCACATATATAGATAATGGGATAAACTTACTTCTCCTTTATCTACATCAAACTCGTTACCAGCAAACTTATACATGGCGTGCACTTGAGGAATTTTTCGATCTTCCAAAAATTCTTTTACCACTTCTTTTTCAACCATTTCCTCTACCCACTCTTCAACAGGGGCTATTACTACCTCTTCAATCCATTCATCACCAGCAGGTTCATCAGCAGTTTCAGACAACTAAAACAAAAAATTATCCGAACATTTAAAGTATAATATTAAAGGCATTTTTATTTTATTTTATTAATGTCATTGAACAGCTGGCCAAATTTTTTGGATTTACAAAGACTAATGTTCAACTCTGTAGCCTTGTAATTTTGAGCCCAATCCAAACTCCTGGATCAAGTATTGGGAGAAATTTGATAACCTGCATTTGCAATACATTTTGAGGAAAACCACAAAAACCTCCAACAGTCAGCTTGACGGCAAGGGGCCTCTAACCCAAGATTCGTCAGCACTGTGGTCGGTACAAGCCGGATGAGGAATTATATCAACCAGTCCTTGCTGGGGTTCGAAACCGGTTCACCTCATTGGAAGGCGAACGCTCTATCCCCTGAGCCATCATGGCTCTATATTAGAGGTTTTATAAAAAGATTACAAATATTTACATTTACATATCTTAAAAGGGTGTGGTGTAAAACACAAAAGTTAAATATGTACTACAGGGTGTGTAACCAAATCTTTGAATCAAAAATAAGCACTTTTTAAAAACTTTTCAAGCACTTTAGAAAAATTTTCAAGCACTCAAAAAATTCATATTCAATCAATGATATTATTGAAAAACAAAAACTTTTTATAAACAGTTTTAGCGTTAAAAAAAACCCAAAAAGAAACGGACATAAATCAAANAAGACAAAGAAACTCCTGGATCAAGTATTGGGAGAAATTTGCTAACCCGCATTTGCGATACATTTTGAGGAAAACCACAAAAACTCCCACAGTCAGCCTGACGGCAAGGGGCCTCTAACCTATGATTCGTCAGCACTGTGTTCGGTACAAGCCGGATGCGGAATTATATCAACCAGCCCTCGCTGGGCTTCGAACACGGTTCACCTCATTGGAAGGCGAATGCTCTATCCCCTGAGCCATCATGACTCTATATTAGAGGTTTTATAAAAAATTACAAATATTTAAACTGACATATCTTAAAAGGGTCTGGTGTAATTGACAAAAGTTAAATAAGTACTATGATCAATGCCAAAACACTATATGGAAAATACTATTTGCTTCATTCCATATATTGACATTCATGGTGATATTTGTACAAGTCCTTAGAATCAAAATATCTGCTAGGTTACAAATATTTAAAAAAGCACGTTTTACAAATAATAAATCTGAAATGACACAATTAAGAATAATACAGGACAATACCTATTTGCTCTAAATATACAGTAAGAAAAAAAGATAAAACTTTAAAACACAAATGTGCAATCATTATTTAACTTGTACTGCTCTACGTCATCTAACATAATCGCTTTCACTTCTGACGAAATTATTTAGGGGACGAATTACACAGGAGACTGCAAAAAAACTCATTACCCCAATACCTATATTAGTATATTGATAAATATCAAATATCCCAACCAGGGTTTCCTCTCAAATTTCGAAAGAAAAAAAATCACTGTGTTTTCCCTGAATATATTATACACAACATATTAAGAGCAAACACAGCAATTACTGTGCCCTTGTGTGAGCTATATTGGGCTAACTATATATATTAGCTTTAATTGCTGGAAAAACTTAGAGAAAAAAAAGGAACAGTTGAACATACTTAAATAATGGTATACTAATTAAATAGTTTAGTATAGCGGAAATATCATTCTTAAATATCCCATAGATTATGCTTTAAGTGGTCACCATTTTTCAAAGGATGAAAATAGGAAACAAAATTACCTGCATTTTCCCAGAAATAATTAGTCTATAAATTGACGAATTAAACGGATATAAAAATAAGTCTTCAATTATAGATTTTCTCAAAAGGGATCAAACAATATTTTAGTACCTCTATGATACTTTTCACTAACATCTATTTTTCTATAACATCACTTTCATCTATTTTTATGTAACTTTAAAATGACATTTATATTTTATGATACTAACATAGACAGTTTTAATTATAATTGTTTATTGACCATAAAACTGAGTTTTATTTAATCAAAACGTTATACTACGCATTAAATACTATTAAAAAGTAACATTTTGTAAAAATTTAGAATTTAAAATTGAATATTGCACTCCCCTTTTAATCAAATAACCCACTTGATTGCATAGATTTTGCTGAAACAGATGGTATTCCTTTAAACGGGGTTGAGTGTATCACAATACCAGTAATAATGATTAACACAATTAAGTTCCACAAGCACAAATATAAATTAGGCCGCTTCTTTACAGCCTCGCAAAATAGAGAAGTACCAAAAATACAATATTTTAAGTCTTATATACACAAAAAGTAAGAAAAGTGTATGCACAAATTATCATTTTAAAAAATTTAGAAGAAAATAAAAATTTCCCACATTTGAACATTTTAAAAAAATGATCATAAATATGTTTGAAAGCTGAGTAATGAATAACAGAGTAAGAATTTTAAAAACTATGATAAAATATGACAATAGCAATAACAGAGTTGCCACTCAAATCTGAAGAAAAAAAATTCCCATGTTTTCCCTGTATGTATTATAGCACAATATATTAAGAGGAAACAACCAATCATTGTGCCCTTGTCTGAGCTATATTGGACTAACTATACTAGTTTTAATTGCTAGAAAAACTTAAAGAAATAATGAACAGTTTAACCTACTTAAAACAAATAATGGTATAGTAAATGAAATAGTTGAGTATAGCAGAAATATCATCCTTAAATTGCGCAGTGAGTAGTCACCACTTTTTAAAAGACGAAATTAAGAAAAAAATTCCCTACATTTTTTATGTTTGTAAGAAAAAAATCAAAATTCCCTGCATTTTCCCTATTATTTTTAAATTCCCTCTACTTTCCAGGTTTTCCCTGTGGAGTGGCAACCCTGAATAATATTTGTACAAGGGAAAAGAAGAGATTATCTTACAAAGTATGTAGCAACACCAGATTTAATCATCAGATCTGCTTGTTCATTTAAACGTTCAATATCAGAGCTATAGGCCTTAATCTCTCCCTCTAGATGGGCATGACGCTGCAAAAGAGCCTAAAAAATAATTTTTCAAAAAGTTAGGCTATGTATATAAGAAGAAGGGCAATGAATTGTTTTATGAAAAAACAGATGAAAAATGAAAAAATTTTAAAAAATGAAACAAACTCAATTATTTTTTTAAAAGAAATAAAATGATAAAGGAAAGTTGAGAGAAATCAGTTTCAAACCTGAGCACTTGGTTCATCTTTTCCATAATCAGTACTTGACATTAATTGTCGTTTTTCTTTCATCCAGGATTCAGCTTCATTTGCATCAGCTTGGTACTGAATTAACAAATCAAAACATTCATTTGGTTATTAAAGGAGTCAGACTTAAAATTATGCACACGAAAAATTAAAAAAAAATTATTTGATTAAAATGAATGACAGATTTAGACAGTTTTAAAAATTTAAAACACATTTATCTGGATGTGTTTAAAGGTAATTTTAATTTTTACTATATGCAAAAGCATATATTGACTGAAAGACCTTTTAGCTGGAACCGTAATAATAGTAGTAGTACTGTATATTATGCAATCTACATGGTACTGATTATTTAATGAATACAAAGAGAAATAAAAGTTTTAAAAAAAATAATAATTTAATATTTAAATATCTTTTATAGATTAATTATAATTATTTTTATTCACATATAAAGTGATATTTGAAAAGAAAATTGCGAGGTTATCAAATTGTATTTATTGTAGTTATTAAGAAAGCATTTTTTGCGATTAAATACGAAAGATTAAATACTTAATTGATTAATTGATGCTCAAATAGTTATAGATGATAAAAAAAAATAATTTAAAAAAATTTATTGCATAATCAGTTTTTATAAAAAGAATTTCCTCTAATTTAATTATCAAGAAAATAAACAAATTTGCTTCAACGTGAACAATAAAGAGTTATTTTCATTCCAAATTGCAAAATAAGATAAATAAATATGGGGGATCAGGCACAAAATAAAAAAAGCATAAAGAAATAAGGGATCATTCATAAATTAAAAAAATAATGTACTATGAAATGGAGGAATTCTGATGGTGAAATCTATTGTAATTGACATTGCTATAAAAGCATACCGCCATTACTAAAAAAAATTTATTTCACTAATTTAATTCCGTAAAAATTTAATTCTTTTTAATAACATGTTAACTACCAAATTAAAATTTTTAATACCATTATATAATGATTATTAAGTATTTTAATAAAAAAGATGTTTTGAAAACAATTATTTTAAGCAAAAAAAATTAAAAAGAGGAATAAAAATTACAATTAAGTTGATTTAACCTACATTTCAAAGTAATAAAGTTCAAAGTAGTCATTTCAAAGTAATAAAGTAAAATTACCTGATAGGCTGCTGAGGCGTCTTCCAGTTGCTTGGATTTTAATGTCCAAAGTTCTCGTAGCTTGTCCCAATTCTTTTTCAATGCATCGATTCGGTGTGAAACGTCTGTACTCTCAGGATGCCTCTGGGCTTTCAGTGCATTTCCAGCTTCCATAACTTTGGTAATTTGAGGCCAACGTGCATTGATTTCAACATCCAGTGCCTACAAAAAACACAAAAAGCATGAGGTTTTCTTTTATAAAATTAAAATGTTTCACAAGCATAATAAGATTTAACTAGTACAAAAAAGTAAATTATAAGGACTATCAATATACAAAGTGTCCATTTATAGAGATTGTTCATATGCAGATTCAATGATTCCTCTTGCACATTATAACACATCAAATTTGCCTAAAATCAGAGAACAGACTCGAAAATTAAGCTACAGGGTTGCCACTCAAATCTGGAGAAAAAAAATTCACAGCGTTTTCCCCGTATCTATTATACATAATACAATAAGAGGAAACACACAATCACTGCGCTCTTGTCTGAGCTATATTAGTCTATCTATGCTAGTCTTATTGCAGGGAAAACTTAAAAGAAATAAGGAACAGCTTAACCTACTTGAAACAAATAATGCTATAGTAAATGAAATAGCTTAGTATAGCAGAAATATCATCCTTAAATATCCCATAGCTTGCACTTTAAGTGGTCACCACATTTTAAAAGACTTAAATGATAAATAAAATTCCACACATTTTCCCAGTTAAGGAAAAACTCTTAAATTCCCTGTTATATTAGGTGATTTTTAAATTCCTTGTATTTTTCCAGGAGTGTCAACCCTGAGATTTGATGCATCTACTGGGATGTACAGTTCTCCAACACAGAAGGAAAAAAAACTGCAGAATTATGTAGGAAAGATTTCAATCTAGCTTTAAATATATGCGCAGCAAAAAAAAAATTATTTTCTTTTCTTTCTTATTAATAACTGAAAGGGTATTTGGGGTATCAAATTACATGATGTTTTTCTTGATGCAGTTTCGTCACACAACCCTTTTGAAGTGACTTTTCCTCGTAACCATAGTACCCAGCAAGATTGATGCTTGGAGTTCTCCTCAAAGTCACACTATACAGATGGTATTTGATGATGTACAACACAGGATGGGGGGGGGGCACACTATCCTTTTATTAAAAAAATCAGTGATTTTCTTTATCAGAGTTACATTCTAAGAAGGAATTCTCTTGTTTTGAGAGGTAGAACAATTGAAATTATAGCAAAAATGCTGACAATCTGCTTGTGGATAACTAAGAGTTAACGGTATAATAAAACATTAAGAATATGCTTTTAAAAAAAACATAACTCAATATTTTTTTAACAATTTCACGAAAAATAAATTTATTTTTTGCCTACATTGAAAAAGTTAAAAAAATTCCTTGATAGAAAAAAAAATCGAATGCAATTGAAACAAATTTCACTCAAGATTAAAAACATTCGTTGATTGAATGATTGCATCGAAAAGATTTGATAAATGAAGGAAATTTGGATTCACATGTGATTTGGATGTGAGATAGCGTATACAACCTCTTAATTTTTAATTCTCTTTGTATTTTTCTTAATGTTTTAACAAACACAATTAATTTGCAAACCTAATTAAAGTTATAAATCAAATTTAAAATAAAGTAGCTATGGTAGCAGTTTAAGTTCAAATTCTTACTCCACAGTGGTTACTGGGATGCAGTTTCATTGTAGAATTAAAGTACCATTATGGCCGTTTCAAATACATCTTAATTTAGATATTAGGTAAGGATATTTATCCCAGAAAAATGAATAAACGTGTTAATGATAAATTGGTTTATTATGTGAAACTTAAATTGAACAAGACTTTATATTCCAAAATTATAAAAATAAAGAAAAGTCCCTCAAAAGAATCAAGATTTTCGCTTTTATAAAATGTAATAAGAACTAAATAATTGGTTTAGTTTAATTAAAATTCGATTAAGAATTGATTTAAAAAGTATATATATATTTGAGAAATTAAAGAAATTTTAAAAACTAGGGAATATGTAATGCCTGGCATCATCCATACCTTGTGTTTTTGTTGAAGAGATAAAGCTCCCTGTAGATCTTTTCCAGGAACAACGGATTTACAAATCAGTTGCTTCTCAACCATCCAAGCATCTTCCTCTTCTTGGTCTTGCACAAACTGGTAATAAGTACGAGATTCTTCCAACTTAACACGACGATTTGATGCCAAACTCTCTAAGCTAAATATCAAAGAAAGTTTCAGTGATATTATTAAGTAAATAGAAATATCAAATAAATTAATGAAAATTTTTTAAAAAAATAAAAAATCTTCAACTGATAATTTATTATATTACTCTTATGTATTACTTCAAGCCTATATAACATAGAAAGTTACAAAAGACATTGAATATAAACTATGAAATTCAATGTTGTTGAATTAAAAAGTCATACATAGAATAGGGTAACCACTCAAATCTAGAATAATATACACTATATATTTAGAGGAAATACAATTATTGTGTTCTTGTGTGAGCTATATTGGGTTAACTATACTAGTTTTAATTGCTGGAAAAACTTAAGAGAAAAAAAAAGGAACAGCTGAACATACCTAAATAATGCTATAGTAAATGAAATAGTTTAGTATAGTTGAAATGTCATCCTTAAATATCCCATAGATTACACATTGAATGGTCACCATTTTTTAAAAGATGAAAATAAGAAACAAAGTTCCCTGTATTTTTCCAGTTTTCAAAAAAAAATTTAAATTACCTGCATTTTCCCTGTTATTTTAGATGATTTTTCAATTCCCTGTAATTTCCAGGTTTCCCTTGTTCTACCTCTGGAGTGGCAAATACGTAAAAATTTGTTTTGATTGTATTTATTGTTTTTGTAGCAGAAGTTTATTATAGAAAATAAATTTTTTCCTTCTTATGATGAACATTTAAGCGCTCAAAAGTCACTCTGGTGACTTTTGAGCATAAAGTGAGCAATGTGAATATAAAAAAACTTCTTTTGCATAAAACATCACTTTTCTTAGGGTCCACAGAAAAAATTTACAAAATTTTGGTTCCAATTTTCTTGACATAGTACATAACTTAAAATGTTATTTATTTAGATTTTTAGTTATTTAACATTTATGTTTTAAATCCCCTTTTTGACAAAAAGATGTCTTATTGCAAAATGAAATATTAACTTTTGTATTTTTTAATGCCAAAAAGTTATTTGGTTAAATCATTTATCCTAATAGAATAAAGAATTAATTTAAATAAACAAATTAAATTGTTATTTTTTAAAGATATGATCTTAAAATTCAACATGGGTTAAATAGAAACACTGAACTCTCTTTAAATGCAATTAACATCTGTTTAACTGATATTTAACTTCTTTAACATGCAAAAAAAAGTTACACTTGATGAAGAATTACACACACAAAATGAATGAAGATAAATAGAAATTATTACATTCTTATAAATTATTAAAAAAACATTTATGGAAAAAAATTACAAAATTAGAAGTCATACAAAGATTTGACTTCATACTTTTCATATTCTGATAGTCAACTTTTATACATACAAAAAAAAAATTGCACTTGAGAAAGAATTACATAATAAATACATACATAAAGATAAACAAAAATTATTACATTCTTAATAATGGTTAAACATTATGGGAAAAAATATTGCTAAAGAAAGAAATACACACAAAAAATATATTAAAAAAATTATTATTTTCTTATTAATGATTAAACTTTACGGGAAAGAAATTACATAATTAGAAAATGCACAGGGATTTTACTTCTCATTTTTCATATTCTGATTTTTAAATTTCTTACACAAAAAAAATTGCACTTGAGAATTACACAAATACAAAATAAAATTAAATATGAAGATTCGACTTCTTACTTTTCATATTCAGCATTTAACTTATTGAGGCGCTTCTGCAGAATCGGAGCTTCCTTGTGACCATCATTAATGTAACCCAATGCTTGTTTGTTCAATTTACGAATGGTGTCCCCATGAGATGCGATCTGACCTTCAACCAGACTATGCTTCTGAAGTAAATCTTCAACGGCCAATAAATGACGGCCCAAATCATCACTATAAAAACTGCTCTGTAAGAAAAGAAGGGGAAGAGTTATTACGATATTGGAAAATCAAAACTAATCACTACAAGTCACTTATTCAGAGCCCTGATGGCTCAGGGGATAGAGCGTTCGCCTTCCAATGCGACGAACCGGGTTCGAATCCCAGTCGATACGAATTCCGCATCTGGCTTACACCAACCACAGTGCAGACGAAAAATATCCTTAGTGATAAACGGATCATGGGTTAGAGTATCCTTGCCATCAGGCTAACCATGAGAGGTTCTCGACGTCTTCCTCTCCATATACAGAAATGCAGGTTAGTTCCATCATAAAGTCCTCGACAAAGGCAAATTTCTCCCAATACTTGATCCAGGACTTCCCTTGTCTTCTGGATTGGGCTCAAAATTACAAGGCTACGGAGAGTTAAACATTAGTAGTCTTAAACCCATATAATTGGGTCGGCTGTTCAACGACCGTTATAAAATAAAAAGTCACTTATTCAACACTGCACATTGCTGCCAGCATGGATAGGGAAAAAAAACCAGTGAATTTTACAAAATAATATAAATTTCATGATAATTGTTGCATAATGTACTAAATATGTTACACATAGGGAATTTTTATAGTCATCAAAACAGAAAATAATGGGATAAATAATTGCAAAATTAATCTCGTTGTTTTACTACTACCTAACAGAAGTCATTTAATAATAATAAGTAGAGTAAAGTAAAATGCAATGTAATCAATAACTTGTAATCACTGTTTCAAGTAATTCATAGCATGTAATAGCAATTATAAACAAATTATTACTAGCAAACAAAATCGCTGGAAATTGATTAGATTTAATCATAATAAAATATTAGTAATCATAATAAAATATTAGTTACAATTAAAATCATAAATTATATTTACATATAACCACAATTAAAGTTATAAATTGTAATATTGATTAATTGTAATCACAATTATAAATAATTAACTGATTATTTGTAATTATGATTACAAATAATTCATGATATTTAGCCTAACTCTGATAACAAGAGATTTCTGTAATTAGATTAATGTTTTCCGTTAAAACATTGATGACCAATGACAAGTTAAACTGTCTTTTCACGCCCAAACGTTATTGACTTAAGATGAGTAAACTCGTCATCCGTCAATAATGTTTGGACAGGAAATTAAATTGTAGAATGTTTTACTTTACTTCCATTTTAAATTTTAAAAAAATATTAGCCAGGGACTATTGTAGTTTCTGTGTAAAATTACCAGTCAACAAAGAGTAAATAATAGAAAACCCATTTATTTATGAATTCTCAGAAATCTGTGTTGTTGATAAACAAAATTAAATCCTGTTATCAAGATTTATCACTGTTTAAGGAAATAATATTCTCTGCATTATAGTAAAGCTTAATTTCAGAATATAGGTTAGCGATTTAACATAAACAACAAATTTTATAAGTTACAGAAATTACAATCATTAAATTCTCTAATTCTGAAGCAATACATACTGTTTATTAGATATAAATTTTATATATCGCTGTCAAAACCCTTAAAAACTTTAAGTAGTATATCTACAAGGTTGAATATATGTATAATCAGTTTCCTTAAAAGGTTTAATCAAATTCAATAAAATCATTAAACACATAGATATAAAAAAGACAATTAGAAAGTATGCATCATATAAGCACGGATGAAATATTAAGACTAAAATCCAATTTTAAATAGTTTTATATTAACTTTTGTAGAATGCCATGCATTTCATTGAAATGAGAATAATTTTTCATGAAATTTAAGGGAACAATTTAAAATTGTATGCAATATAGCAACTTGCCAGTTTTGATTGCAAGGTACTAAAAATTAAATCCAATTATTTTCTTATCACACAAACATATCTGAAATTATCCATCAATAATAATTAAAATTATAATTATTATTCTTATTAGAAATTGTCTTTTGATATTTTTTTATAATTTTGTAATATATTGATTTTTTATTAGATTAGATTTTTCTTTTCATTTCTTCAAACTTAGAATGTCAATTTTTTCAAATATACTCAGCCACTCCTAGCCAAATTAGAACTTCAGACAACAACAAAAACTTTTATTCAACCTGAAACTTTCAATATAATCTAGCTGTTGGCCTTAGAAATTGATATTGTCTCCTATAAATTTTAGAATTTCTCTTATACCCCTAGTTATAATTGCATTATTCTGTAAACATATTACAAATAATTAAATAGTAAGAACCAATACTACAGAATAGCACACAAATAATCATGCTAAAATAAATGTTTAAATTTCTTACTTCCATGTCTTTTATTTCAACAGTAATAGTGTCGATTTCTCGTAACATGCACATCAGGTTGCTTAAATTTGTTAAAGTAGATCGATGCTTTTTCAAGAGTTCTAATAGATAAGCCCATCTCTGCATTATTTCTTGCTCCCTATAAATAAGCAATATATTTAAAATATATACTTTAAAAAAATAATCCTTTAAATAAAAGAATTCAAAATTAAGATGCAGAACAGTTATTTACAAAAAGAGTTCCGTGGCTTCCTAGGGGATACCAGTGTGTTAATAAATATTAAGGATTACTTCAAATTCCGCTCTGGATAAAAAATCACAAAAACATAGTTCAATGAAGAAAGCCCCACACTTTAAATGTATAATGGCTTTACAAGCTTGGAGATCAGATTAAATAAACAATCATACACAGAATTGAATAGGCTATATAAAATATTACACTAAAATTTGCATGATATTATAAATAATAAATTTAAAGGTAATTATGAAAAAATACAAATTTTAAATAATTATAATTAAAAATTTTATGAAGGCCACATAAAACAGTATTTGAATTTATACTGCAATTTCAGAAAATTGGACAGTATTAAAAATTTTCATCTTTGATTTTTGTATTAGATTGCCAGAAAAACAAATAAAATTTAACATAAAAATAAACAAGAAAAAAGAGGGAATGTATAACACTAAAACAATTAACAAAATATTTCCTCGGAAGATCCGCACTTTTAGGATGCAAATAAGATAAACTGAATAATTATCGCATCAATAAGAAAGATAAATCTTCAACCAATAATAAAACACAAAAACAAAAGAGGAAAATAAACTAACTTATAAATTTATTTTGCTTAATATTTTCAAGCACTTTGCAAGACATCATATCATGTAAGGCAAATAAACATTTTAAACTTACGTCATTTATTATAAAATATGTGTTCGGGTATGCTGAATATAAAAGGACATATTTTCACATGTTTAAGCAAATTACTTTAAAAAAATTTATGTTACATGTGACATTTCGTTAACTCAATTTGAACAAACCTTATTTTAATTTTCTCCTTGCTGTGGTAGTTTTCTGAAACAAGCTCATCAGCCATTGTTGTTAAATTTTTAAATCTGTCTTCCTATAAAAAAATTATTAATTTTAATGTTTGACAAGAGGAACAATAAAAAAAAACTAATAATAAAATGGAATAATATTTACCCTAGCAAGAATATCTGCACTAATGGCCTCATGTTTTTTAACAGTAGCTTCAACTTGTGATAAGTTGCTGCCATATCGAGGATCAGAGAGCACTTGGATCATTTCTTTTAGATAACCTTCTCGAACAACACTCTACAATTTTGAAACAATACAAAGTTTTAGATAGTGAAACAAAATTAATAATGGTTTGAGAAAACTTTAGTGGAGAATGCAGTTTGTCAAACAGCAAAACTTAAAAAAACTTTTAATGATTTTTGCAATAAAGAGTGCCTAAAAAGTCTGGAAACAGTCAAATAGAAAAAAAAAAAAAAAAAAAAAAAAAAAAAAAAAAAAAAAAAAAACGAAGAGCAACTTTAAAATCTTAAATGAGAAATCCCAATTTTTATTGCAGATTTGGATTCAGCAGAAAAAAGTACCCTAATTCGTCAAGTAGTTCTTTATGCTTTAATTTACAGGTGGCACTGTAATCGTAAAACAAAAATTGTGATAAAAATTGCATAAAAGAGAATGTTTTGATCAGATCTTAATAAGAAAGATCTTACTAAGAGAAATCTTACTGATATCTCAGATAAAAAAAAATTAATTAATGAGTAATTAAAAATAAAAATAACCATTTAAAAAATCTAAAATGACCCTAGAACTAGGGCTATTTCCAAAGTGCGAGGCAAAGTTTTGGGGTGAATGCAGAGTTTGGTGTTAATAGTTAAGTGCTTAGAAATATCAAACACAGCAATTTTCAGACTGGCATTTTGTAAATTATCTTAATTTTAAAACAACTTTCCAGTGATTTTCAATTTGGGATTACAGCATCATCTGTAAATTAAAATGCAAAATGAGGTTATTTTCTTCTGGAAATATGCAATAAAAAATGGAGATGGAGTTCCCATATTAAGTCAAAAATTTGCCTCCTGTCCTACCTCAAAATCTGAGTTTGGAGGTCGAGAATGAAATCACTGTATCTCGCGCCAGAGCAAGAGGATATTCTTCTTAACAGTTTAACTTGATGAAACAGATCAAGTGGGAGCAAGATGTTTATATTATCCTCCAAATAGATATATTATGACCCAACTATTTTTGCAGAAAATATGAAAATTTCTCATGGCAATAACATAGAGTTTATTGATATAAACTTTTGGTATATTTTAAAAATTAAAACTGTTGTTAAAACTAAAAATTTAACTTTGATTTTATCTTTATAGATTACCATTTGTAATGATAGATGTAACATAATCATCTGTACTCAGTTTGGTAGCAAGCATGTTAAAAATATTTTTATTTTTCAACCCATTGCTAGATGCTAGAAATGCCGATGCTTCTAGAGATATTTGATTGTTATACTTTATAGACATCTTGTGAATTATATGTGAATTTAAAACTACAAACGAAACTTAAAATAAACTAATGAAGAAATTTCAACATATTTAAATAATTTTAAAAAAGAGCATTGTAAAAATTTAAGTAAAAAACGACAAGAACTAAAAATAAGCTGGTAAAATAAAAGTTTTGTAGAAAATTAAATTGAAAAAAAAAGCAATTTATTTTAAAAGATCAAATATAATATAGAATATAAATAATATACATAATATAGATAATATAAATAATAGAATATAAATAATATACATAAACACAAGAATAACTGAAAATAAGAGTGAGATAAAAATTAGATTAATAAAAATTAAAAAGAAAAAGCAACATACTTTTCTTTCAAACCTATATGCAAGATTTTCTAATTTCTCTTGTCTCAGAAGCTCCTCTCTCAGAGCCACCTCTCTTCTGTGTTCGGCTTTTTCCAATTCGTCCCAGGCTCTTTCAATATCATGTACCAATTGCCCTTCAGGGGGCACATATAAAGGTTGCCCCAACGCCTTCATTTTTGTTTGGATTGAAAAAAGCAATGCCTCAATTTCACTACGCTCTTTGTATCTAGAATATAAATTTTTGTTTTTTTAATATAACTGGGTTTCATTTCAAAATGCTCAGAGGTTTAAAACACAATCAATGGTGAATTCAGGCATAAAAAGATAAGAAATTAAGACAGAAAATGGCATTGCTGTCAAAAAAGGAACACCTTTATCAGTAAATGAACGATATCAAATATGAAAAAAATCATTATGCTTTTTACAATGATTTATATACTTTAATCCTTTATAGAGCCATTGTTTTGGAAATGTTATGCTAAAATATTTTTGAAATTGAGGTTCATTTATATAAAATAAAAAATTTTAAAAAAGATTTAGCTTATTACTTAAAACAAAATTATTTTGCAAGACCATTTTTTTTAGCGAGAAGATGGGTGAGATTTTCAAAATTTTACCTACTATAATAAATTTGAAATAAATGTGGAGCTTCTGTGGCTATAAATAGCCGAATTTATAAATACTGCATTTATAACTGCAAATAACTTGATGAGAAATGAAAAAAATTAACAAACACATAATTCTCAAGTGAGAATTATTCCCTACAGTTGGCCTCTCTTCTTAACACCATGCTAACCTTTACTGTTACCCACATTTATATAAACAAAAACCTATCACTGCTATTTTTTCCCCTAAGCTATCAATAGATAGCAATACAATTCATAGACTGGAAAATAACTTCCCACTGACATTTAAAAATTAATGAAGCTGGTAGTAAATATACTTCCCACAACCTTATAAAGGCTTCGTAAAAGGCCTATCAGAAAAAGTTATTAAGTTTTTAATACAATTCATAGACGGGAAAATAACTTCCCATTGACATTCAAAAATTAATGAAGCTGGTGGTAAGTATATTTCCCACAGTAAGTATATTTCAAAAATCCTATCAGAAAAAGTTATTAATAGTTTTTAAATAATAAAGAAAAGTTTAAAAAACCATGATTTTCAGGTGAACAACAAAGGCAAATGATTTCATTTTTATCATACCTATAATGAAAAACGCAGGGAAATTTTTTGTGGTGTTAAAAGTTTACTGCTTAAATGGTGTTTCTAACTTTTTTTTATTTTCAGTGTAACACTTCTTAAAATCCATTTGAAAATGTGTTTTTTAAATTTATTTCTAAATTACTGTTTTGTACTTATTAACAAACTTTATGAATATCAATCTGATGGGTGTTTCTGATATTTAACATTTACTGGACATAAGTATTTATTTACTTGGGCGGTTTTTCAATTGTTCTGTATTCCTTGAAAATCATAAGCTCTTTTTGTATCCCTTCTAGAGAATTAGGAAAGTTTCGGTTATCAAGATCTTTTATCTTCATTTGAATCCAGTGAAGAAGATTACTGGTAAACAATTCATAATTATTCTTCAATTTATCACCTTCCATCATTTGACTAACTATCTGTAAAAATCAAAAGGAAAAATTTCATTATTTTATTTAAATATTAAACTAAAAGTTCAAAATAAAATTTGAAAAAACTAAATAGCAAATTGTTAATAAAAATTAAATAGATCTCTCAAAGAATTTATACTACTTTAGAAAATTAACTCAGTTGCTTATTTTGATTACTCTAAATCAAAATCTTCAATTTTTAATTCACAAATAAAAAGATAGTTCATTAAATGGAAATAATAAAACAAAATAGATGTATTAAACATTCATTGCAAAAAGTATTATTAATCTAAAAAATATATCTGCATTGACTTTTTGTCTTCTAAAGTACATATTAATAAATAAAAAAAGGTTTAGCAATGAATAGTAAGCAAAAATTAAATATAATTTTCAAAGAATTTTTAACACTACTTTAAAAAAGAAAACTTTGCAGCTTATTTTATTCCCTTATAATCCCCAATTTTTAATTTAATTAACAATCTTTATCAATTAAAGAGTAAAATAAATAGTCATTAATTAGAAATCATAAACAAATATAATGCATTAAGGTTGTTTTTCGAAAGCTTTGTTGTTCTCATGCGAAATGATTCTTTTTTTTGTGAATAATAGTCTGCAATAGTCACTCATGACTGTTAGGACAAGTTTAAACAGGAGCTTCAATCTTGCACAAACTTAAAATCTTCTCACGATTGCGTGAAGTCCACCTCCAATGGATCCCTTCTCACATTGGGGTTCTGGGCAATGATATCGCCGACACTCTGGCTAAGGAGGGGGACAGAAGAAACTTTGACGAGTCCAAATTTACTCAGCTACCTTCATGGAACTGGCATCGAAAAAGAAAAAAGAAGACAATGTTTCCTGGCTCGTACCTCCAAACATCATTCGCACCAGAGCACCCGTCCAGGAGGTCCACTCAACATTCAGTGCAACCGCAAGGATCAGACGGCACTTACCAGGCTTATCAGCGGCCACCTTAAGTCCCTTTCTTCGAGGGTAGTGTTAAAATCTTCCCAAACTGCCCCAGGTGCCACAACATGCAGGCTTCTCCCCAGCATATCCTGGACTGTCTTGGTTTGGACAAAAGAGGCATACTAAATGCAGGCTTCTCCCCAGCATATCCTGGACTGTCTTGGTCTGGACAAAAGGGACATACTAAATAACCCACTTTTGGTGGCCGACTTCCTCCGGGTCATGAATTTCATGGACATTGTTTAGCCCTGCTAATTTTGGGGATAAGGAAGAAGAAGAGGACAAGTTTAGCCTATCTAAAGCTAAGTGCTATCTATACCTATTCTGAAAATGGCGCAAAATGTCAATAAGGAGAAAAGCCACAGTTTTGTGAAAATAAAAAGCGATTGTGGTCTAAGTTTTAAATATTTAAAAATTTACACCAAAGCTGCATTATCTAAGCTCATAAAAATTTGCAAAAACAGAGGAAAATGCAGCGGTTTTGAAAATTTTCCTTTAAATGGAAGAATGTCACCCTGTTGGCAATTTTTAACAAAATTTAATAACTTCTAAAATATTTAAGTTATTTGTCCATTCTAAAAACTAGTTGATTCTTTACAGCAAAATGATACGCATAGTTTAAAATCATCGTTTTGCTTTGAGTGTAAGGCACCTAAACTGAGGCTTTTTTATTTTCCTTGGTGACAGAGCTTCGGAAAAAAAAACATGCTAAATATTCAATACAAAAAATATTATTAATTTTTTAATTAATTAAAAAATTGAATTAAAATTAAAAAATTAATTAAAATTAATTTTTAAAAAGGTGATTTACATTGGCAATTCGTTTCCCACCCTTCATTTCGCTCTTCATTCTGGCAAATGTGTGATAGTAAGAGGCAACATATGTAATGACAGATTTCTCATCAGGTTTACTTGTGTCAACATCTACAAAATAAGAAAAAAGAGTATTATTCAGCAGTTTTGTATAATTTTTTCATTGGTTACCATTAATACTAAAAACATCACTATTATACCTTTTCAATAAACTTGTATTAAGAAAATAAAGTTATAGTTATATGTTAATCTTGTAAGTTACGTCTTTGTATCCACAAAAACATGAAAAAAGTGGTAATATTATCTACAAAATTTGCAAGAGTATTATGAACAGTTTTGTATACTTTCATCGTTTGTTAGCATTAAAAACATCAGTATTATAATACCTTTTCAATTAATCTGTATTTAGGAAATATACACCTTTCTTTTGAGTTATAAGTTAATCACGTAAATTATGTTTTTTTGGAAATTCATATTCATACAAAAATTATCTCTCTCTTTTTAGTAAATTTGAAAAAATAAACAGTATAATAAAAATAAATAAATGGTGAATATGAATTAAGAAAGTATCCTCATTACAAATCATCCTAACAAAAATTTAGTATTGTCCCAAAATGTGATCTACCTTTGTAGTAATTTTAAGGATCAATAGGTGGCGCTACAATATAGTATGGAAATGCAGTGGTCCCCAACCATCGGTCTGTTGATCACATCGTACAGGACCACTCAAGGATCATTAAATTAATTTTAATTTTATTTACTCTGGTGTATTTTTCTCGGGTTTGTCCGACTTTCCATGGATAAGAAGTTAACATTGAGATTGATACTACAGAACTCAAATCTCTATCGCCATTTCTGACAACCTATCAGTGACAGCTACAAAACAATCTAAATATCATAATGTCTCTTCCCTTCAGTAGGCCGTGGTAAAATTATTAAAAATTGACCGGTACACAGCGATAAAAATATTGAGGATCACTGTGGTAGAATAAATTGTGCAGTGGCACTTTTCCTTAAAAACTTCAATATAGCACATGCTAGGCAGTGGCACTTAACCTTTAAAAGACAACAGTTTAGAACATACCAGGTAGTGGCACTAAAAGAGCAAAACCAAAGAAAAAAAATCTGTTTAAATAAATAAACATGGATTACACAGGTAGATCCCATATTCGGATAATACCACAGGTAGATCCAATTTTGGGATTATACTACATCAACTTTTTCTCGTTTTTAAACACCCACAAACACTCAAAGTAAAAATTCTTAATTTTTTCAGACTGATTTTGACGAATTTCCAAGAGTTTTGAAATCAAAGGCTTAAATTTTTATACTTCAGTTATTCTTACTTCAGTTATTTTTACTTCAGTTATTTTTACTTCAGTTAATTTTACTTCAGTTATTTTTACTTCAGTTATTTTTACTTAAGTTATTTTTACTTCAGTTATTATACTTCAGTTATTATACTTCAGTTATTATACTTCAGTTATTATACATCAGTTATTATACTTCAGTTATTTTACTTTAGTTAAAGTTTTATTTTTCAGTTATGCTTTATTCTTACACACACTTTAATGACACTTTCACGTGTCATTAAAGGTTGAAACTAAACCAATTTTTTTGTAAAAAAAAAACTACTGTAAATAGCTTCTTGGAAGAAATATTGGACAGTTAGGAACCTAAATTTCAAAATAAATTATTTTTTTCCAGACTTTTGGGTATTTCACTTAAATTGCATCTCATTTCCCAGATGAATAAAATTCACTGACTTTTTCACGATTTCCCTGTTCTGTGCCACCCTGAAAATATTAAAAAGAACATTCATCTACATTTACTTCAATTAATTTGAACCCAACAAACAAATTCCCTTTCCTTCTACTTAGTTTGAATAACTATTCGCGAAAATTAAGATTTCTTACAGAATAGCACTACTGTTTTAGAGTCAGTAAAAGAATACCTTCAGCATCCAAGAGTCGGGGAATTCCGAGCTCTTTCTGTGCAATGTCGAATGCATTGTTGAGGTTCTGGATGTGGGTGTTGCTATGAAGAGCATTAAAATTTATCAGATCCGGACGATGGGAATGGATAAGAGCGTTAAATCCAAGGCCAGTTCTCCAGGACACATGAAAGTCTTGTATATTAACACCTTGATACCTGCGTACATGAACATCATAATTTAGTTAGTTGAAATAAATGCAAAAATAATACATTACAGTGCATAGTCAATTCCAAAAAGATTTACGGTTTAAAGCCTGGTGGTGTAGTTAACTTTTATGATATGTAGCCTGGTGGTGTAGTTTATCTATTATTGTGACTAATTCCAGCCTATTGTCCCAGTGGCCCCCATCCCCCCAAGCTCTTGGGCGCATTCATCCCCCTACCCCCAAAAAATTNCCAAAAAAAATTTGCTAACTTCTCCCATCCATGTTAGCTTGTTCGAAATAGTGCTACGTTGCTTCTTCTATTTATGTACTTAAAAAAAAATATTCTCTCGTCTAAATTCCCCCCCCAAACTATTCGTTTTATTTAGTGAAAAAATTCCCCCCAAGCTTTAAGTGGGCGCATCGTGCGCCCACCTTCCCCCCTGATGGGGACCCCTGTATTGTCCCATGGCTGATGTTAAGCCTAAGGAGGTATGATTGTTGCTGTCTCTGGCCATTTAGGCAGATTTTAAACAATAAATTATCATTGATAACCAAGAGCAGTCACATTAAGATACACAACATAAAATTGCACAACATTAAATAATGCTATTCACACATTTTCTATTCTCCTATTTAATTTCTTTTAGGTTTTGATATCAATTACTTTACAAAAAGTAAAGAAGAGCTTGACTTGCTATCTCATGTGCTTGATGATTTATATCTTTTACAGATGACACAACTTGAAAACTTTGGGTATCCCTTACTCTATTTTTACAGTTAATTAAAAATATCTATTGGTTTAATTGAAGTTATGGCTCATTTTTAAAGGCTTACCCGGCTGTTTTTCTTTGGCACCAAAGTAGCAAAGCGTCCTTAGCAGATTTCTTTTCACTACTTTCGTCATCTTCATTCTGAAATAATAAATAAAAAATTTTAATCAGATACTATCAACTGTTAACTACAGCATATTCTGTACAATTTAATTAAGACAATTCCTTTTTAAGTATTTTTTTTATAAAAAGAAATGAAATGCATTGATTCCTTTTAATGCAGGCAAAAATTTTAAAAACATTTCCTTGCTAAATAAATGTTTCACTACCTACTTAAATAAGTAGGGAATTAAAATTTCTGTTGGGATATCTCTTAACTTACAATTAGTGATTTTGCCTGCATGCTATAACGCGTCAAATACATTAAAAATCGCAGAGTGGATGCAAAAAATAAGTTATTACTCCTCCTGTGCAGTATGTAATTCAGTAGTGCGGAAAAGATTGTGCACCTCTCTTTCCATAAAAAAAGAACCAGAAATTAGGAAGTCCTGAATATCCATAGTTTCCTAAGTCTAACAGAATCAGCATATAATATCTATAGACATTCTCCGTGATGACACCTCTTACTAATTAAATAAATCTTCTATTTTTAAAGAAAAATCATTAAATTAAAAATATGGTAAAGAAATTGGACTTTTAAAAGTTTTCCGAAACTCTTCGGCAACACTTAAAATCTTTAGAAACTATAAGTCTGTAGTAACATTGATGTATTGTGAATAAAATATTCTTCAAAAATTAAAGGACCTCCTTTAATAAAGAAATAATTTTTTAGATCATGGACATTTTTATTTGTAAATTAAGACTGTACAGTTTCGATTCAAAAATAAAAATAGACATTCATTAATATATTTAAATCTGTATACTTACAAAATTTTGTTTGTGCAAAATAAATAGCAAAAATAAAATGCAAATGAAACATTTAAAATTCATAATAAAGCTTTTGTGTATAAAGTGAGAAAATACAATAAAAACATTAAAACCATCAATAAGTACATTAAACAAACAGATAACTTATACTTACAACATCAATTTCGATTTCTTGTATTTGAAACCTTAAAATTATTGTCCATATTAAACCTAATATTAATCTTGGATTTCCATCTACAATATCTTCAGCGCCAATACTTTCTAATCTAACCTAAGAAGAAAAAAGAAAAAAAATATGTAAGAAGATACAGTTTATAAACAAGAAGAAAAAAAAGTTGCATAGTTTGTCAAGAACTCCCCCCGACACTAAGTCTGAGACTGCCTGTTGCTGTGGAAACAAGAATAGCACGTTTCAGGGAGGGTAGCTTCTCTTCACTCTAGTGCTAACATAATAGACCGAAGAAAAATACATAGTCCCTTTATTTCGCGGACCAGATGCCAAAACCTGTCCTAAACAATGACCTCACACTCCAACGTGAAATAGTTATACCTTGTTACCACAATCACCGCCACAGGTCCAAACGATTGGCTAGGGGAGTTATTTCCTTAAACAAACTATATGTGTAACAGTCAACCTAAAAACCATATGTTTCAGGAGTATAAAATAATAGATTTAACTGATTAATAATTTAAAACGATAATAATAATAAATAGTGTAGCATTTAAAACAAAATTTATTAATGAAAAAAAAAAAACATATGACGATCATAATAATGAGAAATTAGGGGAATAAGCCAATCTTTTTCTTAAAATGAATGAAATTCAATTTGTGTTTAATTTATAGTACATATTATGTAGATACAACACTGTTTAGCAGATTTTCATAACATTTTTGAGTACATTGTTTTTGACACAAAAGAAGTTAATATAAAATAATATAATTTAAATAATACAGATATTTAGCTTAAGAGAGCAGAGGGAGTGGACACATTGTGTAATAATAGTTGGAGAAAATCAAGAAAACACGGCCCTCACTTAATATTTGAAGCTAAAACTCCCTAGTCTCTTCAAGACAAAAGAAAAATTATTCTACTAAGCTGTTGAGTGCTTTAATCTTTCTGTTGCTCTTATTAACCCCAGTAAAGATAAATCAGGGTTTTTAAAAATATATCAGTTGTTGGTCACTTTAATATTAATTTGCAACCCTTAAACATGATTTTTTTAAATGTTTTTATATTATATATTTTTATAAAGCAATTTTTATAGCATGTATTTATATAATATGTTTTTATAAAGCAATTTTCATAGCATGTATTTATATAATATATTTATATATAAAATACTTTAATGCAATATCTATTTATATAATATGCATGGTTTACAAGTAACTTCACATAAGTTTTAATATCAACAAATTAAAAAAAAAATTTTAAAAAATAAAAAAAAAACTAAATTACTTTTTTTTTTAACTAAAATTCTTGTACTAAATACGAAAAGATTGGCATTATAAAACAATAAACTGCATTTTCAAATGTGATAATTTTGAAGCGTACTGTTCCACAGTACTGTTTCCAAATATGTACTTCACAAATTTCTGCAATTTCCACTAGCTAACCACATAATACACAGAAACTATTGAACAATCTACCGAGAAATTGAGGTTTATCATTGTATTGCCCCAAGTTCTTCAGTAAGCATTACAAAACACTTGGTTAAAGGAAAATGTGCTATTATATAAAACATTTTGCAGATATCTACATTAAATTGGGATCTTATATACCAAGCACCGGGCATATTTTTTACAGATATCATAACAAAAATTAAAAGCTTTTAAATGGAATTTCAAATTCTACTTACTTTCGTGTGAAGAAATGCCAAACTTTTATTGACATTTTCAATTTTATGCACCCGCATTTTTCCATGGTTAGGTTTTCCAAGTTTTTCACCGGATATGATTTCAAGGAGTTTCAGAAGCTTTTTACCATCGGCAAGATCAGTGAAAAGGTCTTCCACTTCCATTCTTGCCTGTAATTATCAAGATAAAGATAGTACACGAATAATGACACTTTAATTTCAATGTATATTGATCAAAAAATTCACATGTCATAGAACTGTAATACACATAATCAAATCAGGAGAGTTTGAAACTAAAATATAACACTTTTACATATTTCATCAAAATCTGCAATAAGATGGTCTCTTTTTTTTCATTCTTGCTTGCAATTATCAAATTAGATATTAATTAAATAAGAACTCCATGCTTCAATCAAAATAACATTAATAACAAATAAATAAAATATATGTGAACGTCAAGTAACTGAAATAACTATAACAGCAAAATTTCAGCTAGATTTGAAATAAGACCAATTGCTAGCAATTATCAAAATGGGTGCCAATTAAATAGCCATCAAATTCTAAGCTTCAATTTTAAAGAAAATAAATTTAAAAAAATTAATGATCTAATTAACTGCAATCAGTATAGTTATAATCAAAGTGAGATTTCTAAACTAAAAATATAACAAAGGTTTTCTATTTTCATCTTTGCTTTCAGTTATGAAAATAGGTGCCAATTAAACAAGGAACAAATCCTTACTTGGATTTTAAAAAAAAAGTTAAAAAAAGTTAAACATTAAGTAACTGGGATAGATCGAGATATAATCTTAAAAAAGGCTTTTAATTAATTAATAAATAATAGTAATAATAATAATAAAATTTTTAAAAAAAGATTATGGAGAAAAAAAATATACACTTCAACAAAATTTTGCCAATTAAGTTGCTGTAATCAATTATCAAAAATGGGTAATAAATAAATAAACAACAAGTTCTAAGCCTGAACTTTAACACTAGATTGCCTAAGGAAGTCATTTTGACTGCTTTTTTAATTTCAATTAGAAAAACAATGATGTATATAATGACACAATTTCTTAGAATTTTGTGACTTTTTGCACAAGATATAAATTTTTTTATTGTTAATATTTACTAATAACTTGGTATATAACTGTAAATAATATAAAAAATACTAAAAATTAATTTTAAACGAATTTCTTTACGCATTCACAATCCAGTCATTTTGACTGCTTTTGGGCAAATATAGGTATATACTAATTTTCAGTCTTTCTAGTGTTAAATAAAATAGAACTTTTTTTTGCATCAATTAACTGCAATGTGCAGGATTATGATAAAAATACAAAGAGTTTAGAATTAAAATCACAGCAACAATTAATTTTAAAAAAATTCAATCAATGAGGTGTAACCTTTTGTAGGAAAGAGTTCATCCATTTGGTAAAAGTCTTTTTCTGTATGTGAAGACGCTCCTCCTGGAGCGCCTTAATTCGACCTGTTTCGAATTTAATGGCATCTTCCCTTTGTGACATCACTCACCCCCGGCATTCACATTACCCTGAAACACAACAAATAGTGACATCAGTAAAAGGCACATATTTTAAGCTAGAAAGTCAGACAGCCGTTTCGGTACTCATCAGTGACAGAGACCATATATCGGCGACTGCTTTTCCGAGTTGCCGCCAACATGAACATTGATCTCGATAACCGCGTTACAAAGCGAAATATATCAAGGGTAGAGCCGCGATGGCTCAGGGGATAGAGCGTTCGCCTTCCAATGAGGCAAACCGGGTTCGAATCCCAGTCGATACGAATTCCGCATCCGGCTTGCACCGACCACAGTGCTGACGAGAAATATCCTCAGTGTTAAACGGATCATGGGTTTGAGTCCCCTTGCCGTCAGGCTAACCGAGAGAAGTTCTCGTGGTCTTCCTCTCCATGTAACGCAAATGCGGGTTAGCTCCAACAAAAAGTCCTCCACAAAGCCAAATTTCTCCCAATACTCGATTCAGGAGTTCTTTATATAAAATATATCAAGGGTAGATTTCCGTATCGTGATCTGTGGCACAATAATCGCCAACTTTTGGTAACTTCCGGACAGCGGCCCGCGAAAAACTTTTAAAAAAAACATCACAGACAGAAAGGGACCAACTATAAATGTATAACTCGTAGCCATCCCCGGGCAAAACATCTACATGCTTTTTTAAAAAACAAATTGCAATTTAAAAATCTATTTGGCACCTTGGCGATTGTAGTTAGGGTGACAGGTCACGATATGGAAATATCCCCTATATCAAAATTAAATAATATAGGTATGGTATGGCAGGTATTTTATTTACGTCGCACTAGAGCTCCACAATGGGCTATTGGTGACGACCTGGGAAACATCCCTGAGGATGATCCGAAGCAAATATTCCATCGCAATCCATCGAAATTGCCATCGCAATTTTGATCCTCTGCAGAGGGGATGACTCATCTGCTTTGGTAGCTCGACTTCCGGCGCGAAGTCGAGCACTTTACGGTTGAACAGTTTAACGAGGACCGATTAAACAAGATACAACACACGACAAATGGCCACTGGTTAGTAGCAAAATCTTTTTATTTTGCCTTACAGATTCTTATAAACGGCCACTACTTATTATCGCTTTTCAATTTAGTTCTGTTTTCGACACGCCACTCAGTGCAGTAAGATCTCGCTAGTTATTTAATGCTCCTAAAATTTTAATATTTTGATATTAATTTAGAAAAAAAAATTAATCTGCGTTCTAATCATTCATTAATATAATTGTTGATTACTTTTCTGTTCTTATTTCTTGAACGTCATTGGTTTAACAGGTTTCTAAATATAATTGAAACAGTAACTTAAAAATTCATTTAGAACATTTTCTTTCTTGTTGTTTTAAAATTCTTTGAATCAAGGTCAAAACCAATACTTTAATTAAATTTGAGATAAGATTAAATAACCTCGTCTCTCAGGCTCACAATAAAAAACACTGGAATGTTATCCGGTTTTGATAGATCAAATCGAAGTTCAGATCTACTTAAATCCGGTTCCGAATAAATCAAATAAAAATATTCTGGAAATCGTTGAAAAACAGGAATTTTAAGTTAGTAATAGAACAATAGTATTTAATAAAAAAGTAATAAAATATTTTCCATCGTCTATTAAGGGGAAAACATTCTTTAAAGATAAGTTCTTTTCTTTAATGAAAAATTAGAACTCTCGTGATGGCAACAGCTCTGTATTCAGAAATACTAAGTTGTGAAAGTTGCTCGTATTTTCAATAGAACTATGTTACACATAACCTTTTTTTTTATTTTACGGTTAATGATCGAAGAAGTGGAGAAACTTTATCTCTAAATAATTAGAAAGCGTTTTGCAACGATAAACAGCAACAATTCTATTCCATAGTTGTTCTTTTTTTGTTCATCATTCCGTTGCAAAATAAAGTCTTTTAAAGTCGAATATAATAAGATGAACCCCCTTTTTTTCATAGCGTGAGCACCGATGCGTTAAAACAGGATTTTCACTATTCAGCTTTCACAACTTTATGGATATCGACCAGCGACTTTTGTAATAATCTGATAACTTTTTTAATTTGACATCGGCTGACATATTAATTCTTGTCACTATTTCCTACAGCTGGGGTGGCCAACCTTTTGTATATCATACGATAAATACAACCCATAACTCGTGAAAGAGTAGGGGTTGAAAATTAATAATTAAGAGAATTAAGTCACCTTAAATTAATAATTAAGCATGGGACAAAACGATATCGAAATTTTTAAAATTACTAGTGAAGAAGGTGGGATGAAAAAATAGCAGAACCAGTAAGATGGAGCTTTACTTAGAAGTGTTTCTAACAATCTTTTATCAAATTCGCTCTTTTTTTATCAGCAATTAAAATGTTTTGATGTTTTAATGGCAGCTTTCTGTCTTTGATAGTGTTTTTGCTTTTTCCTCACTTAAATTTTGAATATCCGATCTCTGACGATTATATTTTTTTGTCGTCATTTTTTATCTTGACGTCAAAACAGATTCTAAAAATATACTTGATAAGCGGTCAATACGGAACACTCTATATGCAAAAATAAATGGCTAATATTTAGTGTCTATTGTTTATGCATTGCGTAAACCCATCTCTAATGTCAGTAATAGTGCGCGAATCAGAGAAAACCTAATATGCTTATCAGAAAACCTAATATGTTTACCGAATATTCGAATAGCTAGAATGTGGGTTTTATTGGTTTATTTTTAATAGGTTTCCAAAAATATTGTATATAAAAGAGAGAACACCCTGTATGTTTGGAAAACTAAATAGATTAAAAGTTTTTTCTCGTTTTATGTCAGATTTTTAATCTATCATAGAGACGAATGCGTAAACGATAACATAAAAGTTCTCTTTGATTATCCCAGAATCATAACACTGCAAATAATCGACCATCTTATAAAAACCCACATACATCATGTAACGCAGTGTTTCCCCCCAAAATGTGGTACGCGTACCCCCAGGGGTACGGGAACAGTTTAGCGGGAGTACGCGTTCTGTTGTGAAATATCTTGCAAACAAAAATTTCAAAAAAAAACTTTTTTAAAAACAAAGCTAGCCATGAAAATTTAATATTAAGTATTTTTCTATTGGCTATTTTTTGCAGAGTTAACAGTTAATACTTAGTGGTGTAAACAGTTAGTTGTGATTTTTAATTTTAATCTCCATTCTAAATAAACATGTTTTTAAAAAAGTACATTTCTTTTTTTATTAGTGGTACACAGCGTTACGAAAAATTCGGAAAGGGTACAGTAAAGTCATAAGTTTGAGAAACACTGATGTAACATAATGGAAAAGATCACATATTAAAAATTATATATTTAATATGATTCACCTAAACAAAAACAGTTGACCAAAATAGATAGCGTTTGATAAACGCACTTCATTTAATGATGTGATATATGCGTCATCTTAACATATGACGGAATAATTTGCCTCGAAAGCAAGCATGTGATAGAGCCGAACATCCATCATCAGATCAATTTTGTTTACATGATCATTTCCAGTCCAAAGAACAAGTGGCAAATGGTATCAATCATTGCTCGCATAAATTTAATATCAGTTATTTAATTGTAAACAGTAGCATTTTTGATTAAGTATAACAAAATGCAGTTTTAAATATCCATAGTCTTTTCATAAAATTTCTAAAAGCAATACAACTTGCATAAAATATAAAAGCAGACGATACTAATAAAAAAATTAGACAATAATAAAAATTAAAAAAATCAGGCGATAATATACAGAAAATAAAGAGATCAAGCGTAACCAGAACTCAAGACTTATTTTTTCTTTTTGTTCTTTCCCAGAGGTGACTGAATTTTTAAAAAGAGTAAATTCAAGGTCAAATGCTTCAAGACAATTTATTATTATTATTATTATCCGCGCAAAGCAATAAGTAAAATGAAAAACCAATAAATAAATAACTAGAAAAGATTAATTAAATATCAGTACTTTTTTCAATAAGCTATAAATAGCTTTTTCAGATTGAAAGTTGCTTACGACGAATTTATTATCTATTGCAAGTTTGGCAAGCTAATATATAATGTTTCCTAATTTTTAGGGAGGGGGGCAGACCTACGACCAACCCCTGGCAACACCCAGACACAATTTACAACAGTTACGTTCAAAAGAATAGCTAAGTGGAATTATGATGCTGAAATTGATAAATTTGCTGATTATTATATTGTTTCAGAACGCAAAAGCAAAACTGCAATTTTTTATACACAATTTTAATGCAATAATAATATTTAAAAAAAATAATTAAAAAAAAACATCGGATTCGAAAAATTTCTTAGTATTTCATATGTGTGCACGCTTGGATTCGAATACATTAATTGTATCTCGGGTTCAAGAAAATTCTGCTTTAAAGCCACGGTGGTTATGAGAACATATCGTTTGCCTCCCAATGAGGTAACCCAGAATCGAATCCCAGCTGGGACTGGTTGATACAAGTTCTGCTCCCGGCTCGCACCGACCACAGTGCTGACGTAAAATATCCTCAGTGATAGACGGATCATGGGTTAAATTCCTCTTGCAGTCAGGCTAACCTTGGGAGGTTTTCGTGTTTCCCTTCTCTGTGTAAAGCCAAATGGGGATTAGTTCCATCAAAAAGTCCTCCACGAAAGCTAGATAATTCCAATGTTTTTGCCAGGAGTTTTCGTGTTTTTTTATTCTCGGTTCCGAGATTACAAGACCACACAAAATAACACCAAAATCACATGAACAGCCGTAAAAATGGTCCGACTGTTTAATGCCGGTTTTAGAATAAAATAAAACATCCTTGAGGGAACTGAGAGGCGAAAGTATCATTGAAATAACAAAATAACTATCTCTTTCCAATAAATCACATAAATTAAACTAGAATATGTTCGAGTGTCTTAACTTGAAAGCCACATTGTTCCACGTAAGATTGCAGAACAAAATGAAAAACGAAAAATAAAAACAAAGTTGTTAGTTATGATTAATCGAAACCGTCACTCAAGGAGAAAAAGATACGAAGTAACAAATT